CACAGTGAGCAGTTTTTTTCACCAAATTTTCACAATGAGTAATTACACAACCATGAAATACACTTTGATCCTTATAGCAACCGACCACAGAGACTGGTTCCGAGTTCAAGTTTTGACAAGACGAGTTTGGGAGGGAATCATTATTCCGTCAGTTGAAGATTTGGAACACTGCGATCCCTCTTGGTCATATTAGTAACCAAGCGATAAAGTGATCGATGTGGTATCACAAACAAGATAGTAGCATTAAGCAGTGTAATTCTACCCTCTGGTGAAACTCGCCCAAGTGATTGGCTAGCTTATTTGTATTTAAAAACCGCGCACAAAATGACGCGTGTTTGGTGGTGGTGAATTGTCGCCACATAGGTGTGGTGAGGCTCAGGAGTTTCACTAGACGCGGTGCCCCTTTGACTTTGAGCGCTGAGCACCAAGTCCTCATCCAACCACGCCTTACAAGGGTGTGGAGTCTTTGAAAGTGTCTCCCTTGTGCCAAGTATTGATTTACCTGGTGCATGATGAATTCTGTGGAGTTGATGTTTAACGCCATCGGTTAATGCCTTTTACTAATGCTCACAACCGAAAATCTTGGAACCTTTCTAATCGTTAACTGCGCCAAGAATTGGTTATAGTTAACGGAGCGACGCAGTCAAAGACAGTAAAATGTGTCACGTGAGAGATGTTATTTAAATGGCGGCTTTTTTAAGAGGCCCAACAAACCAATCGTGAGCTTAATGGAAAATGCAAAGGTGCTGAAGGGAGGTTCTGGCGAAGTACAAGAAAAGACACAATCTTTGTTAATTTGTGCCAATTTGGTTAAAGTTATCTAGGGATTTCAACATATTTTTACTGGCTGGTTTTGCCTTTCCGGAACCAGCTAAATGTCACGGAAAGGTGTGTCAATTTTGAGGTGTCGACCAATGAGATTGCAAAGAGGTTGAATGTTATGCCAACCACAAATTTCACTATCCAATCAAACGCCAAACATGTCCAATGTTCGGAATAAAATCAATTTGCCTATAATAATCGGTCGATGTTTTCGATCTGCAACCTGAAATTGGTACTTTCTGAGTCCAGCATGTGTTCGAGGGTGTTTTTTGGAAAGTTGTGACGATACATACTAAGCGTCAACAACCTGTGAAAGTTCAAGTGGGTTTGGATGAACTGTGAAAAAATCATTCTTTCAAACCACACCAAAAAGAGGAAATTAAATGGCTAACGAGTGGCTACATTGCGTCTGCGTAGCCAATTGGGAGGCTCAACGATCACTCAGATCGATAGAGAGGTCTATCGCCTTCCGACTATTTGAAATTACTAGTTCGGGGGTTGCTCGAAGCAGCAGCTTTATGTGCCTGAGGTAACCTTTACCTGACCCCGAAGTTGACCAATCCCATCCGTTCTCGCAAAACGTCCGGTCCAATAGGAATTATGGCAATTCACCAATGAGACAACTGATGATCGGATCTTCACGGCATCATTGGCAACGCTTCAGTTAATCATATCAATTTTTGGGAAAGTAGATCGCCTGGCTTTGTTTAAAAATCTCGCGATTAGCTTAAAATGACTGCTCTCGCAAACTTTCCTGAGCTAGTCTTGGCAAGGCCTCGTCTGTCACGTGTGAATGCGATGATGAAATGAGAGTTGTCACAATATTTGAAGCCAATTAGACTCTTTTGTAAACCTGTCAGCTTGGGTACAAAACGGTAGACAGCTTGTCCAGAAAATTAACCACAAATGTAACAAGAATGTAGTCCTACACAGGATCCAGCCTTTTTTGTTTTGTGTGAAAAATGGAGTTTTTTAGTTTTGTGGAGATTATTTAGCCCCTCACCATTCAATGGCATGGGACAGACAAAAACTGTCAGATTTTTAAAGATTTTAACCGGCTTAATTTCCAAGACACTTTTAAACATTTGAGTTCTGCGACTATTTGGTTTTAAAACAAATACTCCCCACACAGGGTATTGCCTGGTTGTGTGTGTATGTGCGCGTGTGAGAGTGTGTGTGCTGGTGACCACTTGTGTGATTGGCATACGGCGAAGAATGTGCCTGGTATATATTATTAAACCCCCACCCTACCTACAAGGTGTTGCTCGCTTGGTTGTTGAAGATGAGAGCACTCACACTAGCACTGCTCGTTGCCTTCGTAGTTGCCTCTCAGGCCTACACGGAATCCAATGAGCTCAACAAGTCGCCGAGGGAGATCGTTGCTGAATCGGACTTGATGAGCGATCAATACGATGTGGTGGTGTTTATCGGCGACTCCTACGAAAATCTGCCCGCCAGCCTGAGCTCAATTGCCGACGCGATTTCTGCGTATGTTAAGGTAGATCCGCAGTCGTGGAATGCTTCCACGCCGTCTACGTCAGCGTCTGCTGAGCGACGCGCTTCTTTGTCTTGTAGATCAACCCTGGAGCCGGAAGTGCCATGTCAGTCATTCCCTACTCTGTTCACCCAAGCCGAAAACTGGTAAGATAAATGCCGTCGGTTTAGTGGATGCCTCTTGTAGATCTGGGCGAGCACAGGTGACCTCTCTAGCGACATCGCTAGCAGCCGAAAACTCAGACAAACCGGTGAAAATGCGATGCGCAGGTGAGTCCAAATCTGATTTTGGCATGGTTGTACACTTCTATGCAACATACGTGACTTCCAAAGTTTTGGTTGTTTTAATGAATCAATTGATTTAAAAGCTGCCATTTTGAATAAATAGCTGCTAAAAATGATCAGAACTCATTTAGTGCAGTCCGAATCCCGTAATATGGCGGTTTTGATTGTCTTTTCTTCGAATCGAGGTAAATAGCAGGAATCTTGAAAGAAAATCTTTTTTTAAAAGTGGACGAAAACATGTACTAGATTCCTCTGTATTCGCAAAACATTGCAAACCATGGAAACCACGCAGACAGATTACAAACAGCGACAAACTCCTCTTAAATATTCGGCCAACTCCCCAAATTTAAATAAATCACTATGACGTTGTCTCGTTACATACACAAAGACTTGTTTTCGTGTTGCACATCCAGTTGGATTCAGCATTTAATTTGGCGCCACATGTCTGCACAGTTTAGTGTGTATTGGTGCCATGTGAAATTTGAAAGCAACTTCGCATGCTTGTTTTAATGTCGGCATATTCACAAAGGCATCTATAGTACAACATCCTTGACCTTTGACCTAGATCTGACCTCTAGCGGGTGATTTTACTGAGAAGTGCTTGCTAAAGTTGAGGATAGTAGAGCCCTGTTAGTGGAAATTCTGACATCATGAGATCACATTTCTGCCTTTAGAGTACACAACCTCGGATTTCAGCGTGTTCTCCTGGTAATCGGTCCCCTGATGACGGCTCACCACTCCTTCGACTGGGCCTTCGGAGACTACCCGAAGATGTCGGCTGCTCTTGGAGGACTGCACTACCTCTTCAAGGTACGCCGATTCCCCTGAATCAGTCGATGGAAGGGTCTGGCTTAGTACACACACATACTTCGTCCACCGTTTTAGCCACTTCAAGTCCGTGAAATGGTCGGCCCAGAGGCGAAAGTTGACAAACTCGGCCTCTACGACTTCTCGCCGAAGCTGTTGAAGTTCGTTGAGGCTGTTGGCGAGGGGATGGGGGTTCTACGAGACATTGGCGACTCTGATCCGGAGCGCACCGCGCCACCGAAAATTGTCGAATACATTGAGGCGCGTCGACCAGACTGGGAGGCAGCTGGAATCTCATTGACCGTCGAAGACGTCATTCAGATGAAAGACAAGTACCCGATGGCCTACGCGGTGAACCGTGCGACTATCCGTGAGTGGCGTCCCTTAAATCCATATTGATTATTGGTTTATTGAAATTCGGATCGATATCTGTTTGTCTTTGTTTGTCAAGCGAACCCCAACCACCACGGCAAAGTGGTCACGGCTGTGTACACTCCGAAATCGAACACACCGATAACCGAGACAATTATTCTTGTCGGAAAGGGAGTTGCCCTGGACACCGGTGGTGCCGATCTCAAAACCGAGGGTGGCATGTATGGAATGCACAATGACAAGCTGGGCGCCGCGTTCGTTGCTGGCTTCTTCCACACCCTCTCTCTCCTTAAACCGGAGGGTGTCAAGGTCATTGGCTACATGCCCTACATCCGCAACAGCATTGGAAAATACGCCTACCTTCCAGACGAAATCATCACTCTTGTCAACGGTCTGCGCGTCAGGATCGGTGACACGGATGCCGAGGGAAGAAACATCATGAGCGACGTACTGTATTACGCGAAGGAACAAGTAAGGTGGCCCACGTGCGCAGAAGGAGCTTATTCGATCCCTTAAATGTGGTTATTTTCCTGACTGTTTTAGGCGAAAAAAGAGACTAATCCACACATCTTCACGATTGCCACCCTCACTGGTGCCGCGAGTAGATCATTCGGACCCTATACTGTAAGTAGGTTTTATCTAAGAGCTATTTGGCGCGTTCTTGGTGATGTAACTTTGAACATTTTGTTTCCGACCTGAAGGTCGTCATGGATAATGGACCTGCTGAGGACGTCAAGATGGCGCAGAAAATGATGGCGTGTGGAGATCGCATTGGCGATCCCGCAGAGGTGTCACGAATCCGCTACGAGGACTTCACACCCAACATGGGGAACTCGGAGTTCATCGACATCCACCAGTACAACCCCTACGGTGGGACCAGCAAACGTGGCCACAGCTTCGCCATGGGCTTCCTTTCAATGGCAAGCCAAATCGATAAGGTGTGTGCCAATTAACCTAAATCCGTTCCTTCATTTAGCAGATTACAAATATGGGTTTAGTGCCCACTTTAGCTCCAAACTTAGCAAAGGTAGATTTTACTATTACACACAAAATAATAGTAATTAGAAATATTTACAAAAACTAACCACACATTTCCCCGACCTCATGTTGTGGCAAATAAGAAATTGATTTTAACATTTCTACTTTTTAGCACGGTCGAAATTCGGGAATACCGATTCCATACACGCACTGCGATATCGCGGGCAGTGGCGGTGGCATTAATGAGCTAGCCACGGCAGCACCACTGCGCATGTTTTCGCTTCGTTTCCTCTGGTCTCGTACAAAGGAGTAATCAGTTGGTCATCAAATGGACACCCAGATGAACCAAACCTCTTGACCATATTTCCATTTTTTAGATTACTTAAGTGCATTGTCAATAAAGAGTAGGCGACTGAATTTAATTTTTAATCACAATCCTTTGTTTCTTGTCTACGACAAGTGTACGTTCAGAGCGGATATCAAATCAGTGCTCGTCGTATAATATTTGACAGTTGTGATAAGCAAATTTAGTCCTACATGAGAATTACGTGAATCAATTTTTTTTCAGCTGATAGCAAATGTGCTTTTTGGGAGTTTTTTCAAAAGGAATTGATTTCCTCGACAAAACATCAATAATCATAATAATAGGAAGTTAGATGGCCAACTTCCTCACCGAATCCAGTGATGTCTGCTGTGTAAAAAAAGAACAATCAAACGAGGTAGATTTAACTGATGCACTGCCATTAGATTTCCAACAATTTGGTCCTCAGAAATTTTAGTATAGTGCAAGTTTGGAATAGCAGACGGTTTGAATCAAAATACTGAGATTTAGGTGAATATTAAATGTGTTGGAAATTATATAAACATAATGCATTTCGTCAATGAAACATCATTACTCATAATGCAACGAAGTAAGTCGGATTTGTCAGATGCAGATTCTTTTTGTATCAATTAACAAATTGAGGGAAGCACAATGGAGTTACTTCATATCGAAGAGAATTTAGGTTATTTAGAATAGGCTGGCATCTAAAATATCCCGTAGTCAATTCTACTTTTCTAATACATAAATGAAACAACTTTTTATAACCCATATACAATTTTCCAAATTTTTCTAAATATCAATGCAATTTTTCTTTCGGTGAAAAATTTTGAAATTGAACGAATAGTAGCAAACTATTAGTAGACCTAAAAAGTAGATCATTAAAAGTCACAAATCATATTTCAATAATTTCAGTCAAGTAACCATCAACAGTTTTTTTAAATAATATGCTAAAGTAAATTATTTATAAATAAACAGGAACACGTGGTAGTTTGTTCAGGTTGTAAAGAAGTCAGTTTCAGTTTCACTCTGTGACATCGTTTCACCCATAATATCAATATTAGCGAAATCTTCATGTGAAATACTACGATTTATGCCACGACAGGCAACAAACAAGGTCGCAGTTTTAAGAAAACACAACGTGTTAAATCAAAGGCCCTGTACGTACACATAAAAATGATACTAAACAAATTTGCTCGCAGTAACTTGTAGAATTACCATGAAAGTTGTGAAACAAAATCTAAATTTTACCAAAATTTACTTTGCATTGATACTATTAGAAACTAATTTTAAACAAACGCAAAATTTGTTGATATCTCTCGGAGATTTTTATCGGGAAGCTGTCTTCAAATGTATTTAACGTATCTACGAGGAATAAAGGTTAAAGAGGCATACAAATTATTTCTGGTTTTTATATAAGGTGCATGTATACTAATCGGTTACATTCAATTAAATAAATAACGGCGCAAAATTAATCAGTGGTATAATTTGTTGTAAACTATTGCCTATGAAAATAATACTAAATTTGCTTAAAATAATTACTGTTAATTCTGCCAGCCAAGGACCTCTAAGGCACGTACACTATGTTGGGAAATTTTGTGTGACATAATATGCCAGGACCGCTTCAGCATCACATTGATAAAATTTTTAGGTCACTTAAGTTGATATTATATCTTTAGACAACTTATGTTATTATCTATTAATGCTGAGCACGTAATCTACTGCTGATAATTGCTTAGAAAATTCATCACGTGGTTCTTTAAAACGGATTAGTTCGACAATTTCATTTCGTGCAACCATTTAGTATGCACTTTTTCATAGATGAATATCTTTGTTGCCAGTTTCAAAAACGTCATTGCGACTTTGTTGGATAAGCATAAAAGTTTGCGACATAAAGTCCTATAGCTACATGTCTTGAAGTTAATAATTAGAGAACGGGGATTGCAAGGTTGGATAAATGAATGTATACACAAATAACGCGTCTTAAAATTTTATGGTTTTAAATGGTAGTTTGAACTAAAAAGTATCTTTTTATTTGATTTGTAATAAAGTGAAAAAATTAAAGAGGAATTGAATGCATTGGGCAAGGTCGCTTGCGTTGATTGGCGGACTAAAGTACCCATTTTCATCCTTTAACAGCGATACCGGCCAATTGCAACCGCGAGAGTTTGTTTGGTGCCCTAATGAGTCGGCGCGCGGTGAAGGCGCTTGTGGTGTACGATCCCCATCCCCATGTTTCGATCTTCCGCGAATTAGCAGGCTACGAAACCGTGGTTACAGAGGAAGAGGAGGCTGATGAAGACAACTCGGCCTACCTGAGGTCATTAGATCCAAAAGACTGGAAGACAAACGACCACTATGCTGTACTTAATTTAAAGAAACTTAGATACAGAGCTTCGGATGAGGATGTCCGCAAACGCTGTTAGTTTTCATAGTCGTAAATTTCCTTAAATGACCCCGGGAGTATTGCATTGCTTGTTTTTCAGTCACTGTGTAGCCCGGTTAGTTTATATGGTTAAATTAACTCAGACTAAGGTTGTACTATTTTAACGCTAGGATGGTCTGTTAATGGTATGCTTTAACCCTTTTACTGCTTTGCGTAATTTTCGTGTCGGCACTTCGATATGCGTCTCGGTTTTGGCCATCAGCAAGTTGGCTATTTTTGCAAATGCATATCAATTTCATGTGTTACCACTGTCTTGCATTCTCATCTCGTGTCATTACAAAGTCTGTGCAAATTACCCATTGTTGTTATTTGCTTAGTAATCACATCTGTGTTGTCTCTTTCAAGATTTATCGCTTTCATCTTTGCATTTTCCCGTTTGCACTAGTGCTTCTTCACGCATTAAGCTGTGACGTAATATCAACTTGAAGGTTGTCGTGATGCTAATCCCAACTTTTTTTGCTTCATTCTAGACCGCCAGCTCGTGCTAAAGCACCATCCAGACAAGCGCAAAGCCCGAGGTGAAAATATCAAGGATATTTCCCATGACTACTTTGCTTGCATCACCCAAGGTGAGTGATCCTACTTGCAGCACGTTTTTACGTCTTTCCTGGATCATCAATGCTCGAGAAGGTTAAATTGACTAGAGACGATGGAGGCATCACCGTTTAGTAGATTGTTCAATCTAGCTGTGTTGTTGTCTACAAAAAAGTGCTGAGTGTATCACCAAGTTGTCTAGAATTGGTCACTGCAGATGTAGGAAAATGAGAAGTGTAGGACCAACATCGCGGTTAAAGATGCCACTCTCAGTTGTCAAGTAATGGGCTTGAGAAATACGCACCATCTACAACCGAGTGCTTTCTGTTCGTCTGACATAACCAAAAAACCCCCTTTTCATGCCTCCAAATTCATTCTAATATTAACCTGTAATTCCTCTCAAGCATTTGAAATCCTCGGAAATCCATCAAAACGCCACGCCTACGACAGTGTTGATCCCCACATTCCCGAGGTCTACCCCACTGCCGAACAGATCAAACAGGACTTCTTTGGTTGTCTTAATCCCTTCTTCATGGAAAAAGCGAGGTAAATGCGTCACAGGCGCCGTGCTTCCCCCAACTTCCGCCCTCCTCTCCTCAACCCCCCACCCCGTTTTGTATCGATTTTGCAGGTGGTCGAAGCATCAGCCAACGCCTTTCCTTGGGAATCAGTTGACTCCTCTCGAGCGTGTTCATCACTTTTATGACTTTTGGTATGAGGTGAAGAGTGCTTCGTTAACCAACCTCACACACTCCCCCTGTTCTCAAAGCCATCTTCTTTGTTTTCGTTTGTTTGTAGGGACAATTACGAAACGACAAAGGACTTTTCCTTCTTGGACGAGGAAGATAAGGAGAAGGGAGAAGAGTGAGTGTGTGTGTGCTTTTTTCCAGTTGAATTTGGGTGGGTAGGTGAATGCACGCGAAGCTTTATTCTTTGTTGAATTTTTCGCGCAACAGTCGGGAATCGCGTCGTTACATTGGGCGTCAGAATCGAGCCGAACGCCAGAGACGCAGGCACGAAGAGCACCGGCGCATGCACCAGCTGGTGGATTTGGCGCGGGAGCACGATCCTCGCCTGATCGCCGCCGAAAAGGCCGCGCAGGAGGCCAAAGAGATGCGCAAACAGGCGCGCCTTGAGGCCATCGCTAAACGCCGTCAGGAGGAAGAAGCCGTGAGTTTTTTTGTAATAACATAGTTACTTAGTTGTTTTAAGTAGCATTATTGACCCGAGTTTGTCAACCCATAGCGAGCGCGAGCTGAAGCAGCTGCAGTGGAGGCGGCACGCGCGGCGAGCGCTGAGCGTCAACGCCAGGAGGCCGAGGCGCAGAAAAAGGCGCGCGAACAAGCCAAAGCGGCCGCAAAACAGGAGAAAAAGAAGCTGCGAAACCTCTGCGTCAATCGATACGACCACTTCATTGCTTCGACGGTTGCCGACGCTTCCTCCTCCTCGTCCTCCAGCCTATCTCCCGACCTCGTCAAGATTCAGACCCTTCAGGACATGGAATTGCTCTGCCAGGTGCTCTCGACGCTGGAGTGAGTTCCAGCCAATCAGCGAGCGGCGAGTTGTCTGATTGCTCCCAATTAACGCGCCGTTTTTTTCTGTACTCCTAGATTAGCCGAGTTCAACGCCAAACTCGACACCGCCAAAGACCCCGCCGAGTCCTTCGTCATCTGGAAAGACGAGGTGCGTGTTTTTTGCCAGAGTTTGGCGATGTTGTCGTGAAGAACCGTGTTCGTTTCCCCGTCTCACTACACCGACATCTTACGGTGTTGATGTGTGCGCTAAACGGTCTCAGTCTCCTACGTCACTGTAGAATTGCCGAATCATGGTCGGTGTAGGTCTTAGTCTACCAACCTTCCAGGAGTTGTCAAGAGCTACGTTAGCTAGGATTTGAAACCGACCATCGCGCAACCGCGCTAATTTATTGACTGTTAACTTCCGAGCTCAACCAAGTTGGTGTCGTTGTGTGTCGTCTGTATTTATACCTCAAATGCGTAACTCATAGATGCGCTAACCTCGAGACCTAGGTGTGAGGATGATCCAAGATGAAGGAGTTGACGATCCGCGTGACTGACAATATGCCGGAGGTTGGAATGGCCGCGTTAGCGAGTTTGTACAAATACGATTCACAGCAAGATTTCCAGGCCCACATCTGTCGTTTATCCGGTCTCCCAAAGTGCTAGCAGAGCGCATGCTATAGCGTTGGTGGCCTTCAATTTGCAGTTTCTGGAAAAAAGCCATCTTTTTTGTTATAAACGGTGATGACGCAGTGGAAATCGTGGTGGTGGTGGTCACCGGTTGGTCAAAACAGGTAAATTTCCGAGGAAGAGTCGATCCTTCGGTGAAGAGTTAAACAAGAGAGGGGGCTTGGCAACAACCTACGACGAACTTTGTTGAGCACGCCTCACGTGGCCACCAGGTGGAGTCTGGTTGCCACACCCGGTTTGAAGTTGTTGAAAATTTGCAGAGAAATTAAAGTGCTTTATGTTTGCTTCATCTGTGAGATCGCACGAGCGCGCAAGGTGGCCGAGCCGCCGGGTCTACGGGCCGAGTCCAAAGCAGCTGTCAACGCCAACGACGCCTCGTCGTCGTCCTCCTCCTCCTCCAAGTGGACTCTTGAAATGACCCAACTTCTGATCAAGGCCGTCAACCTCTTTCCCGCTGGCACTCAGAAACGGTGAGTCACTTCCAGACGACCATTTTGCGAGATAATCACGCGGTAACCGTGTTCTGTCCGTCGCCTAGGTGGGAAGTCATTGCAGCTTACGTAAATCAACACTTGGAAGGCGTCTCGGTGACTGGTAAGGAGGCGCTGAAGCAGGCCAGGAGTGTTCGCGATGACTGTAAGCCGTTTTTTATTTCTTCGCTACTTACTACAAGTGAGTAGGCGTGCTATTTTGTGATTTTTCGTGATTTGCAGACGGCACGTTGAAGGAGGAGACCAACAGGAAGGCCTTCGACAGCTTCACCAGCTCCACGAAACAGGTGGACGCCACAAAATCCGTGACCATCACGGATCAAATTGAAGGTAACCAATAACACACGAGTCTAGCAGGCCTTAAAGTCCTTCCAGTGAGGCAATGTGGATGTGTTGTGCCGTTTCCAGAGCTAAAATAACGAAGCCATGTGGTTGCTATGTTTTATGAATTTGAGGATCGTGTCAAGACAAACTGGAATCTGATTTCTGTGAAGCCTCTTGAACCCTTAACGCTCAACGTACTTTCACGTCAAAAACATACATTCAATTTGGTGTAGACCGTGCATGATTTGAGCGTCGCTGGCTCTTGTACCAACGCCCCACTTTCAATGCCACTTTGTGGCCCCCGCACCAACTCAGCGTCCCCCCTTTCGCTTTGAGTGGCGTGTTGTATCGTGCCAAAGCGGTCTCCACCCTAGGCGTGGTTGCTAGCCGCCCCTCTTATTGATAACACCCCACCCCTCCCCATGTTAATTGCACCGTGCCGTCTTGGCACGAACTCCAGCCCGATGCGGTGTGGTTTTTTGTGTGTGTACACCCGGTGTTGTCTTATCCCTAGCCGACGCGTTCCGTCCGTGGACGGTGGCCGAACAGCGCGCCCTGGAGAAAGCCCTACGCGCGCATCCTGCAAGACCGGACGAGCCCGCGTCGGAGCGTTGGCAGCGCATCGCCGACGAGGTTGGCACTCGCACGCGACGCGAGTGCATGCTGCGATTCAAGGATCTGGCCGAACAGGTACCAGCCCTTACCGCGATGTGCTTTTCTGTTTATCTTTTTGTGTGTCCTTCACGTCCGATTTTAGATCCGGTTGAAGAAGGCAGCGATGACGGCGGCCGGTGTGTCGACCAAGAAGTGACCTGCGCTTTCGTCGACCCCTCTTGGCGCCTCCTCCCCCCACCTCTATTTTTGCACAAATACAAACTAGCCTTGTTTTGTTGCCCTCTAGTCTTGTTATCTTTGGTGTAGCAGAAACAGACAACAACTTGTACTTGTTTTATTGATTTGGGTGGAAAACGCGGTAACTGGGCGCACTCTAGAAGCTATGTATTCCTTTTCGTTTTAGACAAGAGTCAAAACACGATGTAAAAAAGGGAGGGGGGAAGTGTGTCCCGCTCTAGGGCTTGGCTTCCTCTTTGTGTAATTTCTGGAGAACGAAGGTGCTGACAAGCATCGACGTGGGGGTTCCAGTTGCTCTTTCGTCTGGTTTGCTGACTCCCACGGCTCCTGCAATGTCCACGTGGGTGTAGGGGATCTGGAGACCTTCTGAGTCCAGGCCGTGCTAAAAGAGGAGAGAAGGCTGTGTTAGGGCTTCTGATTGGGTCGTCAATCACTGTCCAATGAGATTGCGCGTCGTGCCAGCAGCGGCGTTCTGATTGGTGGGCTTTTATCAAGCTGGAGGCTTACCTCGTTGAGTTTGCTGGCCATGATCATCCACGCCATGGGGTACTGGTGGCCGCGGTAGAAGATGGTTCCAGGATGGGTGTTGCGTTGTTGCAAATCCTCGTACTGCGTCACCGGGTAGACGTTTTCAAAGTCCTCCCTGCGAAGGCTTGAGATCTACAACAAGTCAATAAATCGATCTATTCCATCGGTTTAAAATTGATCCACTGCTTTGGTGAATCACTTAATCGATGTCACTGCAGTGGTTGCGTTTTTAACGAAATGAAACCAACTTCTCGTGAGGTGTGAGTAGGTAGCGTTCTGAACTCACCTGCCCAGGATCACCGACCATCATACCCCAGTCGCAGAGGTCTTTCGCGTACTTCTTAACTCTCGCTGGTCCATTGTCGACGACTGCCTAGAGAATCAATGATAAAACTGCGTTATTTAGAGTGTTGGAAGCTGAGTAATGCGATTAAAATCAAGTTAATGGCAGCTGCCGATCTTCATTGCTAAGAGACCTTGTGATTTCCCAGGTTGCAAGTCCGTGTCCAGGTAGGCACCAATTTAATCGGAAATCGATATTTGTAGCCTTCCCTTTGTCCATTTACATATACATTTCATAATTTGGAGACGTGTGGGTACCTTGGCGAATTCTTACGTGAAACCACCCACTCCGGATAACTAATGCGGACCGACAGACCACTTGTCCCAGTCTCACTAGAAATTTGTTAGTATGTCGTTGGATTTTTCTGCAAACTTAAATTGTATCTGCCGAACTGTGAGGCCTCAACCCCAAGGTCATTAACAACTGACATTGACCCTTGCGGATGGGTATTTCCCAAAAGTGTCCAGTACTTGAATCTGACTGACCAACAATTCGTCAGCCATTTAAATTTAAAAAAATATATTATGAAAATATAACTCTCGTTCCCTCCTGCTGCCGATTAGACTCACAAAGGGGCTAAAATCAATAAAAATAAGAAAATATGCTAGAAACTCTCAAATCGATGCTGAATGGTAATCGATGCTCAAATGGCCAACGAACTTTGTTCCCATTGGCCAGGAGTCCATCTCACATAAATTTGATTGACTGACTTGTCCAAATGAAGTGCAAACTGTTTCCCTGTTCAGCTAATGAATAGACGATTCTGCTTGTCGTAATTTTGTTCCCAGGTGGTAGATGCAGGCGTTTTGGTTCGTCGATTTTGTAGTGAACCGTCGACGAATCACTATTAGACGATACTGCTGTACTACCAATAACACACACGACCAACCATCCAACCGCAAATTATCTAGTGTAGATTCTGGACCAGTGTTTGAATCGGCGCCGTTCACGAATTAAGACAAATTTGTTTAAACTCACGGGGATCGTGCCGAAGGCTGACACTTGGGCTCCTGTCAGTGTTGCCAGCGACATGAAATGTGGATTTTTGATATTCATTTTAACAGCCTAAACGCAAGCAACAGAAAATTAAAGTAACTGAGGTCTAACTAACGTAACAGAGACCTGAGACCATTTATGCTGGCTTATTTTTGGAGCCTACCAGTGGTCAAGATCACACGGTGTCCCGGGGTTCAGGCTTATTGATTTTGGTTACGTACAGGTCGCTACACTACTTCAACGAAAGTTGGAAACGGCCAGAATTTTTACCGCATGATTTTCATTAAGTAGTTCATTATCACAATGACTCAGGGAACATGGACTAACCCCAATCGACATCTGGTGGAAAGACACGTAGCTAGAGCTTGTTCAGGGGTGCTACCGCTTGTTACGGATTCTTAGAGTGCGCTAACGAGATTATTAGACAACTTAGTATCTTGACGCTAAGTCCGCCAGCCAATTAGGGCCCGAAACAGTCTCACCTCAGGCAAGGCCTCAGCAAGCAGATCCACCATGACATTGCGTCCCTCCGCGTCGGTGTTTCCAATGAGACTTCGGACGCCAGCGCCACTGGGAATGATCTCGTCCACCGCGTAGGCCTCAGAACCAATGCCGTTGCGCACGTACGCCATTCGGCCGTACACCGTCAGACCGGCGGGCTGGAGTTTCTCCAGGACCTTGATGAATCCGGCCACCGCGGCGGCACCGCACTTGTCGTTCCGCATGAACTTCATGTTGCCCGACGTCTTCACGCTGAGGCCACCGCTGTCAAAGGTGATGCCTTTGCCGATGACAAAGAGGGTCTCGTCTGTTTCGGGCTTTGCCCCGCCAGGTGGGAGATAGGTCAGTTTAATCACGCGCCCTTGGTACTTCTCAACGCCTATTGGTTCAAAACCAGTCATTAAAACAATCAATTGTTGAACGTGTGAAATGAGTGAAGAACCATTACAGTCGTTATTCAATGCTAATATACTACCTACTTTCCTTAACAGCACATATAATTAGTGTTTGGAATCAGAGAGAAATGGGCAATCCCATCTAAAAAGCGTGAATAACTCACTGACCCTTGTTCACGCGATTAACGGCATGCATTGTGGGGTACTTTGTCTGGTTGATGGGCTGCGAGTCGATCTGGATGTTGTCGTTCGGCTTAAAGTGCTCCAAGATGTACTTTTCAACAGCTGGGGGCGCCATCTGCTCCTCATCCGTAGCGCAGATGTCCCGCGTCACGTACAAACCCTCCTCCATGGCTTTGGTGTAATTTAAAATTTCCTCCATCGTTGCGTTTGCAGTATCTTTCTGGAAGTAGACTCCGAAATCGTCGTATCTTGGGTACATGTGCGGCCGACTTTCACGAACTTGCAGGGGCTAAAAAATTACGCGAAATCACAAGCATTTTGACATGTAGAACACTGACGCTCTTCGGCTTCTTCCAAACGTCTTGTAGGAATTGAAATTGGTTGCGTTTTCATCAAAATCTACATTAAAAATGGACGCGAGGAGAATGGCAAAGATCGTAGCTAAACACCGGATTTCGTGGTCCTAGGTTTTATTTATTGGGTCGGTGATGACAACATTTCAAAAATCCGCCATGGGCTAACCAATAGAAATTTACGATTTGTGTTAAGGTGTACGTTCTGTCAGAAATCTTTATCCAACCATCTTCAGCAACTGAGTCTATTGATTTCCTGGCTGCCCGGTTTGATTGGAAGCACTTGACCAATCAGAAAGCCGCGGAAACTTCAGAACTCACCCACAAACTGAACTGATGGAAATCTACTGCAAAATACTTTTCAATCAGTCCCTTGATTAACGGATTTTTGATTAGCAGTCAATACTACTAGTTAGTAGTATAATCAGAATTAACAGATGTGCAGAACTTACCACGTACAACTCACTCAAGATGCCCAGAAGCGCCGTGAGTTTTGGCCAAATCGAGGTCGCCCATTTCTGATGCGGCAGTTTGGAGTTAAACTCACCCACCACCACCAATGGCCTTCTCACATTCAGCTCGATCATTCTAGAAATCAAAGGGACAAATTTTTATTGGTCATGCAAGATTGCACCGCCTTTTTCAAAAATTCGATAATCTGGACATTAGACTATGGTATTTAGCTAATTTAATCCAGCCAGTCTTTTCCAAATTAATATTGTTGTTTAAATGATCTACAAGTGCGGGGTTTTTGTATCCGCATAATTTAATTAACGAATATCAGACGAGAAATTTAGTTTAGGGTGAAAATCGAGATTCTGCGGAACTGAGGAGTGCAATTCGCAAATTCGTCAACCTACTTTTTGGCTGCGGTTGCTCCGGCCTTGTAGATTAGCCTGCTGTCGGCGTAGTCCTTGTTAAGAAGACCAGACAAGCCAACGATCTACCAAGGTAGCAGTTAGAGGAGTTAAAACTAAAGTTATATTTTTTCGTGAAGCTACGTTCTCGACAATCGTACTTTGGCCTTGATGGAAAAGGCATAACTAGCTCCGTTTACGCTTCTGTCCAACCAGTTTACATAGCTTAACATCAACTACATTGGGTCAAATTAAATTAAACCTCACACTAACCTTCTTACTTCAGTGCAGAGGCCATTGACATTGTTATACTACTTAAAGCTTGTGTCAGTAGTTGGAGCTTTTCAAGCATGCTCCGGAAAAACGTGCTAACACAGTCTTGCATTTCAAATCTCGAAATAAACAATGTTTTAACTGAAGTCTGCATCCTACTCTGGGAGAAAATGTGGATACGGCCATGTTAAAATATCACAGTATCAGCCCCGCATTTGCACACCAACTTACCATGTGCTTGCTTGGATGCGTCAACAACGGCACAACAAGTCCAGACGTGATTGGCTGCTTCAGCTAAAAACGAACATTATTCATTAACTAACAAGGCAAAATCGGGTTTTTAATCCAACAAATATGTCTGGACAAAGTAGCCAATGAGGTGCTTCGAAAACTCGACTGACCGAATTTGATGGGCGCGCGGTTCGCTGCCCGCCAATCAAATCTCACAAACCACTGAATGGTGCTGTATTGTAAGGTTATGGTGATAGCATTATTTCACACTGTGTCCCCATTTAAACATAAGTTATTAACTAATTGGGATCAATTTTTTTTAATTTTACCTTGTTCAAATCGTGAAATTGCAAATATGTCTGAATCCAGTTTTGTGGATTAGAACATCTTGTTTGTTAACTTGGAGCGACAAGGGCTTACCGCGGAGTATTCAGTCATCGCCTCGTTGAGGGATGGTTCTGTTGAAGTGGCATCATCGTTGATGAAGATGACAACATCGTAAGGAGCTCCGGTGAGGTTGGTTTCGGCGTGGATTTTGTCCAACTCAACGAAGCCCTCTGTGGACAGGAGGCAGAGCGTCAGCCCGAGCAGGGCACTCACGAAACAGTTCACTCGCATTCTTCCTACCGCTAAGGTGAGAGAATTGACGCGGTCTCGGTGTGCCAGCACTTTATACGAAACGCAGCTTTTCAGAGCTAATCACATTTGTGCACACACACACACACACTCCTCGTGTCACCTCGAAAGCGTGAGCCCTTTCTTGTGTCTCTCGCTCAAGGGCTTCTCTGCCTGAAGACGTGTTTAGTGGATTCGCAATCAGATCAAATCTGTATCGAATTTTGGTTAATTTGATTGGCTAAAGCTAATTGGACGCAATGTTGTCCAATTACGGGGTCAGATTTACTTTGCACCCACTTTTAAGTTAACTTTTCTACAAAAACCGACGTGTGGAAGCCAATTTTTCCCAAACTGACACTATGAAAAAGTGTATTGAAGCTATCAGGTTCAATTCTAACAAATTTTACAGGGTGGTTCGATCGATTAATCGCAATGATTCGTCAACAATTTGGGTTTATTTCATTAGATTTTCTTGTGAATATACAAAAAATCACGGATATCGGAGTGCTAAAGTTTACTATTCTTGAAAAACAAGATCCACTTTTAGCATGTTATCTTGGCAAAGCCATTCTCCTTAAGTAAAAACCCCCTTACTAGCCGTCTTCTCAGGATTTTTTTCGCATGAATCTATTGTAAGGATCTGAGATTTGCCTACTTTGAAACAACTAATCAGTAACCTGTGGCTTTTGTTTAAATCAGTTCAGTTTTGAAAGTAAAGCGCACAAGAATTAATACTGATTTCGGTGTTAAAAAATTGACATTTTCTTAAAGCCAGTCCCCCATTATCATAACGAGTATCGCAATTTAACGATTTACTCATTTTTGTTGTAATGTTTGGAAAGACAACAGTTGATTGTGAGACAATCTCAGGTTGCAATATTTAGCTGCTTTGGTGTTCTGCTTGACAAGGTGACACTACAAACTGTTTGTTCTTTGTACGCAATTTGTGCGGCATTTGTGTGAGATTTTGTCATCGTTTGAGCTCGACTAATCACAATGCTTACCTACGTGCCGTCATTAGAATTTATTGGACAGTTAAATTGCCATTTCGTTTAGCACTGAACATCAGTTTAGTGTCTAAGATTGTGGCATTTGTCTAATGGCGATGATCGACATCAATCCATCTTTGGTGCGTTTGGCGATTCAAAAAATTGTCAAGTTTTTGTGGAAATACCAAGCATTTTGAACTAATTTTTCCTTCTTAACACTCCTTTCCTTACTGTACTTGATTCTTTCACGTCCCACAAATTCTGCGTTTTTGAGTAAATTAAATTTTAATCTTCCGCGATCATTGTCCATCAATTTGTCACAACTTAGCAATTTGCAACGCAGAGACACTGCATAATCGTTGACAATTTTGACGAATCGGCAAGGAGCAAAAATGAGCGCATTTTCGATCATATTACATCGTGTTATCACCCTTGACCGCAGTAGTATTTCAAGACAAGTTAGTGTTCACATAGAACGATTTGGGATCCACTTTTATTATCTGCATTTGCTCTAGGTGGCATTATGACACCCCATGTGATGCTGGATTTTTCATTCTGCTGAAATCTGCGCAGAGGGCATCATTTGACTGCAAGAAGGTATAAACAAATGTTATTATTACTGCTACTAATACAGGCACAAAGCCAGACCAGTCATTCGACTACGAGAGAGTCAAATCTGTCAAGGCGACGTCTTTCCTTCCTACGGTTTTTCGGGGGTCATAAGCTTCGGCAGAACGTAGTTAGTGATGAGCATGGGAATTGGCGTAGCCGTCGCAGTTTCATCCGGGCGTTTAACTCCGGCGGCTGACGAGATATCGAGATGGGTGTAGGGGATTTTCATCTCCTCGTTGTCATTGCCGTACTGAAATGAAAGATTAAGAGCCAAACGGTGCGACTTCCTTGTCTCAGTATGATCACATGATGAAGATTTGCACTTTCCCGGTCAGACGTGACCTTGCCACAAAAATAGGGACGTGTAAAACACACTTTTTTTACAAATCTGTAGTGTTGAGGAAGGTCAGTGGGCGCGTAGGCCTAAAAAGCTCCCCAAACAGGCTTAGTGCAAGCTGATTGGTGCAAATGACTCACCCCTGTACTTCATTGGTTCTTATTCTAAAGTACATCCACCAATAATAATTGTTGTCTTGTGTACATCAGTGAACTAGGTAAAGATCTGGTGTTGAAGATGATCGTAGAAAAAATTTTCGATTTTTAGAATGCTTGTTTTACGTTCTCCAAGGTGATCTTTGGTGAACGTTTGATGCCTCAGTAGTGGTTTTACAGCTCAGTGGCGTGATTTTCATGATCTTACGCGATCCAGCTTGCTCGACATTATCATCCAGGCCGCGGGGTACTGATGTCCGCGGTAGAAGACGGTTCCTGGATGGGTGTTGCGCTGTTGAAGGTCCTCGTACTCGGTGATGGGGTAGCAGTTCTCGTAATCCTCACGACGAAGTGACGAGACCTGTGGGCCAATTTGTGCGCGTTACAAGGCGTTTTCGGTGGTTGCCATGGGGACTGTATAGAAAAACACACCTACCTGTGCGACGTCCGCCACAAGGGCTCCCGCATCTCGGATTTTTTGAGCGGTTTTCCCACTTCTTGCTGGACCGTTGTCAAGGACAGCCTAGAGTAAACACTTCTGGCTGGTAAAAATAATACAAGCGGGCAGGCAGGTAAAGTGTTTAGGTTTGAAAAAAGACATGAAATGTTGGGAGGGTTCTTCACGCTGTAATTGGGAGAAAAAATCCCACTTAGGGGAGGTTATTCACTCAAAGTTGACGCATGCGTTTAGATAGATGTGCTGATTTTGCAAGTGTTTAGAGGGCTCTACCGAGGTTAAACGAATCACACACACACGCACACACACACAATCACACACCAATTATGAAGCAGGTTTAACTAAATACAAATACTGTGTACTACATTTATCTGCTCCAGTGTAAATATTCAATAACTGTTAAAACAAATAGCTTCAAGTATTTTGTAGCCAATGAGGAGAGCGAATTCCCTGTTTGGTGCAAGGGCCAAAATGCATCAAAATTTGGCGCAGCCAACCAATCACATTATAACGAACTTTGAAGCTCATAGTAGAATGGAAGTAGCTTGAGCTGATCATGGATCTTTGCATATTTTTGGTCCAAAAACTCGGATCTCAGTTTCCATAGCACACTACGGAGGCAAATGCTGATCGATATGCGTCCTTTCAGTTGGAGTGACATAAGATTGGAATGAGCTTAACGCAGAATTTTCGTGTTAGTAAGTGTTTACCGATTCACATTCCAAGCGACACGGATTAAATTCAGCAGTATTCTTTTCTTTCAAATTCAACAACTGGAACATTTTTCGAAACTTACAGGAAGATGACCAAATGAACTGCCAACGTGGCCAGTGAGTGTCGCAATGGTGAAAAGGTGCGGCGCTTTCACCTCCGGCTTGACTGCCTAAAAATTAAGGATAAAAAGACTCCGCAAAAGCAATTTCGATTAGTTAAAGCCCCAAAATCCTATTCGTTAGCAGCTCAGACGTCTAATGAGAGTGGCCAATAAAAAGTGTGCTGTCAAGGTTAATAGGCCACAAATCCGTCCCTAACGTCTGAGGGCCTTCCCCTATTCATACTGTCCAATAGAAATGGAGTTAGAGGGGTGACCTTTGAGCTGACCAATAGGGTTACAGAGAGTTTACCTCCTCGACAGCCTCGGCCAGGAGGTCAACCATGACATTTCGGCCCTCGGCATCGGTGCTGCCGATGCGGCTTCGGACGCCGGCGCGCGAGGGGATGATTTCGTCCACTGCGTAGGCCTCAGAACCAACGCCGTTTCGCACGAATCCCAGTCGACCGTGGACCTGCAAGTGCGGGGGACGCAGCATCTGCAACGTCCGCATCAAACCCACAATGGAGGTGGCGCCGCACGTATCCTTTCGCATCCAACGCATTCCATTGTTCACCTTGATACTGAGGCCGCCGCTATCGTACGTGACTCCTTTTCCAATTAAGTAGTGTGTTTCAGTAACACCATTCGCATCCGCCGGCGTGTACGTCATTTTGACAACTCGACCCTCATATTCGGGCACACCTGAAATGCACCGCCAATTTATCAGTGTAAATCACTTCTGGTGATTCATTTACACGGAAAGGCTACTGAACTAACCCTCGACCACACGATTAACAGCATCGATCATTGGATAGGCGGTTTTGTTAATTTTTTCCGACGTAAATGTGAGTCCGTCGACTTGCTGAAAGTGCTCCTTAATGTACTCCTCAATTCTCGGAGGCGTCATTCTCTCCTGGTCTGAGGCACACAGGTCCCGATGGATGTACGCACCCTCCTCGATGGCCTTGGCAAATTTGATGACATCGGTTTTCGCGTTGTAGACACCAAACTTGTCAATCCTCGGATAGACCTCTGGATGGGCTTCTCGAACTTCAAGAGGCTTAATTAAGCAAAAACATTACAATTTGAACACAAAACTACGCTTGGTTCTGGCGAGGAAAGTGAGCATTGAGAAGCAAACGTTGGCTATTCTAGGTTTTTTTGGTGCCGTGTGTAAAAATGTGTGCTTAGGTATCGTAAAAATTTTCCATTTGTTTGGTAGCTCTTAAAATTGGTTGTGAGTCAGAACCCTGGTGTCAATTTCCCACATATTTTTCTGACCATTCTGATGCTAGGTTTTCCAGATTCTTCACGACTCATTGATTTTATCGAAATATAATCTTCCACATTTCCTAAGTATCGATTTTTTGGCAACAACCTCAAAACCGATTTACTTAACAGTAGTAGGACAATTGTGTTTTAAAAAAGTACGCGTTTTTGGTGTTGTGGGTAAAACGTTTGCGACAAAAGACTGCATGAATTGGAATTGGCAAGCAAAGGGTGTACTAGCGGCTCAGCATCAACGAAAAATGCAGATGTAGGGAAAAATTGTTCTGGTGCGCCAAACTGGAGTTAATCGTCTGCTTAAAGACTGCTGTTTCTTGTAGAATTTGCCAAAAAGCAAAAAAGGGTAACAGGTTTCTGAATGAAGTGGTGGTGAGAAAATCCTTTTTGCACTTACGACGTAAATTTCGTGGAAGGCTCCAAGAATTGCCGTGATCTGCGGCCAGATGCCCTGTGCCCATGGGTGTCGGTCTTGGCCAAGATTTGTTTTAAATTCCCCCACAATGAGGTTCGGCTTTCTCAAACTCAGTGACTTTAGTCTGATCAGCAAAATGAACAAATGTGTGTGTTATTTTTCAAAGTTTTTCTGATCTAAGACACCTAAGTCGCAACTTAGCCGTTCAATTTAACGTTTGTGACTTTTAGGGTATCGAAAATCGGATTTTCTGTTGCTACAATCTGCAAAAATTCGTCAAAAAAGCGCAAATTTTTGCACTATTTGGAGCTTACGTCTTTGCAGCCTTTGCGGCAGCATCGTGTATCAACCGACTATCGGCGTAGTCCTTTTTCAAACTGCCCGTCAGGCCAAGGATCTAAAAATCACAAAAAAGGGGTTATTTTGTGCGGTGATCATGCAGTCGACTCCCCCCAAATGGGCATTTTATAGCCGAAACATGGGGAGATGTAAAAATTGCGTTATTTAGGTACCAAATCAAGTAAATTAAGCCTTTTTGAATTCATGCAGTCGACGGAAAGACAACTACTGACACTACGTTAACAGATGGCCTTTTTGTGAAATGCCAGACATGAGAAACTCACCAATGTCTTATCTGGATGCGTTAAGAAAGGCACAACCATCCCGGAAGACAGACTTTGGTTCAGCTGAAGTGTGCAACAGCAGGATTAAACAAAAACTCGTGGTTGGTGACTCAAGAACGCCAATATTCACGACTTTATTACCATCTGATATTCAACGATAGCGGCCTCAATTGGCGCCAGTTCAGGAGGAAGACCGGTGAAGGCATCGTTGATGAAAAGGATGGAGTCGTATTCTGGAGCGTCGATGCTGGTGACAGGTGAAATTGCCTCCAGATCGAGGAAGCTTGCACCAACCTGGATGCCGACGGTTAGCACACAGACGAACAAAGCTGCAAGCAGTCGCATTGTGTTCGCCAAGAGATTACTGCTGGTGGTAGTTTGGTAGCGTGTGTGTCAAATTGCCTGCCAACTCGGTGATGTTGAGTTATCGCGCGCTCTCACACCCTACTCACACGAGCACACGGAGCGACGAGGTTTTTATAGGTAACCACGAGCCAAGTGATAAATATCGGATGCCATTCACATTAATTTTCGGTGTTTAAATTCGAAAAAAGGCATGAGTAATTTGTAACTAGTCGCATGCAAATGCACCGACCACAACTAGAGTTGACATTCAACTGGGGAAGCAGTGGAGAAAAGCCTACTTTTTTTTCAAAATTTAATTCTTCAGATCAAATATTTGTCAGATTCCACGTCACGTTGCTGGACCTTACTGCATTTCCAAACCCGGCTTTGAAATTTCGTGTGCTACCGACGACTGCGCAGATTTTTTGTTTCTTTCTTCCTAAGGGACTGTTTAGAGAAAAATATTTCAGCATCTAAGACACTGGACACTTTTGGTGAACCCGCCTTCATTAATTTTGACCCGTGACTAGTCAATTGCGGAGCTCATATTGAATAGTTCCATGGAAAAGAGGACATCACACTAGTTACTGATTTTCGCGCACGACTCCACCGGTTGATGACAAGTTCTTGTGAAGCTTGTTTTATAGACTACGATCAAAAAACATTTCCAGGAAGTCTGATTGTCTATGAAACAACAAGTAGACTTTGGTCTTTCTCTAGGTGAAAACGTGGTTATTCGCTTTTGCTGGATTGTAATTGAGGAGACAGCGTTGTAATCGAACAACCTTTTTCGAAACGGTTTATAAAACAGGCTTGCTGAATATCGAGATTAAATATTTGGACACTAGAGTAACCGTTCCACCAATAACCGTGCAGCATCCGATTTTAGGAATCAGAAAGCCATTGGTTCCCTCTCCCAACCAATCCTCACGCTTCCCACAAGCTCCCAATTAGAACCGTCCAATGAGGTTGTATCCGTTATACAGAACATAAACAAGGTGCGAAGGTTCTACGCAAATTTATTTGCAAAACTATAATCAAGGGATGCAAACAAGGTGTTTAGTTGTAAGGAGAGGTCAGAGGGGAATTGGTGGTGGTCGATGCCTAGTTGGTAGTAACTTGAGCCTCGGGGAAATCGATGTTGTATGTCGACTTGAGCCTTGGCAGGACATATCGACTCACAAACAGACTGGTTGGGGTGCCAGTGGCCTCGATATACTTCACTCCGACCGCTGCCGAAACGTCCAAGTGGGTGTAGGGGATCTTCTTCTCGCGGGTCTGCAGTCCCCACTAAAAACGTTAAAAAAAATCGGTTAAGTTGCCCTCCTAGGTGTCTCATTCTTCTTAAATAGCCAAATTAAACTGTCACTTAAATCAATAGTGGTGAATAGTTATGATGTTTCAGATCTGTGACTATAGAAATGTATGTGAAATTGGAGCCAAAACGCTGTTCATTAAAACAGCTCACTTCGTCAAGTTTCGACGCCGTAGCCATGAATCCTGCCGGCAACTGGACCCCACGGTAAGTGGAGGTTCTGGGTTTGGTGTTGAACTGGAGGATGTCTTCCATCTCAGTTTGTGGACGGTTGACGTCGTAGTCCTCCTTCCTCAGAGTCATCGGCTACAAGAAGAAGCCAAAATCGTGACTCCATGCTTAGTAAAAGTTGATTTGTGTGGAAATGACTGCAAACGACACACAATTTGACGAACCTCGACTACTTCAGCGATGTTGTCTCCGGCCACAACCATGCTTTTGGTCACATTCTCCTTTCTCGCTGGGCCGTTGTCGAGCATTGCCTGCAATCACAAAAACGCATAAAACTTGTAAGATTTCGAAGCCGGACAGAGCCAAAATACGTCCTCTTTTCTTCAACTTACGGTGTTGTGCTTGAAGTTACGACCAACTGCGCCGGTTAGCGTCGCGATTGTGAAGAAGAAGGGATTTACGTACTTTTTGTCGTCGTGCTGTGGAAATGAAAGGCAAATTTGTTGACTAGGGGTGACATGCTTATGGTTTAGAGGCAATTTGTTCGACTGGTACCTCTTTGACAGCGTCGGTGAGCATGTCAAGCATGACATTGCGACCTTCAGCATCAGGGGAAGTCATGCGAACCCGCACACCCTGTGACGTCGTGACAACCTCGTCGAAGACGTAGCTGTCTGAACCGATGCCATTTCGCACGAAGGCGAGGTGAGCGCGCGCCCGCAGGTGCTGTGGTTTGAGCTCCTCAAGGACTTTCATGAAACCGGCAATCGAGGTCGCTCCGCACTTGTCCTTCCGCATGAATTTCATGTTGCCGCTGACTTTGAGTTCAGAGCCACCGGTGTCGTAGCAGATGCCCTTGCCAACGAACACAAGGGTCGGATCAGCATCGTTGGCCTCTGCGCCATCATATTGCATCTTAATTATCCGCATTCCGTATTTATCGACACCTGAAAAATTCAAAACCCTACAGTCAATCTGATCCTTGTTCTATGCCTGCATTTCCTCGCCTGGGTATGAAGCCCGCTGAGTACACAACTTCGTTGCCTAACCACAGCACAAATGAGTTGAACCGTCAATTTAAAAATTTCGAATCCCACAACACTAATAGGTGACCTCAAATAGTTCATTTTCGTTGACTGGTTTAGGACAAAGGCAAGCGTACTTCTCACGGCCCGATTGACGGCGTAGCACACCGGCCACAGAGCCTCATCGGCTGTAAACTCTTCAATTTGAATCGTCTTATTTACGTCGAAGTACTTGTTGTAGTACTCTGCCACCTTCGGTGGGGGCATTCTCTCCGGATCTGATGCACAGGTGTCGCGGTTCACAACTCGACCCCTTTCGATGCCCTGTGCGATGGTCGCAAACTCCGCTGGCACGCCATAAATGGTCATCTTGTCGAACTTGGTCTTCGTCGCGTAATTTGGGTCCTCACGCAGAATCAGAGGCTAAAAACACCACAAACCAGTTAATTAAGGGCCGTTTTCAAGTCGTTGCAGTTTGAGGCTTGCCCTCTCACCATGTAGTAGCCCTGAAGGGCACCAAGCGTCATCTGAAGGTACATGTAGTTTTCGTTCTGCCACTGTTCTTTCTCCTCGTTAGCAGTTGGAACGGTCTTCATCGGACCCCTCACGAAAACGGGCTTTCGCAGTTTGAGAGAGTACGCCCTAAAGAAATCGCACACCATCTAGAGATGCCGTACAATGTGTTTGGAGGGCATTATCAGTTTTCGCGCACTTACAATTTCGCGGCGTCACGCGCAGCATCGTAGATCTGTCGGCTGTCGGACGCATCTCTGTTGAGGTTTCCCGTCGGAGCGAACAACTAGGCAGAAGAGAGAGATGCGGTAAGATGTCAGTTCGTGTTATTTTTGGGCGCCAAGCAACCACACGAGTTGCTCAATCTGGCTTACCAGCCGCTTGCTTGAATGAGCCATGAACGGCACGATTTGCAGTGTCTTGGGGGTTAGCGAGTCCAACTAAAAAATCAACACACATAGCGTCAGTAGCCCTGGCAACTAAAACCACCTCAGTTTGGTGAATTTCTGACTCACTCCATTGTACCGAACCAGGGCATCCTCAATGTCGGTGAATTTATCGCCCAGGTTGACGTAGTCGTCATTCACAAAGATCACCACGTCGAACTCCTCGGAGTGGTAGTTATCGGTGACGCCGATTTCGCCTAAACCATAGTCGAGATTGGTGAGTGCGGCAAAGGCGCCAGCCAGTAGCACGAGAAGGCTTAAAATCGAGCGATACATTTCTGTGCAGACGCAAGTACTCGTCAGATAGCGCAAAAGGAGGCCATAGCTTATATGACGCCAATATAACCACTCATCTGAGATTTTTCGCGCCTTCGCTCAAACCAATGGGAGTGTGGTAGGTTGGCGCACACGCACACACACGCACGCACACACAAATCACGCACTGACAAACGGATCACGACTACCAGGGCGCTATAGCGGGACTCGAATCAGGATAATGTCAATGTTTAATCAATGAAGGTCCATCTGCAGGTATAATGATTGATCGATTGATGATGTAGGTGTGAGCACAAGATGTGTGGCGATCAATGCATCTTGTGAGGTTGTGACCTTCGATTCAGTATGCCATTTAATGACCCTAAACATTCTCTCAATCATTTGAAATTTATAGGCCTAAAGATAGTCAACGTCATTGCTTCTGAATTAGGGTGGTTTACTGTGTTTCCGGTTCTTGAATAACTTTCCAATCAAAACGTCCATAGTTTTGGTTGGTTAAGGGGAGCTAAACTTACTTACTGTCTGCCCGAATTCTTTGTAAGCAACTTGCTAAATTGTAAGTTCGTTTTACACTAAGTTTCTTGGTCCTGGTTAAATTTAATATCATTTTGAAAGAATAATTGTGGAAGCCACTAAATGTTTTTGAGCTAACTCTTATATTTGAAGAGGGAGTTCCAATAGAAGTTCTCAGAAATTTTTTGCAGCTGAGATAACAATTTGAATTTTGGAAAAAAATTAAATCAGTATCTTGACTTCTTCTGTTTTTCGGTTAATTTTTCGGTATTATTCAATAGATTTATCTTTTTTTTCAAAGTTTCAAAGATGCGCGCAATTGGGCGGCCAAGTTTCGGAAAATTTGAACCGAGATGATGCTAATCTAATAGTATTCTTACAAATCACAAAATAACCAGTCAGCAGGCGGAGTTCGTGCTGCGTCTTTCAAGCTAATTTTGCTGAATCCTTAAAAAAAATCTTTTTTTTCACATTACACCAAAAAGCTCACTAATTATGAAAACAAAAATTGGTTTAAATTTCTGCTATCCGCGCGCCATTTTTTTCAAAAAAAGAATGATCAAAAGCAGTCTTTTGTCTGATTTAAATTTTTAAATCTTTTATTCTATTCGGTTCAATAAAAACAAAATTTACTGGATGGCCATAAATACTACTTATTTAAAACTAGCTATTGGCTATGGCATTACATTCTCGCGAATCTGCAAATCTATAAATTTCTGAACACTTGACTAGATAAAACCTTTTCGGTAATCTCTGGGAAGTTGAGTATAACTAAGTTTGGTTCTGGTCAAATCCTATTGGCTCAATCGATTGAGTAAAGCCTTCTGATTGGATGAATTTTGATTGCAGGCTGGATTGTTCAGGTTACATTGTATTTTACAGTGTAAACCATCTGAGCAGGTGCTGCCACATGACACGACATGAACACCAAATTCATCTTAGACTGCTACATGCCATCTAAGTAAGGGAAGGCTTTTGAATTAATTAAAATTAAAAGGCGCCCCAAACAGGCTCCCTGGCTCAGTAAAACAACAAAATCCTGCCGAACGATCGGTCAGTGTCAGGGTTAAAAATTAAACCAGACCTGCAGACTCTACAAATCACTTACATTAAGAGGCTGACTTAATAAATTACTTCGCACAGATTATGCCAATTATTACTTGTGATCAGCACGATGAAATTATTACAGGATTTTGAATTTTTAAAACTTCCAAAATCCACCAATATATCTGTACTCTGTTATGAGGTGGACACACCGACATTTGTTAACGCTAGAGAGTCCTTGGAGGGATTGGTGATTGGTCAATCGGGTGAACCAATGAAAGCTTAGGAGAAAGAGAGAGAGAGCAGGGGTCACAGATTATACCGGTCAAATCTTTTAATTAGGCATTTTCGGACAAGGTGCACCTACTTGCTGATAGATCAACTTAAAATTTTGATTTTATCTCTAACTAATTCTGACTCTGTTTATTTGGGTTAAATATTTAAAAAATAAACATTGTTGGCTAATTTTGTAAATAAAATTTGCACCAAATCGTATTTTTTGACAACAAATGTCTGCGAAATTTCCTCGTCCTTTTTTAAGGAATTGCTGCATAAATGTAGGTCTTAAATGCACCGCTGGATTTTCACAATCTTGATTACAAATTCGTGGTATTCATGCCCAGCCAGGAAAACTCCGTTGTATCGATTTTTCAGACGGTGTTCAAGAGGAATTCGGGTAAATTTATGACTGAAAGTCACACAAAAATTAAAAAAACCACCAAGAGAAAGTCGTAACTTTTCAGAAATGTTTATAATTAAAAGGCCAATCCGCTTGTGGCAACACACAATTCTGATTGGTCAATTGCGCACAGCCTAACAAAATGTGGATGAGCAGCAATCAATTTAATCCGTAAAATCAATATTTGATAAATTAATTAATTAGACCAACTTCCTTCGAATTAAATCGCTTATGAATGGTCCAGTTTAGAAATCTAGGTAGCAGCAGACTGCAGTATTGGTCCAGATTTCTGCGGATAATATTTTTATTTATTGACCACCCTATTAATCATCCTTAGTAAATCTCATGTTTATTGTTACAAACAGTTCACCTCTGCCGTCGATAATTTTGTCTGTGTCAGATACGGCATTTAAGACAACAGCAAGACTGTAACATTTGTCGAATTACCACAACGACATTAACAAGTCGATTTTCAGCTAATTTAGTTCAGCATGAGGTGAAATTGCAGCGTTCAGAGGAGCGTCTACTGTTTTGGCACCAAATTTCGGCATTTAACCAATGATAATGAGGGTGCCTGAACTCATTTTCCAACTAAAAGACGTTTTTTAATTATCAGACTTTGCATGTGTGAGGTAGATTAAAATCTGACTTGTTCGAGAGAGAGCGAGAGAGCACGACATTTCCACCAAGCCAAGGACACACTTCACCTGAGTGAGCAGTCACCAAGGGTGATCCACTTTAAATGGGGTGTGTCTCGTGTCGGCGGATCCTTTGAATGAGCAAAATTCACCAAAGGTGCTCTCCAACTCCGCCCTAGGGTAGCCACGGCGTTGGTTGACTCCCCTAACCACTGAAGTGGATCTACCCAACTGTTAAGACTTTCAAAGATCGCCTGAAAGTACAAGCAACTGGTGTTGCGATGTCGAAATTAACGGCGACAAATTCGAAGTATCAGTTAGAGAATATTTTATTACATAAAAAGGCTCCTGAACGTTCTGTTGTGGATAAGTCGCGATGTCACATTAATCTGACATTGTACAATTTACCACACCCGATTGTTGATCTCGAAGGTCTAACGATGAACTGGCAATCGTTGAAAGGATGCGCGTAAACTGCAAAAAATTTTGAATTTTAAAATAAAATTGATGCAAGTTTATAATTAAAAGGATGCAGGTATTGTTTCGTGCCTAGAACAATAAATTATTTTTTTGGTTGCTGATTGCCGACTGGACGCAACTTGTCATCTTCATGCATTTTCTATTCACCCTAAAATTGCATTTGTTAATTTTAAACACAGATTAAATTTTTCAAAACTCAATTTGGCGCTAAGTTTAGCGTATTGGATTGGCCAGGATTTTCATGCTGCCATCTACCTTGTAATTTATTCCGACTAAATCATTCTGCAGGTTTTTAATGCAGATTGAATGGACAACGCCGTTCGTACAATAAACTTAAGAAATCATTTCAATCGATTTTTGTTGCCCTGTGTTATAATTTGATCCACGTAAAAATGCTGCTTTACTTCACCAACCAATCAGATGCTCAAGTTAAACTTTGAAACCTGATTGGTTGGCAAAGGATCAACATTGTGGTTCCTCATATACCTGTCCACAATCACATGCAGATATCAAAATTTTGGCGTTATTTATGTCTTTTGGCCTCAAAAAGGGGAAGTACCACCTACATGTTAACAAATAAATTATCGTGCAGTCTGAAATTTCTAATTTTCGCTGAATGAGAACCAGAAAAGCCTGGTGAAACGCGAAACAGAGTTGGTTGGCGCACACACCACGTGAGAGTGATAAAGATGATGAAACTTCAGATTATTGAAGTTGGAATTGGCACGGAATTATCAAGGGGGGTGGGGGTGAGAAATAGAGTCGCGTTGAAAGCAAAAGTAAAGGCTTGAGCACCGCGTCAAACTGGCATCGCCCTAATGCCAAACCCAGTGCCCTCTACAAACCCGCCTCACAAAGACCCCTCGAAATCACTGCGCTTTGATTAATTAATTTTGCCGAGTGATAAAGTGAAACCGTTGGCTTAAATTAGCCAGCTAACGGTAAACTTAAGCAGATAGGTAATATGGTGAACTGAATCTGACTTTGGATGAGAGATAGGACACGTATTTGACTCGATGTTAGCGATCTTGTCTGTTTTTTGTGATTGGTGGAAGACAACACACGAACCATCCTGCATTTACTAGTTTCATGGCTAGTAGGTCAGAGCTACTGTTCGAAATATCGACCAATAAAATTCAAGAACTTGGGATGAGTGGCCAATCAGATTAGGGTTCGTCTCAATCGATCAGTTGCTTGATCCGATGGTCCGTGATTTTCGGTGTAGCAATCGATTTCGTAAAAGAAACAAACCCACTTGTGTATATTGCTGAAATTGATGAAATTTAATGACAAATTTTCCGCATAAATTAGGAAATAATTCTCCACGCTGCTTCAGCCTGACAATCATATTATCGATGCATGTAACTCGCCCCTTTAATTCTTCGAATGGCCTATCAAAGGCAAAACTGTACTGAATTCGTAAAATCAATTCTGTAGTACAGAGCACTACGATTAATCAAAGATCATAAAACATGAATTTTGGTGTGGAGTTCACGACTCGCTTATTGTCCGAATTTGCACCAAACATATTTTGGTAAACACTACTTGTTTCCAGGAGACAAGTTCTACAGAAACACCGTGAAGCGTCAATAATTATACACGAAACCTGCACTTCTCTTTTACGAATACGACTGGCCTGACGGCTTAATTAGCTGGGATTTTTAATTACCTGCAAGATTGCTTCGTACAAAAAAGCATCGCATTTCGCTGGCTAACAGGCTTTCCCTGCTGTACAATGATTGGTTGCACGTCCTACAAGTGTTTAACACCTTTCTGCGCAACTTCGATTGGCTGTACAGTCCTAATTTGACAATTATAAACATTTCAGTTTGTTTCTTTAAAAAATAAACAATAAAACGAGTAAAAAACTCTGGGGATTTAATTCAAACGATGTATTTTAAGGCTTCTTTAATTCAATGCATCAAGCATTTTAACATGGCGTGTTTTAAACACTGATTACACAATCTTATGCTTATAGAAAACACTAGTCAGTAGTAAGCATTCTGCATTATGTGATTAAGTGAGAATTTGTAAGAAGTAATTCTGCATTGAAAAAAGATTGTTACTTTTCCCAAAGAATTTGATCCGAGGGTACCTGATGAGGAATTGATTCATGTGTTTTAATGAAGTCATTTCGCTTCCTTCAAGGCCAACCACGTCGTGGCAGTTGAGATGGGCCTTCAAGGTGGAAATGTTTGCTTCTGTCTGAATCTACCTAAGACATTTCTAAAAACTTCAATGTTCGACGACGCAGTAGACACACGTAGAGGTAATTTAAACAAAGACACAACCTGTAGACTGGCAAATGAAATGATTCCAGACCATCCAATTCACCAAAATACAGTAGAATTTGAGACAAGTCGTAGTTACCGTGTCCCCTGCGTCATGTGCTAAAATTGGTGTCTATTCGCGGGATCACACGCACAGGTGTTCTGTCGATCGATTAGAGATGACATGCATCGGTTTTATTTGTAGTGAGGCGCGTTGATTCACGTTTATCGACTCCAACACACCACCCCCCTTTGTACAGCATGCCCGTCAGTCACGTGGGGGTCGTCAGATCACACACCCCTTCCCCCCGTCTAGGCATTTGTACTTTTGCAGGGTCAGAGAGACTGCATGACACACACGGAGCTGCATGACACACACGGTCCTTTGTGGTTTTTTAAAGGCTTCGGAACACCAAACGATGTCTATGTGAGTTACACTATCTCTCAGAATACCAGAGTTTACGATGGCAATTAACAAACAGCACATTCGATGGTACTGCATTTCAGATGAGTTCCAACAAGGGAAAATGATTCTACAGCGCAGTAATCAGTTTGTAGTGTTCTTGTTCCTTGCGCCCTAGGAAACGTGTTAATATATTGCCACGAGCGATTTAGAAGCAGCGATTTGGGGCTTGGTGACCAGCCGTGCCCCGGACAGCAAACTTGAAGGTTTGAGAAGCAGGATTGAAAGCTCCACGGGTTGGAAACTCAACGGAAACGCGACAAGAGCTTGCAGCTCAATTAGGAGTTACCTAAACAGCGATTGCCAGGTGGTTGCATCAAATGGGAAAAATTCAAAACTTGGATCCCCACACGTGCTGACCGAACACAACCTAGGTCAAAGAATGCGCACAGGCCTTTCTCTGCCCGCCCACAGGCGATAAAAAGGACTGCTGGTGGAAAATTGTGGCGGGCAGTGACGAGTATATGTTTACGAGAATTCCAAACGCAAAAAAGGGTCATGGGTAGATCCCGGGCAACCCAGAAATGCATCGACGCCGAAAAAGTGCATTTAAATGACGAACTCCTGAAAACTGGTCGTCAGACGGTGAGTGAGACAATTGAACAAACGGATCGAAGAGACCGGAGATCAGAAAAGGTTATTTACTGGACAAGGAAGTAGGCAAGTTATAATGTTGCTGCATGTCAACGCTCGACCACCTCACGTTGCTCGCGTGACTCAGAAGACCCTCTTGAACTTGGGATGGGAAGTTCTCCCAGACGCGACATATTCACCAGAATTGGCTCCATGCGACTGCCACTTGTTCCGGTGAATGCATTAGCCCGCCTCAGTCGATAAACGGTTCCTGAACCGTTGGAGACGATGTGCGTAAATTCGTCGAAGATGACTTGATTGCCTGCAAGTTTCTTACGCGACGGTATTCATACGCAACCTGAGAGATGGCCCATGGCCATAGACACCAATGGATAATATTTCCAAGATTAATCCCGATGTTCTCTAGTCTTTTTATTAAATAAATGTGCTGAAAATCCTGGCTACAACGTGATAAAACCCCCTCACTAGTTCCTGCTGAGCCACTTACTGGCAACAAAGGGACGATTAGCGCGTGAGTTCATCCAATTATATGCGACTTGGAAGATATGGAAATGAAAAACGGTAATAAGAAATAAAAACTTACCAATGACACCATCGAAAACAATTTTCTACCCAAAATGACAAAAATAACTAAAGCTTCCAGGATGAGTCGCCCACCAATTTCGTAATCAAAACTTCCCAGGGAAACCCATTTTTTCGCTTTAAAGGAATCACAAAACACGCGCGTGTCGTCATTAATTTGGTGTTTTTCAGCTAATTATGACAGTGTGTGTGTTAGAGGCAGTTAGCGTTTTCAAAAGATAACATTTATCGCAGCTGATGGGGTTTGGTTAAAACTTAATTAAATGTTATCTCGATCTGTAAAGTCAAATTTCAATGCATGTTGACGGCTAACCTCGTTTAACAATATTGATTGGGCTGGAATATATCCAATTCGAAGTTGATACGGCTTGTCATTTGAGCATAAGCTGGCTAAATCACTAGAATTTAATCATCCGCCATAGCGCTGTACCCCTGAAAGGCGATTGGCTAATTTAACCAGTGTTTCAGCAAGGCCAAGATGACCAAGGCGATGTTGATTGGGTGTGACTTCAACTACGGACGACCAATCGCAATCTATGTGAACATACTTCGTGAGATGCCTCAAAATTGGCGAAAGTGCTATATATTTTCCAGAGACCGATTCAGAACGTAGGGATACGTGGTCACTGTACAGAATTTCACGACAATAATTTGTGTCTCCTCCTTCTTAAAATGTGTCCTGTGTAGATTTATTTAGTGGCATTAAATGCTGAATCGAAAATTAACAAAGTTACTAGGGACGTAACGGCGTTATAAATCTAAGGGTCATATCGATTGATAGGTAGATATCACTCGGATGTCCAATGGCGGCCAGGCAGAAATTATTCTGACTCACGATTGGCTATTTTGAAGCGTCGTCGGCGTGGCCTGGACTACAAATAACTCAACACTTTGACAGCTTACGTTAGTAACTATATTTCCTTGATTTTAATTATTTAACACGACTTTGCTGGGTTCAGCATATAGTGTGAATGTCTGAAATATTTCGAAAATGTGCAAATGAGCATCAGGCATCGTGACGTTTTAAACATTTGTGACACTCCAGCTATACTTAACAGGAAAAATCATGTCCTTATTCGCTGCTTGCCTTGGGCAAGTCAATTGACGAAAGAATGCAAATACATCTCTCAAATTTTCAGACCCATAACGTAAGTGTCTTCTGACACAGTTATACTTCTAGACATTGGAGGTCTTCAATGAAGTAGAGAAGGTATGAGGACTCCTGATTCCTAGTTCTGTAAGCCCGATTTCCAGAGTCAGAGGGGTGTGTCTGAATGCGTTTGAATGGAATTTGAAGACACATCCACCAACACGTTCAGTGTTCGTTAACCAGTTTTTTCAAGAACCGTGTTATACATCGTGCGCATCATCAGCCAATCACAGACGGGGTTTTCAAATTAAGAGCAATTTCCGCAACCCAATTTAAGATTTTGGACAAACTCAAAGTTTGAAGTCATTTATGCTACAACTTGACTACAACCCACGTAACCTAGCAACGTAAATTGTGATTCAGACAATACCCCCGTTTCTCTTTGCAATGTAGTGTTGATATTAGAGATATGCTTTAGCAGTCAGTGCCCCATTCAGTGATCAGATGTCCGAAATTGACGTGTGACTGGTTTTTGAAACACTTCACAGTAATAAGTAACGTTGTGGACCTCGAAGGTTTCAACTACCTGCCAATATCTGCGATTCTTTAATTGCAAATTAAGACAAACATTCACCTTGCCTACCTAGGATTCAATTAATACCAAACATTTCTACCCATAATTTCCGTTCGGGAGGTCGATGCTTCAACTAGTGGATGGTTATCTGTGGACATCAGTATGAGACTGATGTTCAACAGCTTTCTGGTTTGTCGATTTTGAAGTTATCACGCGGCTAATTTCTCGTCCGTGGAGAAATTATGGCGTCAAGTGACCAACGCAGCGAATCCTGATAATTTGCGTCCAGCTACCCTTTACCCCTGGTTCTGAACCACCCCCTTCCTCCATTTTCAGACATTCCCATTGGTTGCGCGGAGAGTTTTGAGCACGCGCTACAATTTTAAATATTCCGGGTCACGAATGATCCACTTAAACAATTAAAACTATGGAGACGCATTAGATTTCATCTCTAATGGTTGAATTTCGGCCTCCACTCGTTGGGCATACTGTATTTAAATCAGATGCTTCCCATGTCAGACGAGATCACTAAGCCATTTCAATACTACTTATGAGCTGCATCAGTAGGCAACTGCCTCTGCGCCACTTATCGTCCAATCATTGCACCTTCTCAAAGCCCTCTCGTCATGCCATCTGATTGGTTCAACAATAAATTTCAGGCGAAGTCTGTGACCTTACCTTGTGCATAGACGTTCAACGCAGGTGCTTCACTCAAATAAATTTTAAGTAGTTTCAGTAGTATAGCACCTCGCGATTTTTTCTACAGCCGTCGATGTTTTTGCCATCTGCTTAGAGATGAATTTTGAGAATGTTCAGAGCCAAAGTGCCCCCAGAAACACGCTTGTAACTTATTCTCAACCAGAGACTTTGCACTGGCACGTAGGCCTCCATGGTTGCCATCTTTAGAGAGGTGTGCGTCAGTGCTATTGGCTGACACCAAATACTGCACGCGCTATTTAACACAACGCGCGTCAATTGGCGAAACCGTTTCTCTTCTCTACTGAAAGGATGAGAACTGTCGTAATAGCACTTCTAGTCGCCATCGCGGCTCTTGGGAATGTCAAAGCGAACACGAATGACCTGAATGTCTCCCCAAAGGATGTAGTCGCCGTGGAAGACATTATGGATTCTAACTTCGATGTCGTTGTCTACGTTGGCGATTCGTACATGAACCTTCCTGAAAAGTATCGTTCGATTGGAGACGCGATTGCCAACTTCATGGAGGTAATTTCAAACCAAACATCCCTCTTATCTTTCTAATCACACCTGTACCCCAAAAAATCGATAAAACGAAAGGTGGAAATCTAGGGGTTTACATGATTGGTCATTTCCTTTAAATAACTCTTTGAAAAATTGATTTTAGCTGAGCAAAGATGCTGGGAAGTCATTGGCGGTGATACCATTCCCTGAGCGACTCAATCATCCCAGACTGGTGAGTTATTAACAACTTAGAAAAATTGGCTACCAACGCCCTTCGCCTCCAGAGAGATGTTGTGGTAGTAACAGATGTAGAACTGCAAAGAACACCACTGCTAGGTTGCAGGTCTTAAACGGAATAACTATGTAATGATTTTTCACCCATTGCCTTAGTGTTACAAGCCGTTAGTACGACTGTGCTATACGATTTTTGTGTTTATTCACTGTAGAAAAAGCGCAGTTATTAATTTCGCAAATTCTAGATTTGTCAGAGCATGTCCAAGAGTAAAACTACCAACTCGGTGGTTGGTTTGTCCTTATTGTAGATTTTCGCCAACGTTGGTGATCTGTCCAGTGACACCGCAAGCAGCAATAATATTCGCGATGCTGCAATTAAAGCACTACAAAAGTAAGTACAGTGCGTGTGCCCTTTTGCAATCAAGCGAAAGGAGAAATTACGCGTCACTAAGTTAAGGGCTCGCGTTATCAACCCTCTTTCGAGGGTTTTTTATTGCGATCAAGAGCTTAGAAGAAGGTGTCAGCAGAATGACCAGCTGTTAACAGCGAATCCCTACACATAGCGACCAAATATGCCTAGATTCACAACTCAAAATCAATTCTGATAACGCGTTGAGTGTTAATGATTTTAGGTGTCACTCCCTAGGATTTAAACAGGTTCTGATGGTCGTTGGACCGATGCAGACAGCGCTTCCATCGTTCGACTGGGCTCACGGTGACTACCCGAAGATGACAGCTGCTCTTGGCGCTTTGTACACGCTCTACGTGGTAGGTAGCCTTTTCTTTGATTTATTGGAAAGTGTGAGATCACACACTCCCTCCGACACACTTTACTGTCTCTCCTGCAGCCTCTGCAAGTCCGTGAAAATCAGCCGGAGAAGGCGGAAAAGATCACGACCCTGGGTCTCTACGACTTCTCACCGAAGCTGTTGAAGTTCGTCAAGGCTGTTGGCGAGGGGATGGGCGTCGTTCGAGACATCGGTGACTCCGACCCAGAGCGCACCGCGCCACCGAAAATTGCTGAGTACATTGAGGCACGTAAATCGGCCTGGGGGCCAGCTGGAATCACGTTTAAAGTTGACGATGTATTCGAAAATAAAGACAAGTATCCCATGGCCTATGCGGTGAATCGTGCCACAGAAAGTAAGCCCGCTTCTAAGAGCCACGTTTACGGAGTAGATTTTCATGGCTAATTCCTTCCAATGTTTTGCATTCCAGCACAACCGCGGCACCACGGAAAGATTATTCAGGCCATCTACACCCCAGCCAACAAGGACGCCATCAACCAGACCATCATTTTGGTCGGAAAAGGTGTAGCCCTTGACACCGGTGGCGCTGACATCAAGACCAGCGGTGGCATGTACGGCATGCACAACGACAAACTGGGCGCCGCGTTCGTTGCCGGCTTCTTCCACGCTCTCTCCCTTCTAAAACCGGCGGGAATGAAGGTTATCGGGTACATGCCCTTTATTCGCAACAGCATCGGCAAGAACGCCTACCTCACGGACGAGATCGTCACCCTGGTCAACGGTCTGCGTGTCCGAATTGGCAACACGGACGCCGAGGGCAGAAACATCATGACTGACGTGCTCTACCACGCCAAAGAAGACGTGAGTTAGCGGTGGCCTTTTTGAGCGGCGTTGAAGGCATTAGTGTCTGACTGAAGTGTTTTTTTGTGGTTTCGTAGGCCAAATCAGCAATTAATCCGCACATCTTCACGATTGCCACTTTGACCGGTGCTGCTTCACGGGCCTACGGACCGTACACGGTAAGCAGTGATGCTGGTCATCTAAGCGAAGGTGGCATCTTGCCGACTACCTGGCGTGGTACTCTCTTCGTCTTCGCTCTAGGTCACCATGGACAACGGACCAGCCGAGGACGTGCACATGGCACACGAGATGATGATGAGTGGTGACCGTATCGGTGATCCAACCGAGGTCGCTCGTGTCCGCTACGAGGACTTCGAGCCCAACATGCCGATCTCCGAGTGGGAGGACGTTGAACAGTTCAACACTAATCCAGGAGCAACCACCAATCGTGGCTTCACCTTCCCAGCGGGTTACCTGCAGATGGTTAGCGGTCTCGACAAGGTAGGGGTGTCACCTTACTCCCTAACCCCCCTGTCTGAGGCAGCCTGAATATGCTAGTTTTGAAAGTTTAACCAACTGTAATGTGTTTTCGTGGTTTACTTTAGCACGGACGCAGTTCTTCGCTGCCTCTCAAATACACCCACTGTGATATCGCAGGCAGTGGCGGTGGAGTCACTGACTTGGCAACGACGGCTCCTCTGAGAATGTTCTCCCTTCACTACCTCTGGCCTCTCACCGTGGAGTAATCCTCCAACAGCGACCACACCCCCTCCATACACCCCCCACCTGATGAACTCATGTTCTCACACCATTGTCAAATTATCTTTACGGAAGTAGATGCTTATAGGCGACTCCACGGACTTTGCGTCTTTCAAGCGGGGGTTAACTGTGCAGGGTGGTCCGTAGTAGTTGTGCCAACGAAAAAAACCCGTACCGGTAAATTAGTCACGGGTCATTGGAACGGAGTGGACGGTGAATGGTCGGTTAATTTGCCCGTCTTCCACTCCACTAAAGCCTGTGAATTGACGATCCTAAAATTTATGGAAATGCTAGAAATTTGAAAGTAGAAGGGCAAAGAAGGCACATAGGAAGCAGATGGGTGAGACGAACTAAGATTCGTAGCAAAATTTACAGATGGGATGGCTTATAGAGGCTTCCAATGTGGAATGGCGGTTTAGTGGGGAGTAAAAGGAGTTGGGGAACCTGATTTAACAAATCGGTTTAGCTGCTTCATGTTGATGAACAGACTCAAGAGGATTAGAAAACAAAGGTAGTTTCCTCATCCAGAAAGTTGAGGAAGTTCCAGATGCAGAAGCTTCAAAAGATGGAAGAACAAAAGCTGTTTCAAAGGCCCACCTTCCGATCAACTAATTATCAGTTCAAACATGGCACTTGCAAAACGTGTAACGGGTATTTAACTATGTAAACATGGTCAAATAGTTATAAGTGCACATCATTGCGCATTAGTTTACCAGATAAGCACACCTGCCGACTAATCTTGTGCTAACAGGAAATATATTTCTTTCAAGACAGATATTTCTAAACAAATGAAGAGATTTCTTTAGTCACTTGGGGGATGATCATGAAACAGAGGAACCAAATCCCCTTAACTTTGGGTCTGCCAAGTTAAAAAACGGTTCATCGCGAACCGTTTTGCTAAAATTGTTAATTTAAGCATTATAGCGAGTTTAATCGCAGCAGCTTGAGGCGCTGTTGGCATTTTTTTCCAAATTTTAACCGTCATCGGGCACCAAAGTCACTTTTGTGCTGAGCAGCCAAGTTCTACGCTAGTCGGTGCACAGTGACGGCGAGAGCTGATTGAATTCACAGCCAATCAGCGACAGGGTGCACAAGCGCGCACACCAGCCTCCTTTGTGATAGGGCAACTCCCTTTCATATTTAAGTAGGCAACTTAGGTGAGTGAAAGGACTATTTGTGTGACAATGACTGTTCTACGAATAGTTTTATCTCTCCTTGGGTTCCTTATTTTGGGCTGCGCGGCTCAAGGCAACGTCAGAATTGAGGCCAACAATGATGGAAACCCAACCGATATCGATTGCACAATTTTCATCAATGACGAACCAGTTTTCGAAAATAATGAAGATGTTCTACTTAAGAAGATTTCGCCAGTGTTGAAAAAATTAGCTGATGTAAGCATGCAATTTTGCTAAAAGTGCGATATCACTGTGCCTTCTCCAAAATGTCCCCTCCAAGCGAATAAGGAGAACTTGTTTGATCATCTTTTAGAATATCGGCTTTCTTGGATGGAACCCCTCGATTCATAAAGCAACCGACTTGCCTGGTGGAAAGATAGTATGTTTTCTACCTTTAAATGGCAAAAATTAAGTAAAAAAATTTGTAAAATTGCAATAAATTACACTTTTAAGATTGTTTCGTCCACCCGGAAACTCAATACGGATATTTCAGACTCGCGGAATATCTACGATGCAGCGCTGAGGGCGCTTAACTTGTAAGTGAAGTTTAATGTGGCGTGGTGGGAAATAATATGTGCAAAAGATGACGACACCGGTATTTTTTAGTGCCGTGGACATCGGAGTAAGGAAGCCTCTGCTTGTTCTCGGGCCGATGGCATCTCTTCCAGCCGACAAAACGTCCTGGGTTCAAGACCACTACGTTCTCCTGAATGCTGTTCTTGGTGCTCTTCAGGGTCTTTACGTTGTGAGTTGTGACCCTCTGATACCTCTTAACGCGTGTTTTTTTGACTTGTGACGTGGCCTTAATCAATATCCCCTTAGCCCTACGACTTGGTTGTTGCCGGACGTGCCAACACAAAGTACGACAAGTTGGTATTCTATGCGTCCAATAACAATATTGGAACCTGGGTTAAGAAGTACGCAACAGCAATCGAGGAGGGTAGATGGGTAGCTCGTGACCTTTGTGGTGCTGATCCGGAAGTCATGACGCCTGAAAACTTTGTGAAGTACATGCAAAACGCCACCGTTTTCCCAAATCCGCCAATCTTTGAAGACATAACAGAAGCTACTTTTCCTCTGGCGGCCGCTGTTGATCGAGCCAACGCAGGCAAGTTCAATGAGTAGAAATTGGCAAATTCAGCAAAATTACAAGGACATCCTATTAAATGTTACCTAATTTTTCTTATGCAGACATCCCGAGGTTCAAGGGCAAAATCATGACCATCACACACGGGGATGCAACTGCCCCGACGAAACTTTACATGTCAGGTGAAGCCCTCACCTACGACACGGGTGGTTTGGACATCCGGATCAGTGGTGCGATGGAGGGGACGTCGAGAAAGAAGTGTGGTGCCGCGGGGTTAATTGGTTTCATAAAAACAGCCTACGAGCTCGACAAGGGCCAGACTCCCCCGAAACTGCACATTTATGCCAAAATCCCCATCGTTCGCAACAATATCGGTTCGGGTTCCTTCAGTTTGGATGACATCATCTTTTCGAAAAACAAGAAGCTTAATCGTGTTGGCTTCACTCAGGCGGCAAGCCGTCTCCTCATCGCTGAACAACTAGATGATCTCGTTAGCAAGGTAAGCTCTTGGGTTTAGAAATAGCCGCTTTTCTGTTCACATATTTATATACTTTTAATGGGTAATTTAGGCAACCAGTGACGGGACAAAAGATCCAGAACTGTACACAGTCACGACGATGTCGGAGCACGTCGCAAAAGTGTGGAAAGACTTTACGGTGAGTGATTTTTTTCGCAAACAACACCTCACACCGACTAATTAGCCTAAAATGGTAAGCGAACACTCATCTGCTTTCTAGGGCATCATGGGAAACGGCCCTACTGTGGTTGGTGGTGTACGTGAGGCTCTTCAGGAAGCCGGAGAACACGTCTCTGATATGGGCGAGGTAATGCTTTCCTCTGAATGCTGCAAACAAGATAGCTGAAAACACCTGTTCTCCGTCGCTTTTCGGAGTTTATTCAATTATTTGAAACCGTGCTTGTGAAATGTTTTTGTAGATTTCCGATCTCATCAAGGAGGACTACGACTCGGCCTCAGGACCCCTGGAGACAGAGGACCTTCGTGCATCTTCCCCTGACATCAGTGAAAGCATGACCCGGGGTCATATGAAGCCACCCGCCTACATGATCAGAGCGAGCACCCTCAACGATGTGGGTGATTTTGACTTATTCTCAACGACAAGAGGTTGCGTCTTCCCCTAATCACATGTAAAAACAAATAACTATTCTTAATTTCAGCATGGTCTTGGATCAGCGAATCAAATCAGGTACATTCACCTCGACGTCTCTGGTAGCGCGGGCAGGTACGCTGATAGACCAACGGGAGCCCCTGTCGCAATGCTGACCCAGCATTACTACATGAAGAATGACCAACCCCCAAAAAACTAACCCCTTCTCCAATTACGTGCCAATTTTGACTCAACAAGACCAGATGCTTGCAACATTGATGTAGAATAGCTCATCGGCAACCAAAATATTTTCTTCTTTTAAAGTCCTTAATCATTTTGAAAGTTGGGGGGAGAAGTAGAATGTACCGCGTCAGTTATGCAGTTTTCCAAACGTGAAGTTGTTCGGTCAACTGCCATCGTCCATCCCGACGTTTACGTCATCAGCAATCTTGAGCAAGCGGTTCAAAATGCTGTTTTATATTTGAGCAGAAACTACCTTTCGCATAAAACTCCTCATTGCAACGTAGTTCTAATAAAATTAAGCCTGCTGAGATAAGCAAAAACGTTTTGAGCCGTAAATTAGTGCCTACATTCCTATCGGTCAAGAGGGATCGAAGCAGCGAGATCTTGATCTCCTCGCTACAGGTTTGTCCGATCCTGGTTTAGGACAAATAAATGATGAATTAGGACACTGTCAATGATTGGAATAAACTCTGAAACAACGAAAATGTTAGTTCGTTTACTGACCACCAGCTAAAGGGGAAACAATTTATGCATATTACTGGAGAATCTATGTGTTTCGGAGATAATCAGGCGCTATTGGGCCAATTCATGGCCAACCCGTACCTAAGAGAGTTTGGTAGTTACTGGTTGACCTGGCTGGATTTTCGCGAAATGCGACAGATCCAAAATCACCATCTTGGTTATCAGGCAGAAATACTTTAAAGCTGGTTCAGTTTTGGACGCTTCTGCACTAGATGAAAGTGTAGGTCGAAAAATTGTGTGCTACTTCTCTACTGCAGGATGAACTTGTTTGCCAAATGCTTTCGTGGTTAGCTAAACTGCTTCAAATAAGAATCATATTGGGAGGTACAAAAACTGCATTTAGAAATGAATGCACCTACAAACTGTATGAGGCTTTGGAAGCAGAGATGCTGATTCAGTCTAAAAGTTGGCAGGAAAACCTAATTGGAACTTCAGCAAAAGCCACTTCCAAAAAGTGACTTGATAGGGCCTTGTTAAAATTAGATCCGTGCCTTTAACACGTAAAAATTAAATTACTAACAGGGGTTCAGTTCCCAAACGGTAGAGACCAGGCACTGTCAAATATTAGGCTGTAGAAACGTCAATTTCCCTTTATGATAACTTACTCATGCATTTTGGGTGGTTTAAAAAGGTTTTTTTTTGGAGTGAAAGCAAACCTACTCAAAATTTCAATAAAAAAAACATTTGCACAAGCTTCTAGTGCCATAGGAAAGCACTAATTAGTGTCTGTCAGTGATCCTTTATTCAAATGATTCCTAGTTTTCACCTTTTAAAAACATTTGTTTAACATGACTACACAACCTGCCTCGAAAATCCTATGTGCAGAACGACCTGGCTTATTTTGCCGCACTGTGAAGGTGCCATTTCGGGTAGCGTATGTCAAAGTTCTGGTGAATTAGCGTACCACAAACAATGACGATTTCTCTGTCGTCTAATTAATCGAAAAAAAAAACAAAATTTATCAGAGGATCATTAATTCATTCAACTCTCATTGGTAATCGAACCACAGACCCCAGTGGTGAAGCGAACTAACTCAACATTGTAGAAGTAGTTTAAATATTTAAGAGATCAAAACTGAGTGTGTTTGATGAAATGATTGATCAAACATATCATCCTGAAACTACTGGACAAGTTCTGATTTTGTGTTAATTTACCCTACCTTTAAGTCAGCTACTTGCTTCGACAAGCTTATAATTTTTGCTAGTGTTAAAAAATGAAGTTAATGCGATTTGAGAAAGCAATCAGATTGTCTGGTAGTCTCTGGAGGAAGTTGCGATCTGCCAAACGGCTCAAAACGCAGCCTGAAGCAACAGACATGGAGGATCGCTTGGTGCCAGCGCTCTTGTGGTTACACTAGCCCGATGGCGAAACATGTGGTTAGCTCTCGAAGTGTGGTAAAACCACGCACGCACACACCCGCGCACACAAGCCAAGGCGAAATGACCTATATATATTGGCGACAAGGTGACAACCGCGTTACTTCGACGCCGTGTTGAAGGTTGAAGCAATGCTAAAAAGCATCGTTGCGATTTTCCTATTTGGGCTTTTGTTCCTCGGGACAAAGGCCCAGGAGGCCAACCCCGAAATCAAAGTAAACACGATTGCCAATCTTGATGGTGCTGACACCGTAATCTTCATTGGAGAGACAGTGCCTGATGCAACTATCGAGGGTCTGCCTACATTAACCGAAGAATTGAAAGTGCTTAGCAAGGTTAGTTTACTTGGGGACAATTTTGTGCTGTCGCGGATGATTTAACCTGATTTCTTTCTCTTGCAGTTGCACCCCAAATTCACGACACACATGCAAGTGTACGTTCCTGAGACAATTGGGGCTACTGTTAAACGGCTGGTAAGCTAAATTAGCATTGTGAAAATTTACCTGGCTAAATAAAAATTTATGATTGTGATATTCGACTCATTAGATATTCGCGGGAACTGGCCCACTAGCCTCGGACACCGCCGACAGCCGGAACATCTACGACGCAGCGTCCAAAGCGACCAGCCTGTAAGTGAGTGATTTGCATACTTTGATAATTACAACTGCAGGGGTAGGCGCAAAGAATGCATTATTTCTCAAACCAATACACAGCACAGATAGATGCCTCACACCTTTTTTTATTTGATTCCTCCTGAGATTGAGGCGAAAATCAATACCTTTTTTCCAAGTCTGATTGGCCTGGCATATTTAAACTTTTTCAAAGTTTGCTAACTCATTAAAAATAGCCCCACAGATTGTGGAGAGAGCAGTTGCATTACAAAAAAACCTCCTAACGCATTATTGTATTATCAGTTAGTTGTGGCTTGAGTCACCGAAACTAACCAACTACTAGTAATAAATACTAAAGTAGTATCCACAACACCATGGCCTAGCCATTCTCAAATACCATCTTCTGTGCACGCATTCTGAGAATCCGCAGAGTTTGAGTCAAAGTTAGGAGGGTTACTTTGGGATCTGAATGTTATATGTATTTACGTCTCAAGGGCATACGTCAGCGGTCCGAAAGATGGGACTCAAAAAATCCTGATTATTGTCGACCCAGCCCTTGTCGACAACACTGTTGCTTGGAGGAGCAAAGACCTGCTGGATCTTAATGCAGCCCTTGGCGCCCTGTACGCCTTGTACAAGGTATGTTACGAAAATGAGAATTATTTGATTTTTTTGGGGTCCTTGAGGGAAAGATTTTTAAAACAACTTCTGGACCTGGAGCATTTTCTAATTTACCCAGCCAAGATGCACAGGCTTCGACGCTCTGACTCGTTATTCAAGTTTTATTCAATTTAATACTCAAAAAAACCAGACTGTAAAGTCTACTTATTATGCAAACATTCGCAATTTTTAAGCTGTAGGTAGGCATTAGAATGGCCACAACTACACCAAGAAAAATAATCAATTAATCATTATGAAACACGATCCTGTAACAAAAGCAATTTTGCAACTTGTAACTTACATTTGCGTTAAATACCAGAATAAACATCGAGGCAACAACAGCTGACAGTTCATCTGTAAATGTGGCCAGTTCAGCAGCTTGCCTGGCCAATAGGAAATCACACACGAGAATACCGATCAATACAAATCAGAGCCACTGATTGGCGAGCAGTAAAAGGAGTTGAATCGATAGCATGCTGGTTTGGCATTGCCTGATCGGTTGCACATGCGCGTGCTTTTCTTGCCATGCATCGTTGCAATTTCTAATATTTTCTAGAAAATATTTTTTGGCTCTAAAACAAGTCACACTGAAAAAGTTCTTGTAAGCAAGATTTAATCTAAATGCATATTATTTCATTCGTCTTTCTTATCTGTTATTGCAGTTGTTGGTAGGTAAAAAAACTAGATGCAAAAATTACAGGCCTTAAATGAGTCGTTTTAAGACAAATTAATGCAAAACCATTTTGTTACTTTCAAGCCCAAAGAGATTCGGGAGTTGCCTGGCGACAATCCGAAAAAGATGAAGTACTACGAACTTTATATTTTCAAAGCCACCGATGATGTTATCACCTGGGCCAAGTACATTGAAGAGGGACGCTGGGTTGCCAGGGACATTTGTGGTGGCGACCCCGAGACCATGAACACCGAAAACATCATGAAGTACATAAACGACTCGGCCAAGTTCTCCACCGTCGAAGTTAAGGTTTTGGACATTCTCAAGGAAAGCCATCCACTGGTTGCAGCTGTAAATCGTGGCTCGGAGAGTACGTCCCGTCATCAAATCACACTTTAGCCGCTAAATTAATTAATTCGCGACTGTAATTCTAACTTTTTACTGGCAATTAAGTAGGAAAACCCTGGTATATGACGATTTTGTATTTTTCCAGTGCGATTTTGAGCTGAACTTACTCCAATGGACGTGTAAGGGATAGAACAATTAAATTACGCAAAATAGAGATTGAACAAAGTTGGTTATTAAAGTGTTTGAGTAAAGATTTGTTTAGTTACTCTCAGGTAATGTGACCAAGAGCTGACGAGCAGCAAATTCCTCCTATTTTTTTTAAATTCTGCACTGAAAGAACACAACCGTTTAGCCGATTTCGGTAAATCAGCGCATAAGTGTTTTGAATTTTTTGTTCAAATCTCGATTCCGCCAAATTTGATTTTATGCACAAAATAGTCCTGAGAGGCCAGTGATCCTCTACCGCTCCTTAATAACTTATTGTAATCAAAACGGATAAACCGTCATAAATAAAGAATATTGCCGATTAGCCAATCAGAAATAGGTGGCTATTATTTCCATGATGGCTCGCATTTAATTTGCAGAGATTCCTCGACACAATGGGAGAATCCTCCAATTGACCTACACCAACGGCAACCCTACAAAGGCCGCCTACTTCGCAGGCAAGGGTGTCACCCTAGACACCGGTGGTCTCGACCTCAAGATTTCCAACACGATGGTCGGTCACCATCGAGACAAATGCGGTGCAGCCGCCATCATTGGATTCTTCAAGACCCTGGAATTCGTCAAGCCGACGAACGTCAAGTTCATGGCTAACCTCGCCATCCTCCGCAACAACCTTGGCTCGAGCTCCTACAGCACCGACGAGATCCTCATGGCCAGGTCTGGCAAACGCATCAAGATTGGCTTCACAGACGCTGAAGGTCGTCTTCTGGTGTCTGACCTGGTAAACGAGGTGATGGACGAGGTGAGTTACCTGCGGAATGAGATATACGACGATTTACGACGTCTCTTCAGAGCTAATATTGACAAACTAAAAATTGCGAAACTTCTAGTCATGCAGACGGTCGATTATCTTGATAATTAAACTCATTGGTTACGAGTTAGCTCCTCTGAAATTTGATTGGTTGAATCTTGGACAAGGTCGTCTCCTGGTATCTGACCTGGTGAACGAAATGATGGACGAGGTGAGTTGCCTTGGCAATGAGGTATCCGACGGTATACGACCTAACATTGACAGATTGCTAACCTTCTAGTTATGGATGCGATCGATTATCCTGATAATTAAACTCATTGGTCACAGGTTGGCTCCCCTGAAATTTGATTGGTTGGTTCTTGGACATTGGCTGAACAAACGGTTGCGGTGTTAATTTACCAGCCTCTTTGTGGTTGGGTGTTTCAGAAAAAGCTCAATTTTGGATAAAGTTGTAATTTTATTAATTTACACAACTGTAATGTATTACTACTAAGAATTGGCAAATGATGACACCATCGTATTTAGCTGTACTAAACTACAAATCCCTCTAGGGATTCCGATATTGATTTCTTAGACTACGTTTGATTTATTGATTCATTTTTCCAACAGGCCCTCACAGACAACATCGATGACAAAATGACCGACATCTACAGTGTTGGCACTTACACAGAACACGTCACAAAAATGTACAAATTCATAACGGTAAGGCCTCTTTAACCTACGCGTTTTAAATTTTATTTCGATTTATGTGGGTTTAGCATTTTTTTCTCACTGAACTGTGATTGGTTGATTTTGACCTCGTGTTTCAAAAATCAATACGAAATTGCAAAATGCAAGCTAATCGATTCGGTTTTTTTTAGGGAGCCATCGAAAACGGTGTCGCCAGGAAGGCGGGCGTGCTAGACTCCCTACAGAAGTCGTCGGAGCTGCTGTCGGATCCGCTTGAAGTAAGCAATCCCTTCGGTTGGTTTTTTGATCCCTGAAGGTTCCAGGTTGAGCTAGGTGATGACACAGTGGGGGCTTGAACTCGGATCGGGGCAATCAACTAGTTGGGGCCAGGGTGTGAAGCCCAGATACCCCCTGAATGTACACGAGAGCCTTCGACAATGTGGACGCACAAGGTGACACCTCAGCGGTGCACAAGAGGAGAGTGATATCATTTAGTGGACTTGATTAGTAGTCATCAATAAACAGACGGGATTTGAACTGTGGGGTTGATCGATTACGCATCGGTGGAGGAGGTGACTGACTCGAATCAACGTCTCTTGAAGATGACACGCATTCAACTCTGTCACCCCTGTTCCAATTTAGATCACACTCCTTCGCAGAGAGGACTACACCTTCAATGTTGGACCCCTGGAAACGGAAGACCTGCGTAACAGCAACCCCGGTAAAGACGTGAGCACCCAGCGAGGCTCCCAGGTGGCCGCGGCTTTCATAATCCAAGCCAGTGGCATGGAAGAGGTGAGGACTCGGTGGTCCGGTTTCGTTGATTCGTGACGAATCCCAAGTTTGTCTTCATGCCTGGGTTTTTTTTGTAGCACGGAAGAGGCACTGAAAATCCGCTGAGGTTTGTCCACCTGGACGTGACTGGCAGCGTTGGCGATGGTGACACCGTGCCAACAGCATCTCCCTTGACGCTCCTCGCTACCCACTACCTGCTGCCCGAAACATTGAAGTCACCGACTAGCAAAAATTAGTCCATATCCCCAACCGATGCCTTAGTCTTCACTGACAACCCCCCTGCCCACTTAAATTCAGTAAACTGCTATTAGACAAAGCGACTTTTTTTCCCCTGATGCAGGCGTTGACAATAATATTTTTCACAGTTTTGATGAATGAGTCCGTGGAGCGGATTTGGGGGATGCCAGTTGAGCAGTTTGGACATCACATATCCAGTAGTTAGTAGTCGATGTGGGGGTGGTGAATTTCACTCTCAAAAATCGATATTTGGGTGACCTTCTTCATGGGCTTGTGAGTGCTATTCACGAGATGTTCGAAGGTAACTGCGATCGATAGCAACAGTTCTCCTTCAGACGGTTTAGACCTGAAACGTTCGAATGGCGTGAATTTTTTACCTAGCCGGACAATAACCTAAATTTGCAATGCAGTCCAATAACCGAATTTAAGAGCAACTCGTTCGTAGCCAATTAAAAACTTCCTTAAGAGGCCTCAGCACTGACTACCACAAACATGATGGTGTGAATTTGTGTCCACTTAGTTTGCTGTCTGTCCTGTTTACCTTAGATGCATCCGGGCAACGAGCATATTTGTCTCGGAAGAAACTTTTGCCAGCTCTAGAATAAAGCTATCGAAAATACGACGCAAAGATAAGAAAATACATGTAATTTAAAACAGCACTTCTCGCTGTATTTGTATCGCATCCCTCGAAAACCCAATACAGTCTAAAGCACAAGTTCAGATTAGTTAATTGTTAAAAAAATTTGAACCCCATCAAATCTAAATTCAAACGGATGCGAGCGTTGTGTCACTCCCCACAAGATTTAAGTCAGGGGCAGTGAGGAGGCCGAAAGCTAGCGCCCCGATTGGTCAAAACCATTTCGCTGCCCACACCCAGTTCTAATTGGTCAGTTGTGGTGGAGGATTTTGTGGCCGGTTTGTGGGGGGTAGGCGGTCGGCCTTAATTTTGATTGGCTCACTTTTGCAAATGCCGACTGTTTCATTATCACGCAAAAAAACCTATTCTCCTGAAAAATATTGTCTTTTGAACTTCTGAGTTGATAATAAGGCTTGCCTATACCATAACCATTTCACGTAATAGTTAGAACTGAATTGGTTTTGGGGAAATCACAGAAATTGATGCGAAACGACTGCAGTTTGGCCAAAATAACTTGGTGTTGTCTTTCCTTTAGAGGATGGAAAATCGTTAAGAGACATTAAGTAAGCAAATTAAAGAGAACTTTATCGGTAAAATGACCAGAGAATAGATTTTGTACCGATTTTTTCAATGGTCAGTTTGCGTGATCAGCACTATGGAAAAAATTTCCCAAAATTATTCATCGATTACAACAAGCTCAAGGTTCTATGCAAACATTACGATTATCTTGGGGGGTCTTAATCGTTTTGTTTATAAAGCGAATGCTATTAATATTTGCTGGCCCGATAACTTCTCCGCGCTTCAATGTGGCGCCGAATCGATATTACAGGCAGCACTTAAAGTAGCGTGCTGGGTGCCGCCATATTGAACTGACCACGAAAGGCGCTCAGCCATTGGTCGTTGCTGGCGATTGAAGCGACCACCCAGGAAACCAGTTGCACAATAACAAACGATGAACGAAAAACCCAGAAACCTGTATTTTGCAAACCTTAGACCTCTTCAACACACAACTAGCTGTTTGGTTTGCAAACGAATTTGATTTGTAAGTAAGATCTTCGTTCATGAAACATGCCAAATTAGCCTCCCTGCTCAAATTTTGAGCATTTGCACGTCAAAAAGACTTAAATCTACACGGTTTAGCATACAATAGGTGACATTATGGAGCTTCAAGCATTCGAAAGTTCTAGAAAATTCTTGCAGTAAGCAGTTCGTGGTGTGACTTGCCAATTTGTTGGCGGACTTTACAATCACAAGGGTGGTGATGCCTCAGTGGCTTGCCAAGTGCCGTTACCGCCTCTATGAGTCTCTTTGTGCCTGAGCTAACACAGGCCAAGTGGATACACCCCGCACAAGACCACTAAATACCCCCACTCCGCTAGTAGCTACACCCATTTGATGAGAGTAGAATCACACCCCAGACATCCACTTGAGAAAGGGTTTCATTGTAGGGCCAGAGCTTCAGTGGCACGTTGACTCGCTTTATCATTTTACTGTCCTTTAAATTAGGGACTTTTGTTTAAAACAGCGCCAAAATTTTACTTGTATCCCACATCTGCATTGTGGAAGAAACTCTAGCGTGCATAAACGTGTCAGAGAGTAGTCTATTTCCACGTTGGTCCGCCTGCTCTTATTGGTGGCGAGCCGTCCTACCTCGTGATTGGTTCTTCTTGGACAAATCATAAGCTGGCAGTCGAGTCATCATCGAACTTTAGCCCGTGGAAAATCCATCGAAGTTAATCTGCATTTTCATTAAAAAGTGGCGGTGGTTTTAATCGTCGGGCAGCAGATGGAGGAATAATCGTCTACAAGCTCAGATCAGCGATGTTAGGGCAGAATGGCCATAATATATTATTTATCTGAACACAATTAGTCGCAAGAATGTGTAGCTGGTGACTATGCAGTACATAATGACTCACGGTTAGTAAACATAAGTAAATATAAAAGTATAAACCAATCAAATTCATTACCAATTGACTCGTAACCAATGAGAATTATAATCGTGGTGATCGATCACAATAACAAGCGAAGGGTGCAACTTATTGATTTTTATGTTAGTCATGATTAAAACAAATGCGGAGACCAGAGAAGCCCAAAGTTGGCGCCAATATTCTATGATTATGCACAAGAATTTTTAACAATTTAATTACTTTTAAAGCTGTACACAGACTTTGGATTGATATTTTCCTGATATTAGCAGCGTGTCTCGCTCCTCATGCCTGTTCGAAAACGAATTTCAAAAGGAATGCAGGTTTTAAAGCTGTTTCGAGTTAACTATTTGTCTCTGATACTCCTGAGAAGCACAGCACTCTGGGTTTTTAGCAAATATGTCAATCAAACTGACTGGTGAATGATGTGCTCCGGGTAAAGGCAATCGATCGTTTGGTCGCCTAGCTAGTGAACAGAAGCAAATGTGTGCGTTGCTTCTGAGTCACAATGCGCACGATCTTGTAAACATCGCTTACTTCTCTCAAACACGTGATCCCATCACCACTGGTGTTTACTGCAGACGAATGTTTGTTTACGCACAAGCTAACACCGAGGGTGCAGGCGTAGTTGGTGCATTCATTCCAACATTAGCGGTCCAATGCACCACACAACGCCTCTCCTGCTGCTGCTGTTTCTTCAAGCTTCAGCCGCGTCGTTTGGCGGTGCGATCGTCGTGGACGAACTCGATCTGCAGAACCGTTGGAACGCCTGGAAAAGCAGACACGGACGTGTCTACCGCGACGCCGGCGAGAACGCGCGCAGGTTGGCGGTCTTCAAGCACAACCTCCTCTACGTCAGGGGACACAATCGACGCTACCACGCCGGTCTGGAGAGCTACATAACGGACCTCAACCAGTTCGCCGACCTCACCAGTGAGGAATTTATCAGGAAGTACCTTAGTCTGCCTCGGGCACCGCCACCACGACGACGTGCCACCTTGTGGAGGGGGTCGCGACCTCGGCAAGACTTGCCTGAAGAAGTGGACTGGCGGACAAAGAACCTTGTTACTGAGATCAAAAACCAGGTGAGTGTCGCTGGAGGGGGGGAAGTCTTGACCAATCAAGTCGAGCCCTTGGTGGAGGGCGGGTTCTTTGGTGTTGTAGGGCAATTGTGGATCGTGTTGGGCCTTCTCGGCTACTGGTGCGCTGGAAGGTGCTCTGGCGAAGAAGACGGGGAAACTGGTGAGTCTGTCGGAACAGCAGCTGGTCGATTGCAGCGGTGACACCGGCAACCTCGGGTGCAATGGTGGCTACATGAGCAACGCGTTCAAATACCTCGAGGATCACCTGATTGAGCCGGAGAGTGCCTATCCCTACAGGGCTAGAGTAAGGCCCCTTCTAAATTACCCCGTGCTTCTTACACCACTTCAACTTTCTCAAAGCAGCTACTGATAATTTGTTAGTAAACATTATTATATGAATGAACTGTAAAACCGTCACAAATTGGGACGACTGGTGTGATGACAAAATTTGAGGTATAAAACTGGGCCATTAGAAATGGCAATTTCGGCAAACAACAACATTTCTTTTTTGCTTCATCTTTTCTGCTGTTTTAAGGATGGCACCTGCAAGTACAATAGTAGCCTTGGTCTCGCCAAGGTCACTGATATTGGAGGAATTCCGAAGGAGAATGAGACGGCTTTGATGGAGGCGTCAGCGACTGTTGGGCCTATTTCCATCGGGATAGACGCCAGTGCCCTGGGCTTCATGTTTTATAGGTATGTTTTCCTGCACTACTTAAATCTGCAAGTAGTATAACATTCACGCGATTTCGGCCATCTGTTTCGTACGCGTCGACACGGCACTCGATCGAATACCTTTCCTGTCTTGTTACCAATTACTGTCTGATTTCCTTGTGGAAAACGTGATTATTTTGAAGTTGTTCAAATGTGTGATCTGATTGGATAGAGAAACCAGCGTTTACGTGGACAAGTTACTCTAAAGAACCCTAAGACCATTGGACAAGGAAATTGACAAAACAGACCAAACGTTCACATTTCTGACCGTTGTGTTCCTGCGATGCATTGTTCACCTGATTCGTGGATTTTAGACACGGCATTTACAAGAGCCACTGGTGCTCAAAGGAGAACATCAATCACGGCGTCTTGCTGATTGGCTACGGGAAACTCAAGGGCAGTCCCTATTGGCTGGTTAAGAACAGCTGGGGCAAGTTGTGGGGCATGAAGGGCTACATTATGATGGCGAAAGACTACAACAACATGTGCGGGATCGCATCATTGGCCGATTTCCCCTACGTCTAAACTCATCCTACTCAGCTGCCGTTCAAATCAGCATACTACTTATTAATGCTACTTCCAGACTACATGTGATTGCTTGAAGTTACAATACAGTTCATTTTAACACTTAATTTGGTTAATTTTGCTTGAACAAACTTGAATGGAATGCAGTCGCGGAAATACGGTATCTGATTGGCTCCCCGTGTCCTAACTGGGCGTTAAAACAAGGTCTAACTGGTACCACCGTGGTACCTAGGCAACTAAAGCTCGTTTCGCCTCTCCATTTGTCTTGTCCAATCATATTCGCGTGCTCCCTCAGTAAGTTGTGCCAACTTTCGTTTAAAAAAGGCACAACACTTTGAACCTGTCACTGCGGAAACAGTGACCCTAATCCTGGGCAACTGCGAAATTCAGCTGATCCACAATCATCCCCAGATCCATGTTTGCGCACGACTCAGATCGACTGCGTAAGAATGGCAGTGCACCACGAGGTCCAGACCTAGTCACTAGCTAGAGGGTGATCTCAACATCATCATTATTCCGTTACTATGGCGTGATTGGCGGAACACTTTGACTGCCACGGGCGATCAGTTTTATGATGTATCGATTTTCAGGGCTCAGGATAACCGTTAGGACCACAACTACCAGGCTTGGATATCGATTTCCTTTTACACACAACAAGTTGACCCAACACGAACACAACTCCGGCAGAGAGGGGGCCTATACACAGGAACCCCCGGGGTTTCAAACACATGGACCTCCTTTCGTGCAAAATTTTTCGATGAGAGAAAGGAAAGTGAACAGGTATTTGCAAACCAGAAGAGGAGAAAGACTAATGCATTAGATTAGTTGCGTCCTGCGGGCGGGCGGGCGGGAATGGGTGAAATAGAATAAAAAATTGAGAGGAGCCAAACGCGCACACACACACACATAGAGAGAGTGAGTGAGAGGTGAAGGCATCGGTGTGGGATTACGTGGGGCGGGAGAGCTCGCTCCCCACTTGATAGACGGCGATTTTGTTCCAGTCCACCTTCGAGTGGGTCATCGGTAGAGGTCGGCGCAGTGCTTTGATGGTGGTCGAGGACATCGCATCCAAGCTGTTACCCATCGCTGTCTACAAAAAAGACCACAGATTCGATGATTCTAGGGATCGCGTTGTACAAGCACATAGTTGCAGTGGAGAAGGTGTGTGTTAAAGTTTTTACAAGAGTCTATTTAAGGGGTCTGATCCACGAGATTCAGAAGAACCCGCATTGCATTCGTTGCTTTTGTTGTTTCCAAGTCATCGATTCGCCAATTTCGACGTCAACTCATAGGGAATGAGTTCACGCTTCGTTGTGCAGAGAAACGAAACACTTCCAGTTGGTCTAAACGGTATTTTTTTGTATTTTCCAATTCACTGCTTCCTAACCAAGCTCCAACAATGTTAAATGAATTACCAGGTATATATGGAGAGGCTTAAAATAACATGGTTGAGCACGATTCTCTTGTTGTCGGCAAACTCGAGCTTTCATTGCTTAATCATTTTAAGATTTGTCATTCAAACACATGATTCGACCATTTGATCCCTTGGAAGCAACTGAAACTACAGGAAACCTCTGCAATCCCACCAAAACGATAGCATGATATTCCCCTAATGGAATCTGACAAATACCGACGTGGTTTTTGCCTGTTTGTTACGTTTGCGCCATGATCGTTTCGGGCTGAGGTTAACATCACGAAGACTAGAGATCCGAACCCATATATCGAGCTCCTAATTGTTGAGGATACCCGTTGTGGTAAGGGACACACTTAACTGCTCGGCATTTTTCACAAGTAAATCGATTTACAACCTTGATTTGGACAAAAAAGCTTGTTTAAATGTACATCAAGTTAAACAGACAACTGTAAACACGTTCACGCATAAATGCTTCTGGCGTTGGCCAACAGTAGGAAGGCAATAAACATATCGTTGGTAGAATGCCCTCGAACCAGATGTGAAGCTGCCAGATTTCGAAAACAAGAATCGCTTTCTCGCCAACCAAAACACATCAAACACGTTAAAAATTTCACACAACATCTATCTTGTCAAAAGCACTCGGAGTAAACACACTCACTTACACATAGACACCAGAGCAAGGACAGACAAGTAAGTTTAATTTCCAGAAGAATGTAGCCCCGAACATGAGAAAAAAGGGGAAATCGGTTAGGAGCGCAGCTGCGAAATCAAGGCGCACTCCACGAGCTTTCTACACGTTAATGAATGACTCAACGGATATGCCAATCACAGCAAGTCGTAGTAGGGTTAAGAAAGAGGCGATTATCACAAGAATATGCGTGCATACACACTTGCGCTACAGAAGCGCGCGCACACACACTAAGTGTCTGCAGGTGCTCGTTTCTCCCGAGAGACTAATCCAATGCTTCCAATGGTGAAACAGCGGTCTGGGCCTTCGACTCGAACTTGACGAGAAGGATCACCAGGGAAGGAAAAATGAGTGTGATAATACCTCTCTCTCTCTCTCAAGATCGTGATTATGACAAAAAGGTTTAAGCGGTAAAATACACAACAATACGAAAGTATTCCTACCTGATAATCAGCGTCGCAATCTGTAATTTTCGCGCGCAGATCGTTTGCGAGGAATACTGGTGATTTCGCGACAACTTCAAAATCGAATTTCTTGGAAGACAACAGCTGGACATTGCCCTCTTCAAACATATGAGTCTAAAACATCACCGACGTAAAAATCATAAAATTAACTTAAATTACCAATTACGACAAACATGCCACCACATCTTTTAGAAAGACTTCTGAACAAAGTTCTTGGTCCGTTAAGCCGAAACATTACCAAAAGTAATGTAGGTTCCGGCGAGTTGCTGAGGTCAAACTCGGCTTACTTTAATAACGTGGACACGGAATTTAAAAGACAAGTACACACACAACTAAGCCGATATTTGACTGTAAAATCGTATAATATTTGAGGTTAACGAAAATGGGAACTTGGTGGTTTGGCTCACATACCTGGATTTTGATTTCGCCAGACACAGGACAGGAAGCACCCTTAATACTTCCAGGCACCGTCAATATCCACCGAGATCTCCAGCGACCCGTTCTAAAACCAAAAATCGTATTATGCAAGAGTGGCGGGTGTGGGGTCTTAGCTATTAATTCTTTGCGTACATGTGGGACTTCTGAAAACTTGACTCAATATAGACTATGAGCTCGGGGTTCTTTGGATTTGCCGGAGCAAATACTGAAACAGCGCCGTTGGGGAAATTTTTGCCCATATAGGTTGTTAGAGCCGCTTCGATCGCTTCCCTCCAAGGCTCCAATTCAACACTCCCACCATCACCATCATCAGGATCAAGGGGGCGTACGTCATCTACGGAATACGAGTACAAATCAAGTTTATAAGATTTGTGAGACCGAGGGCAGAGGAATCTCCCGTTGCCCAATTCCCCGTGCTCAGTAACGAGCGAGTTCACTGAACTTCCCGGAAGGGACACCTGGACAGTCTGTTCTTTTGCATACATTAACAAGGCCCTTGTAAGTTAGCAAAATGAGGAAAAACCAAAATACTTGAGAATTTTCTTTTCGATAAGCGGATTATCGCCAACAAGGACCTTGACATCTAAATGGGTTAAAATAGTATTGAAGTTATACCTCTGACAACCTCTTTTGTCTGATTTGGTGGGGCTAAAAGAACAAGGCTGGCAGCGATCTCAGTCTAAAAACAACGTCAATGTATTAACAATCCAGTTTCGAAAAACATTAATATAAAGAAACAAACAAACCCTTTCATCCGCGGAAATCTCATCACCCATTTTGGCACCTGAAGAAAGCGGTCACATCGTTATCAATTATAACAAACTGATCTTTTAATTTGAAAATAAATAGTTTTTACGTTTTAAAGCCAAAAGCTACATAAAAAGAGTAAAACAAATACTACCAAAATTACTACTAGGATTAAGTCGCGCAAAAATTATTTGCTGAAAGATTATGAATATATCCATTATTAGGAGTTCAGTCACTCAAATAATCGACGACCATGTCTTTTAAACAACCTCTTAAATAGGACTGTTTAAATGACTTGCTTGATTTATTGCCATGTAGTCCACTGATAGTACTTTTAATGTAGCTACCCTTGACTAAATGAATAAAATTTGTTTGCTACTGGTAACGAGTGAATCCTTATTTATGAAGGTAAAAATTGAAACCGTTTCAGAAATCTTGATTTTAAATTCCAAATTACTAGCTTGCTAAGTACTACAGTAAAATCTATGGCTACACCTCACTCCTTATTGCTTGTTTATATTTATTCAATGTTGATGTTTTCATTACTTTTTCCCTTTGTTTACTTCAGGCTGTCGTTACTTTTTAGTAATTTCCACGTACTCTGATTTGCCTAATACATTTTGAACTCTGCTCCCAACTGTAATGTTCAGGCAGTGCATAATTTTATTTCGCATATAATGCGACGTCGATGCGAACATGTGTGTAAACATGATCTACCAAACTCAAACACGTGACGTGATTCCCTACTTTCGTTTTTATGGCAAACAGGAGTGCCAATGGGAAATTTGTTAACAATTTGAGAAGCAAAAGTTTGCAATAATAGAACTGAATCAGAGAAATCTAAATTCATTCACTTTTCAACCACCACCACTAATATAAACCGATTTTAAGTCTTTACCTTCTTTAGTGATTATGTCAAAACACCTGCGTAAATGTGGTATGTCAGTATAATTACTCCTATGACTCTATTAAGCTGAACTGAACCATTAAAATAGGTAATTTTGCTGATGTCTTATGCTCAAACCTAAGCGTTTCGTCAAGAAGGAAAAACGGTAAGGTAGTGGGAAGAAATTTACCTTTTAAATCCACAATGGATGCTAGTACTCAGTAGGGGAAATTAGGAAAACTGATTAATTGTAGGCTCAAACGTTTAATTCTTTTCAATTTTTTTCCGAAAAATTGACCAAGACCTTTTACGGATGAAAAAGCATTTGTATTTTTTAGCATTTCTTTGTAAAAACAATGCAAATTTATCAAACGCAACCCATATCAAGGGTCTGCATCAATGTTCATAAGCCTCACGATTAGGCTTCTGGCCTTTTTCAAAGGCATCCTCAGGTGCAACAAACCTTTCTTCATGCCAGGCACCAAATTTTAGTTCTGGCGCTTAAAATCATGTTTGCTTACGTGCCCTATTTTAAGTGGATATGAAAAATTTAATCAATAATGCAGTGACGACTGCCAGAAGGACGTCTTTTTATGATCCACAAAAGGAATTCGTTTCAGTCGTTCACCGTTCGTTCTAGTTATGATTACTGGGATGATTGACAACGTGGTGCAAGTGGCCGGGGAACTATCATTTCCACAACTTCATGTTTGTCGTTTTTTTTTATTAACATGTTTTCGCTACTGTATCTCACTCCTTCATCATACGAACACGGATATTCATCTCAATTTAATCAAACCATCTCCTGAGACTTGACGGTTTACTCATATTTCATTCCCCCCTGCGTCGTTTTATGTATTCAGCTTTTATGCACATGTGTTATGGCGCATCCAGTGGCTGAATTCTCAAAAGTAGTATTACGGCTAATTGATAGTGGTGTTGGCGAACAGCCAATGCGCACTACACTTTATGTGATCCCCGATGCATATCTATGCAACCTTCAGTCATAAAAAACACATATTCTGCAAAATGGATAACCGCTAGGTTAGTTTGATGGCCGAGTTGCCTTTCCACGAACACAGCCCGACCGAAATTGTGGTCACAGCAGTTAAATGCAACCCAAGCTGTGATTTTAATTCGACAAATGCCCCTTACCATCCACGAAGTCGATTTCAATCACCTTCCTAGTCAAAGACACTGTTACTGGAATTCACCCCCAGCCCCCCAAAAGCCCACTCCGCTACCCACCGTTTGGTGCAGGGCCTCGCGTGTCGTGCTATGCAAATTAACCAAAATACCCCACATATGCGTTTATGCGCGCGACAAATATGCAAGAGTAGCTGATTAATTCATCCTGAGATGGATTACAGGGAGCCGGGCCAACATTGCTAGCAGACGCGGTTATTATAATCAGTCTTGCATCCTCTCCCTCCCCTGTTTCAAAAAGGAATCGAGGTGTCACGGCATCCGCGTAGTTTCAGCAATCTAGAGGAGGTCAATTCGTTGAACAGAGACCGAAAAGATCGCGGAACTGGGCATGCAACGATCCAGTGGACACTCGAAAGGTCTCAAATTGCGATTTATTCGTGTGCTTAGCACACCCACATGTACAATCACCTCGGAATTAATGTACAAAAAAAGAACGTAAACGATTCATGCGGTGTATATGCAAGTGCCACACACGCGCAGGGTGGGGTTTGGGTGAACGCCGCCCACCCACCCACCCAGCACGCCGTCTTGCGTGGTCCGTTGTGGTTGCGTGCGTGTGTGTGGATAGTGTGTGCATGGACTAACGTTTAACTGCTGATTAAAAATGAAAATAATGGTTGGGGGGAAGGGGTTACGAAACCGAAGCGAAGAAGAAGCAGAACGGGCTGCTGAAAGTCGCGGGGAAACGAACTGCTCTGGTTGCGGAGGGCGGGGGTGTGGGGAAGAAAAGTACCGAAGCAATCCTGAACCAACATACACAAACCGAACGATCGCACGATCAGGTGGCATGGGAGGTTTGTGCAACAACTCAGAGCAGCGCGAGTAAACAAAAGGGACTCACGAACGATCGGGGTGGGGAACGGGGGGTATGAGAAACGAAATGCGAACGTGTGTGTGTGTCGAAGTGAGAGAGACGGAGAGAGCGCCGCAAACAGGGTGTCTAGCGAGCCATTTCGAAGAATCGCATGCGGTCCTTGAAAGAGGGCAACGGAGTAACCGGAGACGCCTCTGACTTGGAAGGCACCGGAACCTCCTGTGAACGCAAAAAAAACCAATAATCAAAGCATTCTGTTGGGTGAGTTGACATCTCCACTTTACTACACAACGATTTCTCTTAACTGTCCAGAACAACACAACGAAGTCTGAAACAAAGGCGAAAATGGCATACAACTCGGTAAAAAAAACATCATGCAACAATCCACAAAAACGGAGGGGGCACTAGTTTGCGGTATCCAAGCTATAAAACACGGGTGCCGATTGTCAATTAAAACAATCCACGATCTGCGCCAGGATTGGTCGAATAGCAAACAACACGATGTTGGAAACAGGCACATTCCACGGTGACAAAAGCAGACGGAGAAAACTAGTGTGGTGCGGGATTGATGGGGTGGGACGTGAAATTGGTGGTTGAAGTGTGGTGGAAGAGAAAGTGGAGATTGCTGACGATCTGACACTACAATCGAAACGTTCGTAAATCAGCAATTCAGGAAGACATCCGAGTGCCACGCGAAGGGGACCAATCACAGTCGCGCACCACGATGATACCGCAAGGAACTCAAAAACCAACCAAAACGATCAAACAAAAACAGAACACGAAACTCTCCAGAACACGGCAACTCGGGATACCTTGGGTTCGGGATTTTCAAGCGAGAACCGCGAGTCGTGGTCGGTGGACTTGCGCGGTGCTTGGTCGTTGTGTCTACAGTCATTTGGAAGGGTCTGACCACCGGATTTTCGGTTCCAGCCACAAAAGTCGGTTGGAACACTGCAGACAGGAGCTCCACACAGCGTCGGACTTCTTTGTAACTCGATGAACTGAGCAAAGACTGCCACCTCCTTCTCAGAATCATCCGATTCGCCCGCAAAATCCTCATCAATGTCCTCGTCTTCGGTGCTTTCAACCAAAGTTGAGGGTCTATTTCCAGAGACTCGACCGTCTGGAGTTGGTTCTTGTCGAGTTAGATTACCCAGCATATGGTTAATTATTGAGTCTGACGAGGAGGGGGTGATTGAGGCGTGCTCACTCTCCATGACATGCGGATGCAGAGGTTGTTCGGATGGGGTGATGCTGAAATCGCTAATATCGCTGCCTATCGTGCGGGCGCGGACTGGAAATCGCGGAGGTCTCAGGGGTGGCGGACGGTCCACACCTTCGGCGCGATCCCTGTCCGCCTGCCAACGCCGAATGCGTTCAAGGAGGCCCATGGCAATACGCTTCTTCGGTTTGGTGGTCGTCGATGAGGCGGGTTTGTTGGCGGACACGATACTGTCGAGTTCTGTGTCATCGGATTCCCTGGGCGACACACAAGGTGGGTGCTGGACGTCGACTTCCATGTTGTCGGGATCGACCAGAACGGGTGCAGGAGCGGGTTGTGGCGGTGTTGGTGCTGGGACAAGTTGCCATTGAACAACCTCACAGTCCGAACTGAACGTAGACGGGGTCGCGGCTACCGTGGGTGGGCCTAGAGAACTCGTCACACACCGCAGTACGGATTGATCTTCGCCAACTTCAGACGCAGTCACAAGCAGGTGGCCATCCAAGCCTACATTCGAAACACGGGCTGAATCGAACTGGCTAGGCGTTGACGACACTACAGGCTCGACCGTGACGCAAGGATGTCCACTGGCGGTGGCGGTATCGGGCACATCGTGAACTTCCACGGAAGGAACGCTCTGCTGGATGACAAGGCGACGCAAACCCTTGCCGGATGATCGCTCAATCAGGGGATGCACGCAATCCACCATTTCATCGTAAAATGTCTTTAAAAATGGCAAGAAATTTGAGGAACACGTGATTGGTTGGAACGTGGGGGTGACTCATGCACATGCAAAACGGGCGTACACACACACACACACACACACACGCTGAATCGCGAGCAGGGTTGCAAACTTACGGATTTGAGAGGGAGGGTGATGAAAGACAGGGGTGGTGTGGACTGTTGGACGACGGTGTGGAAGCGCTAACCCTGTAGGCACAGTGAGGACACGTGGATGGTGGGAAAACGAATCATAAACCAAAGCCGACTGCTAGGGGTGAAAGTAGCGCTGTGCGGAGCCGGCAAACGATGAGAATCGCGTGTCGGCTAAGCGGGAAATCTCTTAACCACAACACGCTTGCAACTTAGACGCGAGGTGTCATGGAAGTAGGTTAGAGCAGCGAGACGATTTGGAGCTAGATCAGTTCAAAATTGAACATGACCTGACCTCCAGGGAAAGGTATTTCGAATGACAGATAAGCTACACACGCTGCACACTATTTTGCATATTTATATCGACCGCCCTCGCGCCATTGGCTCATCTGCGTTGAATTTCAGTGGTGGTGGGCAATTAAAAATGGCAGACAGTGTTTAATATTCAAACAAAAGCTCGCATCATTTCTGCACCCCAAATCCCAAGTCACTTAGTTGTTAGTAGTGCAAGGCTATTGGTCACACCGCGCCACATTTGATTGGTCCTCGAGTGGAAACGCGTGATTGGCGAAGCAGCAATTTGGCCAGATCAGGCAAATCACGACCTTGAGATGTAAGCCTAGTCACAGGAATCCAGGCCAACTGTGTGGCGATAATTACCGCAGTTGCCAGGCCCTTCCGGTACAGCAGGGGGTGGGGTGGGGGTAACACCAATAAGTCTTTGATGTTAAATGATAATAAAAAGGGAATTAAACAAGCGCCAAATCAGGCGCTGGCCATGAAACTTCTCAACACACACAAACACCGAGATTGTGAGACTACTTCAGGGAAGGCCGCAAATGCCAAGGTTTATGCAGAAATAAAACCAGATCCTCAACACATTGGAGGAGTTAGCATGGATAGAAGGCACTGGCGCACCTTGAACGGTTTGACGCGCTCCTCTGACTTGCCATCGCAGTCGATCATGTGACAGGTGAGGGTGGTGTAGGCGGGCTGCTGGTGGATGGAGAGGGCAGGATCGATGCCATCACAGACGGTTAGTCGCAAGGTCCCCTCGTGGGGCTGGACGACCTAGACGTGGGAAAAGGGGGAAGAAGTGAAAACTCGCCAGGTTTGCTCAGTCTCCACGCGAGACGCGGTCAACTCACCTCCGCGACGTCGTGGGGCTCGAGACTCATCAGCCAATCGGAGTTGGCGACGAGGAGGCGGTCGCCCGGCTTGAGACGCCCGTCTTTGGCAATCTGACCGTCCGGCGAAATTTGGCTCACGAAGACGCCTTCCTCGAGGCTCCCGTGGTTGGGTGGAGGGGACTGAGCAGGCGGAGGAGTGGGCGACCGAACGCTGAGGAGGGTGAGGCCTAGGGGCTCATCAGAGCGACAGGGAATCGACATCTCCTACGGGGAGAAGTAACACATGACCTGACGCGACATGGACTGGATTACGAGTCACATACACACGACTGATCCGACTGCTTGACAGAAAGTAAACAAAATCACACACACACACACAAAATGATCGGGGGGGGGGTGGAGGAGGAGGGGGAAGGGACGCATGCTTACCCGCAGACCACACGGAAGAGGATCACGGCGAACCTCTAGGATGAGGGACTCCTCGGCAACACCAGACGGCATGAGAGCGCTGACGGCCTCGTCGTGAGTCACCCGACGAAGGTCTCTGCCGTTGACGCTGAGGAGACGATCGCCCAAACGAAGACCTGCCTGCTTCGCCTCGCCGTTCTCCTGAACCTGCGAGAACAACACAGCCAATCACGACTGAGTATAGAGATGGGCAATTTTTTTCCAACATTTGCGATCTACAGCACTGGGAAGCAACCAGGAGCTGAAACCTACACGACAAACAAAAACGCCGGGTTTGTCTGCTCCGAATGGAAGCGAAGAGGCGTCGGAACCTCCACAGATGGCGAAGCCCATGCTCCTGCCTGGCTTGTACCTCAGTGTGAGGCGGTACACCTCCAGGCCGTCCTCCTTGCGCAAAAACTGAGGACCGTCTGTTATCGAAGGAGAACGCGATGGCTGAGTGATGGTTGGAGCGACAGCTGCAAAGAGTAAAAGGCACGTCACAATCGGACACGGGGGGTTGGGGGCGGAAGCGAGTCGCTCCGGGGTTGAGAGACAACAACGACCCACCGTTGTGCGAGGCGGGCAGTTTCCGTAGCACCTCGAGTTCCACGTTGGATCCTGCGCCCGTCAGCAGTGTTATAACCTGATCGTGGCGGGCGTTCCGCACGTCGACTCCGTTTATCTGGAAGGCGCAGAAGTGATGTCAAAATACACGCGCGCGTTTTTTTAAGGAATACATTTACCTGGACATGGAAATTACAGAGTACTCAGGGCAATAAATTGGGAACGGCTTTAAAGTCCCTCTCATTAGCGGATAATTACTCGACATTGTAGCGAAGAGGCAACGCTAGAGGGTACCTACTGGACACGAAGTGGTCTTACTGGTGAAAACCACGAATAGGTAACCAGGGGATTTGGATTATGAGAGGCGCACTCACCTTGAATAACTGGTCGCCAACACGCAGTTTGCCCGACTTGTCGGCCGCCCCGCCCTCGACAATTCTACTGATGTAGATGGTCTAAGCGGACAAGAAAGAAAGACGAGTGAGTCACAGGAGTTGGGTGGTGCAGAAAACGAAGCCAGGATTAACGAGAGCGCGAGCGAGCGCGCAACCCGGCGGAACGAGGTAAAAGAAGCGGGGAGGGGGGACAGGTACAACAACAAGTTGGCGGGGGGGGGGACGGAGGGAGGGAGACCGATCAAGGAGCACAACGAAGAGGGGTGAGAGATCGGTTTTGGCACAGCGATTAAACAGTGATCAAATTTGTGCGGGTGGGCGGTGATGCGGGTTATCGCCTTACCTCGAGGAAGTTTAGATGGGGCTGAATTCGACACAGGGAAACAGACATTAAATGCTGAGCTGCCCAAGTGCTCGACCTAGTCATTAAAAGGTCCTTCCGCCTACATTATTGATCCGAGATTAAAAAATGCGCGCGTGGGGGGGTGAGTTGCTACAACACCCTGGCCTAGCACATCTGGAAATCGAACTCACCGCGGTGTCACTCTGGGGACCGAGGAGGCCACGACCACCGGCCACGCTGAAGCCCAGACCGCTCCAGTCGCGATGCAGGCTGCATTTGATCAGCTGCAAGAGAAAGCAAAATCACATCAGGAGTGAACTTTTAAACTCCGCTTTTGCGTGCGTGCGTGTGTGTATGCACGATCTTGTATGCACACGCATTCACAGAACACATCCCGCGATCCATACCTCATTTGCAGGACGCTTGTGGACTGTCTAACACAGAGATATTTCACCACAAGAAGTTCGTTTAGGATTGAAAATGACCCCGGATCCGAAATCATCACCTCGTGTCGGAATTGGCGCAAGATGAAGGTCACTTGGGGTAAGAGTAGTGTCCAGGTAGGAAGGCGATAAGCTTGTTGTGAATCGTGTTTATTCAACCCCCTTAATCCGATCGCTCCGCCTCCGACACAGGATCCCCCTTTTTCGCAGCATGGCGCCAGCCGCAGGAATCCTCAACTCCCCCTTCATTCACACGAATATTTACCTTGGGGTATCCTCACGCCTAGGTCTCGATGTTAACGCATGTATGACTCGCACATCTGAGGTATAAATACACATGCGCAAACCACACAGACCACGACGCCTTCGTCAAATTCTCGAATATACGGTTGACTCTCTGTCCTTCCACTGACTTCAGCTTTGTTGGGCAGTTAGTGATGTATGGCGTCTCAACAAGTTAAAAACACACCTGCATTGCCGCTGGGGCGGGCTGCAAGTAGGGGAGGTTGGCGTTGGGAATGTTGCGTCCGAGAGAAGTTGTGTTCAGCAAACTGGAGGAGAGATTTTGGCTCCTGGAGGGCTCCACAGCGTGACCGGGCTGGGTGGACGACGACGGCGGAGGAGGAGGAGCAAGAGGTGGCAGAGTGCTTGAGGTTAGCGGAAGGGCAGCGTCAGCTGGTGCGACCTGTGTGAGAACGGGCACCTCACGGCTCAAAAGCAGCTTGAAGCGTGTGGCGTTTGTCCGCAGAGCGCTCACCGCCACCTGATGCTCCACGTTAACCATGCTCACGCCATTCACCTGCAAGAAAATCATTCCAAATAGCCCTCACGCAAACCTGACAAGTGAATTCAACGCCAATCTCATTGGATGATTTAATTTCACAGATTATTTCTTCAAAGTTAACTAGAAATTCCTTCGCGATCGTCTGTGGCTTGGAAAGGATCGGACGCAAGGTTTCAGAATACCGAACGACGAGTACACGTGACTTATACAACCCCTCAGAATACCAGAATATAAGATGGCAACTCGTGGAAAATGGTCGGCAGACGGTGACTGCGGAGCGCTACAACCGACAATTCAACCAACAGACATCCCATTCCAAGAAGGCCTTCTTGAACCTGGAATGGGATGTCCTCCCACACGCGGCATATTCACCAGACCTGGCCCCATCCAACTACCACTTGTCCCGGTCTTAGTGGTGAACACTTCAAAACGCTGTGGACGATGTGCGTAGATTCATCGATAACTTTACTGACGGCATTCGCACTTTACCCGTTCTAAGCCAACCAAAGCAGGAGGAAGTGAAAAAAGATGGAAAAGGAGACTCACTTCGAGGAGTTTGTCACCAACTTTTAGACCGGAGGTCTCGGCCAGTCCACCGGGGGCAAGGCGGCTGACAAAAATGCCCTGATCGAGGCCGCGGAAAGGCACCGAACCAACGCCACCGGCGATGCTCAAGCCTAGACCGCCACCCGGTGCCCGCTCGAGGGTTATGTGAAGCGTCACCTGCTCGGACTTGGGCGCCGACGTGGACGCAGACGTCTGCGAGTCCGGCGAGGCAGACCCACCGGAGTTCGTGGCGGCGGCGGCGGCTGCTGCTGCTGCCACCATCAGCAGCGAGTTGCCGGACTGCAAGCGGAACACGATGGATAAAAGAGGCGTAACTAGCACGAACTGTCTGAAAAGGCTTGTCGTGATGTCTGGCCGAATTGAACGCGCACACAACGAAGAAAGATGCTTTTGTTCATCATCACACATTATAATAGCCGCGATTATGATAGAGGAAGAGTGATAGACACGTGGTAAGATTGTTTTCGTAAACACGAGACAATCAAAAATCGTCCCAATTGGTCTGAAAAAGATTTTTGGTGGCTGTGGTGCAAGTAATGCGGCGTAGGTGAAAAGTAGTACCTTAGCGTTCTCCGTATTCGAACTGTCGGCAAAAAAGTCCGCCACCAGCGGGTCGTGGTACTTCTTCAACAGTTTCAGCACCGCCTCTTCGTTATTTACTGCAATAAAACCAAAAAAATGCAATGAAACGTAGACCCTGGAGGCAACTGAGGAGATCAAACACGCCCTCTGTGGCAGGCATTACAAGCAAGACGATCAATGACCTGCTGAAAGCATCCCACTTCAAACGCTCATGTGTGACCGCTATTTCAAGGTAACTGGGTTGAAAAGGAGGGGAAGGTGTTAGTGACTTCAAGGCAAACTGGACGCGTACCATCGGAATTCTTACTGTGGATGCGAGCCCGTTTTGTGTAGTGCGGGGTGTCACGACGTATTAACTTCTGATTCGAGTGGTCCTCATTGTCGATCACCTCGTTACTGAAGACTACGGATTTCGTAATCGTATCGATCTCCTCCTAAAAGGGAGAAAGGAAGGGGGCATTGCAGGCGGGTATGAGTGGGGAATTTGCTTGCTCCCTGCAGTCGATTTCTGATCTTTACAGTGAAAAAAAAGCTAAACGATTGGCCGTTTGCATTTCACGTTAAAGCACATCCTGAAATTAGCTACAACCGACCTCTATTGAATGTGAATAAGAAGGACAAAACGAAAGGATGTTCAGTCTTGTGGATCCCCGAAAATAAAACAGACTGCTTGAGTATTGGCCGGTTAGCGTGAAACTTTTGAAACCTGACCTCAACCGGATCGTGCCATGTCAATTTTACTGTCACTAAAAGAATTCTACAATAAGGGGAAACCGCTAACTTGGACAAAGGACAATGAATTGAAGGTTAGGTGTGCGTGTTCTTGGATCAACAATTCTCCACACACACACCTCGGAGTATCAGAATGAGCGAGGTTGAAGCTTCGAGTGAGGTTAAAATAGCAAAACGCCAACTCACCCCGCCACTGCTGTAGGCTTGTTCCTCCTCATCTCGCTGATTAACGACGCCCTTTGGCGTGGAAACGTCGGCGAAAGCAACACTAGCACCACCACCGCCAGCTGAACGACTTTGTCGGCTTGGCGACGCGCCGTCGTCGTCGTGGGGGACGGGAGGTCGGACGTTGGCGGAGAGGAGATCGTCAATGCCGCCGGAGCTGCCAGACGACACGGGTGAGGCGAGATCGGAGCTTCCGTTTCCAAGGTAGTCGCTGACGACTTCAACACGGTTCGAGGCATGGGCGTTGGTGCCGTGGGTGCTTCAAGAGAGATGCAAGCGTGAGGTCCAATCAAAACGACTCAGACCTCGATTTCATAAAAGTACACGCTACCAAGGTGCCTGATTAATGACTCACAAAATGGACTGGCAGCGGGAATTGGCGCACCACCACCACCACACTTATCAAAGGAGAACATGTGGATAACAATAAAACACACACACACAGTTTGCGGATAACGATCAAATTTCAACCCTCATTGTGAAAGATCTTACGCCTAGCTGCTACCACAGTATATTTTAGTGGTGCGGATGAGTCGATTCTGCGAATCGATTGTTTTAACGTCCAGGTAGATGGTTGCATGAGTTGAAGACACAGGTAACCTATCAACTCATGGGATCACTATGACCGTTGACGCTACTAGGCTCATTTTGGACCTAGCGACAGACCCGTTGTTGCAACATGTAGCACCAGGTTGTTGGTCGATAGAAGCCGGGCAAACTGGAGTGCCAGATGAGTAGTTTAAGTAGCAGAAGAGGTACATGGACAGGAGGCGGGTTGCGAAATCCCCACTATCGTGTCGACGAATCTTCACAAAATGAATCACTAATGATCCTAGTGATGAACCACCTAAAAAGGGGCGAGAATTCGGCAAGGGGATTACACCACACACAAGTCGTTTAAACCCACAAAATGTCAAGAAATATCGATTAATAATGAGCTGAAAATGCGCATAGCAACGATGCCAGTGGGAACTGTTGTGGGTCCAACACGAGGGGAATTGCGATGGCCTGTTGATTAAACAGACTTGACACATCACCGCACAACAATGATCTCAGACGAGCCGGAAAGCCAAGCCAACCACACACACACACACACACATATCTGTGACTAGGCAACTCAGTTCTAAGCAGACAAAGCCCGGAAAGTTAGGGGCAGAAGGTGCTGCTGCGGACGTACTAAAAACGCGGACTGTCCGAGACGGCGCTGGGTTCGAGACGCTTCATTTCGTCCGGTTTGTGCAGGTAGATCGGCAGCGAGATGTCGCCCTGGGCGTCCGAAGGTCGCCTCACAGCTGGTGCTGTCGACGTCTTTGAAAGGGGAAAACGAAATGGCAATCATTACTAGGTGACGGAGGGGGGTTTGTGTGTGGGGAATTGTAGAAGTGCACAGGCATAGAATGTTGGAAACTGAGTCTTGTCGTGGATCGTGTTTAGTCAACCTCTTAATCCGACCGCTCCACCTCCTACACAGGGTTCTCCTTGTCTCAGCATGTCGCCAGCCGCGCGAATCCTCAACTCCCCCTGCATTAGCACGAATATTCATCCTGGAGTATCCCCATACCTAGGTCTCGATGTTAGCGCATGTATGACTTACACATCTGAGGTATAAATACACACGCGCAAGCCCCACACAAGACACCAACGTGGTTGAGCTCTGAAGTAAGCGATTGTGTCCACGTCCTCTCCCCGCCTTTTTCTTCATCGTGGGTATTGGGGAAGCGTAATCGGGCCAGGGTTAATTCCGTGGCCCCGGCGTGGTTCAAGACCACATGCTGGGGCCCACAACAGTCTATTTGAAGTTCGCGCGACGTGAACAGTGCCCCACGTCAAACGCGAATATCTGTTGCCAAGTAACAAGCAGGACTTCATTCACCGAATGTACATAACGATGACGAGTTACATCCTTGTGGCGTTACTTAAACCCCCAACCACAAGAGATAATAATTAAAAAAGAGGTAATTTTGGGAAAAAAAATGATCGAGAAAACATACAGGGAACCTCCATGGTTGATTGCGGGAACCGTTTTGCTCATTGCTGTTCGTCTGTAAATCTAAAACACGGAAAAAGAATAATTGTTCGCCATAAAGCGCGAGAATTGGTAACCACTGAGGCTCTGAGGCGCCAAAACTTGAGTAAAATTTGAGGATTTAATGGTACATCGACTGCCTGTTCTGATTGTTTTACTGTTTAAATTCGTCCAATAAGCGCCTTTTCGAAATCGCATCCCTTGATTAGCGATAATTTTTGTCGATATCTACCTTTAGAGTAACACCCACGGGATTTTATGTACTCAGCTAAATTGTGCTAAATTGGTCGATTTTGCGTTTCTGATTGGTCAAGAGTTGACTCCGCACAAATTTGATTGGCTGACTTTAGTGCATTAAATCTGGCTTACTAAAAGTGAATAAACGCTTGTGAGCTGTTTTTTCATCATCGCCTTTCTTGTGGTTGGGTCTCGTGAGTGTCAACTAGCAGCTGCACACTCCAAATAATAAGTCTGTAGCTGATTGGTCCATAGATGCCCGATTTCACACCAATCATTGGCAAGTTAAAAAAACACACACCTCTTCACCCTATCATATCTACGCCTTCCTTAGAACACTAATTCCGTGAAACCGCGCATTTGAGGTGCTAGCAACGTTGACCCAAACGCACACGCACACACACCAATTGAGATCCCATACTTCAGGCTCATCAGATCGTAAATTCAGCCCGCGAAAAAAAATTGGCGAATTAAAAGGCGTGAACTTTGCACATGCAGGCGCGCACGTGAGTAACAAGCGCCTCATAATGCCTCGTGCTTCCAACAACCCATGGTTAAGGTGACTTTTGGCACACTCGCGGTAAACTAAGGCGCCTACAATTCAACCACACACATACACACACAAAATTGGTCGAACAATCCGAAAATGCGTGATTTGAAAAGCACGGTCGACAGCGCGTCGGTAGTGACCAATGTCTCGAACGCCACAACTAACTCACTGAGAGACAGACGGGCGTCGGGAGCGATGACGAGTGGCTTAGTGCCTTGACACTTTTTGGGGGAGGGAATTAATGAATAGCAAAAACCACGTTCTATTGCCTGGTGGTATTTGGCCACGCACACGTGAGGACCACACACACACAGGCCTTGCAATTTGGCCGCAGTTTGCACATTCCAGGCCTACGGGAAGCTGGCCTTCGTGGAGTAGCACAATCGTTGTTTAAAACACCACGATAATAGGTCACCAGGTTGACAGTCGGGTTTGCCGAAACGCCGAACAGTGACTAAGGTTTTTTCTGTGTTCGCGTGGTGCGTGATGAGTCAAAAGCCGCGCGCATGAATCACTAAACGCAAGTTGGCGATCCGAGACGCTGCGTGTTCGCATCGCAACTACCTCTGGCCAGGGTAAATCAACGCTATTTGTCGATGGTTGAAGTGACCACAATCAGGATTGCTTGACCTGGAAGTTGTAACAATTCCGAGGATCGCAAGACCAAACGACACGAAATTCGACAATCGAACACACCTAGTCTCTAAAAATGAACTGATTTTGTGGTTAACCAAAGAAATCATTAACATCTTTTGGCAATTTGCGCCAACAGCACCATTCTTCTCCTTGCGCAGGGACGACGCAATGGCGAATTACGAGTAAACGCTACTACAAACCCACTTAAAAGACAGTTAGAAACCAGTTTTAGGAAAAAAAGTAGGTAGCGTTAACTCACCAAGAACGGCACTGGGAAGTGAGGGAACGTGGTTGGCCTGAAGATTTAAAGGAAAAAAAAACATGAAGCAGAATCACCTGACACGAGTTGGCAACGCCGAGAAAGCTACCACCAGACGAGATTGTGCGTTCACCTAACCAATCACGCGCGCGTGGCTTGAGGTCACGTTGGTCGACTACTACCATGAAAAAGGTCAATTCACAAGTCGACTCAACTGGCCACTTCACGTCCACTGAGTGCTCGTGTGGACGAAATATCCATCGGAAATTGAAACCGCGCTATGTTTTGGTGATGAGGTGTAACTAGAGGCTAAGAGCAAGCGGAGGACGCCTAGCTAGCACGTGGTAGGTAGTCGGTGGTTTGCAATAACCGACGCCAACTGAAATGACGCCTAGTCGAATTTGGCAGAGGCCAATGGATGGTGCGGCAGCGACCAACGAGGAACCCCGAGTTCAAAAATGAGGCGTTATGGTTTGGCTCAGTTACACGAGTTTAAAACTAGCGAACACGCTACTGAAAAAAAGAAGCCAGTTAAAATATGGAAGGCCCCAAATTTCCACAGCATATAATTTGAAAAAAAGACGAATTTTTATGAACCTCAGATCTCCACAGGATGCATTAAATTATGCATGCATTTCGATGTTGCAGAGCATGATGTATAGCGCGCGCACGCATAATTTCCTACGTTTTAGCAAGATTTTACGCCGAGACACCAAAAAGGGTGTTTTGAGGCTTTCTCATAAAAAAAACTACAACCGCGCGTGTGTGTGAGTGAGTTTATCAAACATTGAAAGATGATCACTCCCCCACATTTCTTCGACAACTCGACTGCTTCAAGGAACTCCGGAGGATCAAGTAGATGGCTTGTCGGATACCGAAAGCTCATCTTCCACAATTACCGGTAAACGTGACCAATCAGACAGTTCGATCTGTTTTTGAGTTGACGTTGCGGTTCAATCGCTCAGATGCCTTCGTCCAACAAAATCTGTTTGTCCAAGGGCCCTGGTCCGTGAATAAAACGCCAGGACCGTCCGCTCCACGTCTTAACGCGACGTCATCAATGACATTTCGCGTTTCGCCCAAAAATGAAGTTGTCGTGAAGCCGTTTGGAGCATTTGAGGCTCCAGATGGCAGATTCAGCAGGTCACAACGTTCGGTGATGCCGGACACGAGGTTCTAGATAGACACCACACCAGTGTTCGGCGGGTTCCATCGCCGCGCAAATCCACGAATCAGGTCCTGGATTGGCACGTCCACGTTCAGTAGGACCAATTCGACCGTCAGTCGAACTCACCAGCTGATTTGCATAAAACGCTACTTGCGGCGCACACGCACACAGTGGCGCTAGAAGGCCAACAGTGACTCAGGCAGGTGTGTGACCAGTGCACACATACACACACACACACTCAAAGGACAATTAGCCTGCGTGTGTGTGCGTACACGACGCCAAAAGCGGCTAATTCGCTCAACAGAGCTGCACGCACACACGATCCAAGGGTGATTAAGTACGGTGTTGCGTTAACGCAGATTAAACCCTCCCTCCAAAGCCGATATGCACATTTTTGCGAACGGAGCAGTTGATAACACTTAAAATGGAGATTCTGGGGTTAGTGTAACCGTGAAAATCGGGTCATTGAATACATTACATCCAGGAGAAAGCACAGGGGTAAGGTGTGGTTCATTTAGGCCCAGAAAACGCGCTGAGGTGCGTGTGAATCTGCACACTTGACCCTTAGTAAAATCGGATCAAACTTACCGCTGCCGCCGCTGCCGCCTTGGGTGCAACATCGCCGCCGTCTGGGGACTTCTTCAGGTGCATCGGATGCCGCGTCTTCGGGTACTCACGGGTCTGAATGAGAGAGAAAGGGACACGCGTAAACGAGCTCAATCGACGAGTGTTACGGTGCCTCAAACGGAACAACCGCCTACACCCACAATACGAGCACGCAAGCATTTTCTGTCCAGCACTGATCGATTGGGGGATCAGATGGCCCCCTAACCAGTAAGCTCGGATATTTTGAACCACGGAACTGTTAAGAGGGCCTAGAACCCGCAAAGGTATTTACACCTTTAAGAAACGAGGGATTTAAAATGAAAAAAAAAAGCATTAGACAGTGAGTTCGCTTGAATTGAAGTCTGTCTTCCACAGATCAGCAAGGACTAAATGCGCATTTCGTTCAAGCGAGGGGATTTCGCAAGGACGTTTTGCTCCAAACGGATGACAGTCTAGTTGCAATGGCAAAATCTTCGGGAATAGGCGACAATAAATGGGCAAATGTAAGCGCTTTTGGGCTAATCAACTGACCACATCGCTGCTGGTTTTGGCACCGCCTTCCGGCGTGAATCGAACGCGAGTGGACCCAGATGTTCGAGAATCACCACCCTCTTTTTCCTCCTCTTCCTCGTCTTCAACTTCGGCCTGGAAAAAAGACAACGCAAAATATCATTGAAAGTTTTTTTTGAAAAAGGACCTTTCTGCTCCAATTTAAGGACGCGCATTCACGGGAACACGGGCGCTACCTTTCACAGTTATTTTGTGAAAAAGCAAACCACATCGTGTCGAGTCAACAACAGAAAATTTTCTGATGATACCACCTGTCAGTAACCTGATAAGTTGGTGACGAAGAAATTTCGGTACCTACAAGACATCCTCATGTGTGATTTGGAGAACAAGCGATTGTCCAGTGTTGACGAATTAAGGAACAAGGAATGTAGACAAAAATCTGGCCTGTTTAAGAGGAGAGTTGGCGGCCATTAAGGTTTAGGATTTGAGTCAACAAGCACACACAGCGCACCCACCTCTCTGTCTGCGGCCGCAGAGTCATCGAGATTGACAATGGACGATGAGCCGGAGGGGATCTGTGTGGGAAGGAGGGTGCCGTTGGTTGATTCCAAATCCTTCTTGAATTGTTTGGAGGTTGCACCAGGACTGGACAAGCTGGTGGCCACGCCGTTGCGCGAGGCGTCTTCTGAAGGCACAAAAAGACGCCGAACCGTGGGAAGCAAAGCCACACACATAACTCAAATTAGCCCGACAAGGCAACTCACTGTCTTCGGCTTCTTGTGGAAGGAGGTAGCACGTGAGGTACTCCTCGCCGGACGTCTCGTCAACCGCGCGTTGCAGTGAGATCGGCTGCGCCTGGCTCTGTACCAACCAGAGCGCCTTCAGCGGGCACGACGCCAGGGACACGGGTAGCCGATCGAGCCTGCAACAAATCAATACATCTCACCACCGTCACGGATCTCCACCAACGTTCGCTGAAGGTTCCGTATTTTACACCAAGTTGACATAGATCTGCTTCTTCCACACCTGCCGTTAAAACTACGGACATGGGTGAGTCGTGCAAGGTCTTCCAGCACGGCGGCTTGAGCGTGCGGTGCGAATGAGATGATTTCGTCCACAGGGACGAAGAATGCATCATTGATTGATGCCCTTCGTTGTTAAAGGGTTGGAAAAAAAGGAAACAGACTCCTACTTAAGCCTAACATTTCCATGTACTATAATCTCAGCCTTTTTGAAACAAGGATTACGTAGGGCGATTAACTAACTCAACATTCTTCATGTTTGAGTGAAAATGTGCCTTCGACTGCCGGCAAAACAGCTAGAGTTCCCGCAATGCGAATTCAATCGGACGCTAGTTGAGGTAATGGCACCAAACACACACACACACACACAGGGGTCACCAAGGGTACACTCAGTCAACGAGTGATTGACTAATTGACCTTTGGCTTGCGATAAATAAGCCATGATTGAGTGAAACGTGCTTACCGTGTGAAATTATATTCCAAGAAATTTAACAGACAGTCGCCACCAACACGAAACCTATTACACACACACACACGTGAGGTAGAGAAAGTATTAAATGCTGGCTACGAGTGACACCTGATGCCCCAGTGATGGAAGAGTTAGTGTGGGTGAACGGGCAAATCAGACGCAAGGAATGTGGCTTAGTGGCTGTTTTTAGCGTGAGTAAATACTCCCGCCGTGTCATGTGTGAGCCTGGTAAGGTACATGAACAAGGCACATTTGACTCTGCTAGAACAAACAAACAAGCTTTCCACGACAAACCAACTAGCTAAACCTGAGGAAATTTGGGCAGAGCACAAACGCCTAAGGAAGCAGTGTTGGAAAGTTCAAAAAGGGCTCCGTTCAACAAAAAACCTGCCTAAAGCAAACTCTGCGACAACCAAAGACGTCCGCGATGGTGAATTTCAAAAATAATCTCACTCACCGATTTCCAGCCAGGTCGAGCACGTGGAGTTGAGTGCAGTTGCCGATTTCTGAGGGTATTCGACGGAGGTTGTTGTCACGAATGGAGAGGATTTGAAGCGATACACACTTCCCGATCTGTCAAAACACCAGGTTAGGCATTGACGGGGAAAAAACAACAACCGCAGCAATAAAATGAAGTGTCGTTTACAAAAAGTGTGCGTAAAACTCACCTCTGCCGGCAACTCGGAGAGCTGATTTTTGGTTACGTTGAAATGAAACATTTTGGTCAAATTCCCGATCGTGTTTGGCAGGCTCTACAGGAGAGAATGAGACTGTTGGACAGAGTTCCAGGGAGCCTGGACCCTTGATGAAAACTACGAATTTACCGTAAGATAGTTTTCCGTCAAGTAAAACTCCAGCAGATTTTGACACCTACAAAATTGGGGATAAGGAGTCAGGGCAATACAAAAATTGACGTATTTTCGGGAAAAAAGAGGTGTCAAAGGTAAGCTACGACGGCATGATCAGTCTTAACGTAACACGGGTGCCACCGGGTTTGTTGGTCGATTTTAAAGCGAATTATTGACTCTAGGAGCTCAAAGAGAGCTTGAAACAACACCACTCTTCCGTGGTTTCAAGGACTGCGTGTTCTGTGGGGCCGTAACGAACCATTCCTGCATACTTCGGAGCTACCGCGGTACCATTTGTGTGTGCGTGTGTGAATGTGTACGAACAATTAGCCGCATAAAGTTCACACAAGATAAACTGCAATTCATGCACTAGTGACCCATCCTAGCGGGGTTTAATAAAGTTAAACAAGTCGCGCGTAAACAGCCATGAAGGATTAGGTAGGATTAAGAAACATGCGGACATACTTTCCAATGCCCGGCGTCAAATCGACGAGTTGGTTGCGATTCAACTTGAAGACAGTCAGATTGCTGAGCTGGCCTAGATCGGGAAAATGAGGCAGAAAGCGCGTGTTTAGCGCAAATTAATTGGAACCACGACACCTAGGTGGCGTGGAAACAGAATCTGTACTCACTGATTTCCTCAGGAAGGCAGTCGAGGAAGTTTTGAGTGAGATTGAGGTCGGAGAGAGAGGTCAGACCGGCGATTGTGCTTGGGAGTGAAGTCAGTTGGTTTTCGGAAAGGTCCATTTGCTGAAGTGCGTGGAGGTTGCCGATTTCCTTGGCGAGAGAAAAGGGCATGAAAAACGAGTTTACAGTGCGGTAGGGAGAACACTGTGGCCTGCTCAGTTAACTTGCGTTCCATTTGAAACCAAAGTATAATACAATTTAGCAATCAAAAATGACCTTTCCATCATGAACCAAAACCGTGTTGTAGCTTGAATTTGTCCTTGCAATTTGGGTTCTTTAACAAAGAACAGATGGGAATCTGGGGAGGCAAGGTCAAGGGGATACGGCCAGTGCCGCTGGAAGACCTCCCAGTTTTTGAGCGAATTGTGGTATGGCGTCATGGTGAAAAATGATGGCCTTTCTGCCGACCAAACTTGCATATTTGGCTTGGATTCTAGCATTGACTTGGTTGTTGTTCTAAGCATATCCCCGATGCTACTGTTTGGAGATGTGAAGGAACCTCATGACAGGTTAATCGTCTGTATTCGCCCCACCAGACACGGCACTTTCTCCAGATTCGGCATTTCACGGTTTGGCCTAAGTTCCGATCTTCCACTTCGATGCCTCCAGCTTCCTCTTACGATTTTTATACACGAATCATCTAGATCCCCAGTTACGATTTGATGAAGGAAATTCTCGGTTCATTTGCAAAAGAGGAGCGAAATGGTTGTGAAATAAATAGTTATGAAGCTTGTCGAATGTGCTTTAAATGACCACATGCAGTCGATTTGCCGATAGTAAGTCTTTCAAGAAACGCTACAGCGGTGATTTGTAGATTGCTTTCACTGACCTCCGCTAGGTCACCCAGATCAAAGTTTATCTAGTAGATTAATGGTGCTTTTTTGAAACCGACTTAGATCAAATGTGAGGTGTTTTTAAGAGTATGAGCAATACGCGAACAAACTTCTTGGATATATTGTGTAGCAGTTCCAATATGGAGTCGTTTTTTTTAAAAAAATACTAAATTAACATGACAATGCCACTTCGTTCTCCACTTTGACTCGAAGCCTTGCGCAAAGGCAGCTTAAATGCACATTTTAATACTGAAGGCGTAAAACGTTTAATGTGCCAAACTTGGAGACTTTTATTTTGCAACGAATGCGTGAGAAATTAAACAAACAAACACACACACATAAATATGTGATCATGTTTTTAAACAAATAAAGATAATAAGGGATGTGTTAAACTTACATCGGGAAGCGAGGTCATTTGATTGTCGTCAAGCCAAAGTTCAACGAGACTTTGTAATGCACCAATAGATGGCGGCTACACATTTGAGTGAAAACATCCAATTATCAGCATTGAAGTGGCAAACGTGACTTGAAAGAAGTTCCGGAAAGACGCAAGACCAACTTACCACAGTAACGAGGTCATTTCCGCCAAGATCCAGAAACTCCAGATTCGTGAGCTCCCCAAATGTGCTTGGGAGGCTGTTCAAACAGTTGTCGCGGAGCTCCAGTTTTTGCAATTTCTTCAACCTAGGCAAGTGCATTCGGTTAGCCGTTATAATACGTGTGATTTCGACAGCTAGTGCAAAAACTTACGCCCCGAAGCCAGCTGGTAACTCAAATAATGATACATCGTTCAAGTTGAGGACTCTAAGATTACGAAGCTGAGAGAAACCGTCAGGCAGACTAAAATGGATAAGCAATAATAAACTGTCAAATCGCACCAATGAATTTTCCCAAGCAGTTGAAGGTCTAACGAATTTAACCCCAAGAGAATGGAAATCAATATCCAGTGTCAAGACTAGACGAATCATATGACTACGCTTTTAGTAAAGTATTAAATTTTTTTCCAAATACACAGAAATAGAAGTCGACTGAATGAAAATAACACGCTCCTATTGTTAAAATTCTAGAAGCCTGAATAAGTCTACCTATAAAATTCGGAGATAGATTTGTAGTGACGAATCCAAATATACGTAATACTGCCAAAAGAGATCACGCCTACCAAAATTTCATAATATATGATAGATTAAAAATCTAGAATATTTTCCCAAAACGGTGAATAGTGGGCGTACGTTTTCAGCGAGTTGTTGCTTGCATCAAGAACCTGGAGCGAATCGCAAAAACGTAGGCTTGGAGGGAGTTCGCTAATGTCTAATTAAAAAATACGTCATTCAAAAATTTTGGACCACCATTTCGACTTATATCGAGTTCAACAAGAGACGAAAAGTTCCCGATACCAGGAGGTATTCTCGTAAGTTCATTGTCACTGACAGAAAGAACACGAATCTTTTCCAACCGAAAAAAGGCCTACACAATGAATACAATTACACACTCAAATTGAGATCAAGTACACTTGGTAATTCCTTTATTTGGTTGGCGTCAAGTTTGCATTCTTCAAGGGTCCTGTAATTTCTCAGCACGTCATCAGGGACAGAAGTGAGACTGGCATGACTTTTGTCTATACATTCGACGTGTGTTCCACAACCCTTTATGAAGGGTAGACACTTAAACATCGCCGTCGTTAAACCCGCTGATATACAAGGCCGGCGTTGCTGTTAACAGCTCAGGAACACCAAAAGCAATGGGTTTGCGTCGCAAGACCACTCCTGTTTCAACCAATAAGAAGGCGGAACAAGTAGGCATATAAAATCAAGTCACGTCACAAATTGAATGGGCACAGCAATGAAATTTTTTGGTTTTAAAATGAATTGCCTTATACTAATTTTGTCAACTAGTTGCGTGTTAGGTCTAGATCTATGCAAGAAACTTACTGTGTAATAATATTGGTTAGCGATAGTGTTTCTGCTCCGATCCATGTTCCTGCAATTCCGATGAGATCTATTCCTATATATACTATGGACACTCGAGATTGCATTCGCATTTTTATAAATTTTAATGTATAATTTGCATCAGCTAAAATTGTTCAGATTATCTTAAACTGACTATCAGTGCCTAAAATACAAAATCAACTTAGACTTTTAAAATAGGTATTGAAGCCTGCATACTGTTTGGTCCTTTTTACACTACCAAGATATTACATCTTTTTATACTGCCTGCTTATTTACCCAAAATTCCGAAAAAATGCTCCATGTTTCACGGGGGCTTAAGTTTTCAAGAGGTTAATGATGCAATCGCATGCGGCTGAAATCACATGAAAAGTGGTTCCTGAGGATCGTTTTTAAGTATTTTTTTCAGTAGGAAATGCAAAAATTCGAGCGAAAATGCATTTAAAAATGAATTAGAAGCCTAAATCGTCAGTGTTGTTGATTCAAGGTACCCCACGGCATATATTTCATGCAATAATTATGTAGCCAAAAACAAACATGTAAGAAGCTATCAAAAAGTAACTCGTAAATCCTCTGGAAATTTTAATTGGCCACTTCCTATGGCATGCAGCACTAGATATCAATTTGTCAACTACATTTCTCTCCAATTTTAATTTTTCTGATGCACAAATGTGGAATCACTTATGTATTATGTGCAGTATATTTGCCTGTAAAAGTATTTATGCCATAAATCCTAATTGTTTTGATTCTTTTTCGGTTTTTTTAAGGTGTATGCTCGGATTCCTTTTGGATTAAAATGTTAAATCTATAGATTTTTGATGGTCTATAGCAATTATTCACAAAATGTCTTTATATTAAATCAACAGACTTTCAAGCATTTCGTAAAACCATCAAATCAGGTCAATTTCCAACAATTATTTTTATGAGTAGTTTGACCTGCAACAGAGATTGCCTTTTCGAACCTCAAATTTACGTGTACAATCTCTTTTATATTAATGCTTATTGTTTCAGTAAATTCACAGCATTTGAGAAAAAGGCTTTCGTATTTAACCTACTCTGTGCATATTGTAAACTTGCTTTCGGTTGTTGTTTTTTTTTTAAATTTTTGTGGAGTGTTAAAATGGATCAACTGATTTACAGTGCACGACAATAGGTAGGGGGCTTGAAAACGCTTGATACCCCAGAGGACAGAGCTATGGCTACTTATATTGAGTAGGATGCATTTTATAGAGTAATTAAATCTTCTCCGTAGCGAAGACCCAAACCTTATTGATAATGATATGTAAGCTACCATGGCCGTGTTAATGTCGTGTCTTTCGCAGACCCGTCATTCCCCTTGTCGAGCGGATCAAGCGGAAACCGATTCCACGAATGAAAAATGAAACGGTTTGAGAAATTCGGACTAATGTACTTATGGAATAGGTCAGAAGTTTTTGTTCTGCTTTTTTCATAAAGAAAATTGACTGTGAGGAGATTATTGCAACTCTAAATACGGAAATTACTAAATCCCTGAAAAATGTCGAAAAAACTAAGGTTGACCTTGCAATGCTAAACACACATATCTCAAAAACACCTAAGGGATTTGAAACGGGTCGTTACTTGTCCATTGACTTCCTCGGAACTACCCACAAGCTAGCGATTGTTACATTTGTACCAGGCGAGCATTATCCAGTCGTGGATGAAGTCACATTTCACTTTCCACAAAAATTTTTAAAATGCTCGCTTCAGGAGGTATCGTTGTTCCTCTTTAAACCTATTGTTGAAGTTTCTGGAATATCTGGCCAAAACTGTGGAGGACTTTCTCACTAGTCGCGGTCTCGAGGATCAGATAATTCACGCTTGTCTAAGCCTGCCATTTCCCCTTTTAAACTCCTCTTTAAAGGCAGGCGAACTAATTAAATGTACCAAAAACTTCAACTTTCGCCAATCCAGTAGAGTTGAACTTGTTTCTGCTTTCCAAAAGGTTCTTGACAAAAAAGTAAGCCTCTTTTCAGCTCTTTATTTTTTTTTCAAATTATAGAAGGTACGTGTTCGGTGCGACGCCTTAGTGAATGACTGTACTGCTGTCCTGGAAGCCTGCGCGGTAGGTGACGCTGAGTGTGCCGCTTCTTTCATCCTAGGTCAGTTTGGTTTCCGTTATTGATTAAGCTTAAACAATCGATTGAGTAGTATTTGGGATGTGCTTACTGTACAGTTCAACGACTCAGACAAATTATTTTATTCTCCTTAGCTTCAGTCAGTCCTGTAACGTTAAGCTACCTAAGCAATCACAAAGAGAAAATTTCAGAAAATTATATATATTTCACAACTCTGTAAAAACATTATTGTGAATAATCTAGATGGCATCAAATTATCTCTAGGCCTCGTTAAGTATGAACATAATCTCATAGGACGTCATGTTAATTAAATAGTTTTTATATTATATCTTGAATTTTAAGGAGGTCTCTAAATCTCTTAAACCAAAATATTTTTGAACTTATTGAGAGTCACAAAAGCTACAATGTAAGGCTGGGTTCATCATTACTGTCTTCAAGTAATATTCAGGTTTTTATTAACTATATCATTGACTTTTCTGGGATAATTCATTCAGATGCTGGCGTAAATGCATCTTATCTGGAAAGAATCTCAAATATACGTCGTGATGACAGATTTGACGAAGATGCCAGGAGCGTGATATTGAATATGGAACTTGCCGGATTTGGTGACGGTGGATGCTTACGAAGGTTTCTGACAGAATTTGATAAAAGAGTTGACCGGGTGTCCAACGCTCCAGGCATACACACGTGAGTTAAGACTTGAATTTGAGTGATATGTAATAAATATTTTTTGAAACATATATCCTTGAATGTGCCAGATTATTGATTGTGTTTAAATATCCCTTGTTTACTCTGGCTCCGCTACCTTTCCCTAACAAGATTTCTATTTTGGTGCTTGCTTTAGACGCTTGTTTTAGCATCACCTCTTCTGTAAGATACCAAAACGGCAACTATTTTAGGTTTTCTGCCATTTAAAAGCGAGTAATTGTCATTTAAGCCACGAGGCCTCCAAAGATACGCCATTTGGATAAGTGAGACTTCGAAATATAACGTCTTGGTGTGTATTTGAGCGAGCTAATTAAGTAAAAAGAACTCAGTATCTAGATATTATAACAGGTGCACAGCTTAGCTTGAAACAACTACAAAGAACACGTCCTAGCGTCTCTGATTTGGACGTCCATGGATGCCTGCAGGTTTGAGAAGCTAGTGAGCGGAGAACACATGGCAGAACTCGTGCGTCAGGTGCTAAAGCTTCTCACGTCTCGCGGTCAACTCTTTGGTGGTGTGTGGCCGGCGTCACTCAGGGACAACAACAGCTTCCCGGCCAGATTTTTGTGCGAAATCGACCGTGACCCCCCGCACCTCTTCTACAGCACTGAGTTCGTGCTGCGTGAAGACCTCCACGTGCACAACCTCACCGCGGACGACCTGCACATTGTCCGCTACGTCTGCAGCGCCGTCACCTACCGCTCTGCCTGTCTCTCGGCTGCTGGTATGCATCGCAGTTGTGTTCTTTTGGGTTCTCTTCGGGCGGTGTTTTTGTGTGTGACACGCTGATTGGCTGGTGCGAGATTGCTGTGCTGGTATTCAATCAATTCGGCCTAAGTTTGAACCACGCTGATCTTGTTCTTGGCGCAGATCGATGGGGCCACGGACGTCTCTGTGCAAAAATTTTCTTCATAAATCGATATAATGTTTTAACCCAGACCCAGATCCCTTGGAAACGCCTTCCATGGAAACTGATGTGAAGTCACTCGTTTAGCGCACAACTAATTCGACCGTCTTTTGACGCATTTGCCGTGTATACTGTTAATTTCCAGGCTTGTGAATGTGATTGGTCCACTCCACCAGCCACTTTAATTGGTTCGCACTCCAAGGTCATCCTCTGGGTTCCACTGAGTTGGCAAAGCGTCGGTGACATGTGTGCTAAGCGCTTAGCTCGAGAGACCACGTAAATCAGTTGGGAAGCGTTGGGTTTTGGGAACTTAAATGCCAATTCTACGGGTACTTGCATTCTGAGTACTCGCCAATATCTAAGCGTTTTGCATCAAACCAATTGCTTATTACAATCGATTTATGGCTGCAAGTGTTTGACAAATCAGTGTTTGATCAAGTGCAGTTTTGTTGATAAGGTAGATTATAACCTGTGGGCTGCTGGGGCTTTCTGATGTTCCTTCCGAAGCCACTAACCAATCGCGATCTTTCTAGTTCGTCTGAACCTCCGTGTTATGACTATTTTAACATCCGGGGCGTGGTATAAATTGTTTTAAAATCGCTGGTACCTCTACAGAATAGGTTTTTGGCCTAAATTGATATTTGCAAGAACCTTCATGCTTTTCCAGGACACTAAATCCATGCAATTTCACCGTTTGAAGAAAGCACCACAAACGTTGTGCTTACCTGGGCTGAAGTTCTCTCCAGGGCACAGTATTGCCCTTTTGGTATCCAACACAGAAGTAGGGAGGTCAAATTGTGTGAAATTAGGTGTGAATGCAGTGGCGCCTAGTGTCCTCACCAGTTTTCATCTCACATTGAAATCACCTCGGTTCGTTTCCAGCTGCCATGATGGCGTTGAACGTGCCTCGACATGGCAGTTGGTATTCCTTAAGGGTGAAGGCACCAATTGCTGCAGGACCACTTCTGGTGCAAGGATTTTCTTCTTCATGTTAGCTTCCCCAAAATATCTGACTATTTGATGGAAAAAATCTCTTCCTTGAGACGAGGTCATTAAAGCGGACTTGCAAAAAACGCATTTTGCTTATACTGATATGGTAGACAGCGTAGGCACCTCACCGTAGTTTAGTTAATTTGTGTTACTGATGTATTAAGGTACACTGATTATTCTGACGCCAAATCACGAAGACCGCGTAATGCTAGCGTCATAAACTTTACCGTCCTCCTTAAAAAATTGACAATTTACAAAAAAAGGAGCTGCTTAGGGCTCAAATTACTTTCCCTCGGCAGCAAAATTTAACGGGAATCTTTTTAAAAATCTGGAAATGAACTTTTGAGTAAAGGCCAGGGAATCTGTGGTTGTGTTCACGTTTTCGAAGGTCGGGTCCAGCCTTGCACTGAATCTGGTTCTCTGACATTAATGTGGGTTTTTCTTCATGAAAATCATGAATAAATAAAGGAATTTGAACCTCTCGTGTGTATTCCATCAAATGCAATCCTGCCGCCCAAGAAAATAACATTCTAGACTTCCAGTTGATTGCACACGCGTCATTTAAGTTGTCTTAGATGTCAGCGAGTTGCTTTGACTACGCTTGCATCTTTTTTAAAATGTCACCGCTATGGATAATCCACCTTTGTTAGACTAACCAAACGCGCCAGGTAGTCTCGGCCATCGTAAATCGGCACTTGGTTTAAAAAACTGGGCCATTAACGTTGGCTGCTTTCGTCACAACAAGCATAAATGGTCCAGTGCCATCAGAGCCGTAAAATTTACCTTTTTACGCATTAGTGACTCATGTGCACGAGCTGTGTGTTGCCTCTTGGTTATGTCCGGTTTTATTCTTCGCTCGCATTTTTTTCGGTTTAAACTGTGGCATGTTCACTCACTATTGCCTCTTGCTTGTTTCCAAAGCCGCCGTCACCATTTTGAAGCGCCTCAGTCGACTTCGAGTGACAATGGGCGTTGACGGCTACATGTTTCGTCAGCATCCGACGTTTTGCAAGCAGATGGTCGCTGTGATGTCTACGCTCATGCCCAAGCACATGGCGGTACGTGGATGTTGCTAAATAACTCGTGTCTTAGTGGTTGTGCACACACCACCTGCCTTATTGCGGCGTAAAGTTCAAAGTGGCCGCGCAACAACCGTGCTGTAGCAGTAAAACAACGAGAGGCGCGCAAAACGATTAGTCAAGGCTAGAGTTGGTCTAAATTAGCAACACGTATTTAAGAAACCTGTGACTACATTCTGTTAGGCCAATCAAGTCCCAAGTGACTATACTGATTGATTAAACTGCATACATACGTGACGGAGAGTTAAATATCTGCCTATTTTAACCCTGCCGCCTTCTGTTTGTTTGTAGTTTCGGCTGAAACTTCTGGAACATGGCTATTCAGCAGGCGGCGCTGCAATTCTCGCGCTCTACAAGGACGAAGGCAATCGTGCTCCATTTTAGCTATCTTACCAGTAGAACAACTAAAGATGGGCAACAATACCACGAACCCCTTTGTGTTCAGCGCCAGAGATCAGGGAATAAATGGACACACAAGTCGTGCACCTGTGTCGGGTTGTGAATGCAACTGGGTGGCTATTAGGGTTGATGATGGAGGGAGGACACTTTCCATGCACCGAGATCGTGGACTTAGTTTTACGGTTCAATTTTGATCAGGATCAGAGGTAGGCGTGGCTTTAAATTAAAGAACAACTCCCATTTCTGGGCTTCTAACTTACCTCCCCGCTCAGTCAAGCCACGGTCGAAAAGAACGCCTCCTGGGTAATAGGCAGCCATTAGCAATGCCTAATCGCTTATCAATCGAATTTAGGTACGATTAATCAATGACCAATGAACCTTAAGTACGTCGAAATCGAAAGCCAATACGAGCAATCAAGCACAAAAGACAGCAAGATAGAAAGCAGCCCATTAAAAAAAGATTTACAGATAAAATGAAACCACTATCGATTATAGGAACGGGAAATAGCATAAAGCTGGTGGTTAACCAGTAGTAAAAATATTATAGGTCTCTACTGTAATGGAAGTTATTTTGCTTTCTTATTTAGCCCAGCCGTTCCAGGTAATGATTAATTAACTAAATTTTGTGGCGTTTTAATATGCTGATCCTATTAGATTCCTAGAAATTCCACTCGATATCTGTCTACAGCACAATTAGGCCTTATAAGGCCCTTAACTCTGATTGGTGGATCTAAAATGGTTGTTTATTGAATCACTGCGCAACCGCGCGCTAATCACCTATTCAATAAATTATGCAACCACAGCAGCACGGTTGCTGTGTGTACGCTTGGAGCCACGCAACGATATCAATGCATGCTATTTACCTGTAAAGGAACCTATGGGCGGAGTCAAATTCACACAATCAACCGGATGCCTAACTATCGGAAATCGATTAAAGGTGACGCTACCTTTCAACAGCTAATTGGTCACAAAAGAATTGGCAACAACTCATTGGTTTACTTTAATTCAAAAGTTCTACAATGTGATGGGGTCGTGGCCACAATTTTCAGCCTGTATGGCTACAAAAAATGAAAATTTTACAGGAAAACGTTTATTGATTAGTCAGCTTATGATGCAACATTGTTGACTTCGGAAGCATTAATATCGATTTCACCGAGTTGTTAAACACCACCCCAAACCCTCTTTTTGGTGTTAAATTGGCCACCCCTGGCGAAGCAGGCGTGCATACCAGAATGCGAATCAAGGCTAAATTGTTTAGTAAACGAATTTGTTAAGCGCACGGTTGTCTAGTTGTGCGAGATAGAAAATGTGCACTTTTAGCAAGCTGGTCAACGCAAATGCACCTCAAGAAAACACCAGCCAAGCCCATTATGCTGGATTATCTATGCCCGACAGAAAAGTAGGTCAGGACGTCAGCGTATGGTAAATGTCGTGTTGAGTCCCACCCACTGACCCCGCCACCCCTATCACCCATGCTGACACCTCCGATCATTCACTCCAGCCAATTTTACTGGTTCATCGATCTGTGCTGGTCAATAACCTCAATCCCTAAAATGTAAACACGAAATTCGCTCCAAGTTAAGCACGCGATTGGGTAAATTATCGATTTTTTAAAAATATTGATCGTCCTCAGTGTAACTCAGGCAATAGTTTACTCATGCTCGACAGAGGTGTTCCAGTACTTGACAATGAAAAGATTACCCAACTAGCCCGTTTTGTGGACTGTTCATTAGGTATTTAGCTGATGCCGTGATTCGTAGCACTAAAAAAACGAGGAAAAGGATCGGGCCAGTAGGAGAGGGTTTTCTCTCTAATAGGCATTGGTATTTGCCCATCAACAAGCAAAACATCGCGTTCGGCATATTTACGCCTCAGCACCCTCTAAGTGGTCAAACCCAGTTACTACTTAATCGTGTTCAGCATCTGCTGATTCATTATCATTTTCATTATCCATTCAGTATCAATTATTGTTAGCCATTTACCACAAAAGATTTGTTGACAGAAACCTTGTTTGTTTTAAGCACTTGTGTGTTAGGCGGCATTATCAACGACTTCCTTCGGTCGTTCCACACATTCTCGATCACATTTCGTCAGATCTAGTCCCACAGCCAAGCGGCAAATAAATCCACAGAAATTAGACCATGAAAAGTGTGGCAGTGAATCGTGGAGATTCGCATATATCAACACTGTCATCCCATAATCAACCCTACTGATTCCACATCACTCACGCTTACCCGTCTGTTCATTCACCCTGCCCCCTCTTATTCCATACCTAATACCACAGTTCACCCTAGTTCTATCGATCAACAACCTCCCTTATTCTCCCCCCTCCTGTCTAAATTATCCTCATGGTGTCTTGTTTCGCATTTTGTTACCGTGAGTTCTTCACTAATTCCAAAATGTGTTTAGTAATGCCCACAGCAGCAACGTCATTAGCAATCAAAGCCTAAAATGATCGGAAAACTGCGTTAGTAGATCGCCTGTATCTTCTACCCATCCAAACAAATTTGACTCGTTTGTGCTGATCGCAAACAAGCCTGAAATCTCAATTTCCCGGAAGATATCGGAGAACGCGTGTAGCCAGCGACATTTGGAAGAAATGACGAACATCGTAAACACCAAACTAACTGGTCGATGACAATCACCACGCATAAACAATTTCACCTGTGAGTGTTCACATTAGGTCGACTAACTGGATGTTCATACGCCAACCGCACACACTGTCGTCATCGCCGTCCATTTAAATGCCTCGTCACCTGCTGTGGCCCCATCGTCTGTCTGTAGTCGGTGAGTTTTGTTTCAATTTCGTGTAAATGAAAATTAATCCTGCAACCTTTCATGTGTAGTTATGTGTACAATTGTGGTGGAATTTGAACGTAATTCCTCTATTTTTCGTCCCTCGGTGGATTAAGACCGACTGCTTGTAAGAATGTTGTCGATTATTTACACACGAATAGAACAACACATTACGGTAACTCGAAAATCCCTTCACCATCGTAGTTTCAAACCTTGAAAAAGTCGATACGTTTGGTTGATCTTTTGAATCCACGAAATTCAAAGAAAACTTTCGTGCATAGTTTTGGTAGACCCTGCAAAACCAAAGTATTCGCCTCAGATAATTCAAATTCCAAAGTCTGCCGTGGAAGTAGACGGTCTAACCATGCCACTTCAGCAGAGCCGTCTACAGACATCCGAATTCGTCCACGCCGTCTTACCAATTTCATTTGGATAATCTCTGTCCTGTGTTAGATACATTCGTCAGTATTTGCAGTTGCGTTATTTCTGTCTAAAAAAAACAATATTTTGTGGTAATTAAAGGAAGCTGCAGGGAGTGGTTGTCTCGTTTCTTCCATGTGAATGTTGGTTTAAAAGACGGAACAGAAAGGGTTGTCTGGAAAATCTTGATGCTGTGGAAGGTAACAATCGGTGTGCGTCAAATGACTGGGACCAGAGAGGTTTCAGTGGCTGGAAAATGAGTCCACGTGAATTGTCTCCAGAGGATCTGGAACAGTGTGTAGCTGTATTTTTAAAAGCACTGCATTTGGTACTTTGTTACACGTCCACGATCTTGGTACCGTCCAACAAAGGACGGGAATATTGCTTCTCAAACTGTTGAATATCTACCACGGCCGATTTCGACTTCTGAAGGCAGATCTGTATCAAGACAAGCCCGCCAACTTATTCGCCTTACTGAAGACAACTAATTTCTTATTCAAAAAAGTCTCAGCAATTAATTTGACCCTTAGAGAAAGGCCCCACATAGCCGCAGTGCACCACAACCAATCAATCAGTTAAGAAACATCTGTTGTGGCCAAAAGCAGTTTTGATTTAAACGCGGTCCTCATTGGTGGATAGAAAAATATGTCGTCTTCCATCATGCTACTGCTCGACACACCACGCATGTCTGGGGAGAGAATGGCTGGGATAGATTGCCTCATCCTCGAATTATCACTTGTTCTGGTCACTACAGATTCATGTGGACACTCTTAGATTGGCATTTGCAAGTTGTGACATGGTGACATGTAGTCTTTTTCGTGTGGCCTAGGTGACCGACCGAAATGACAATGATTGCGTTCATTGTGGCCGCCATGATCGCATTTCCAACTGATGGTGCTGAGGTTGACTTCAAGTACACCGTGATTCGAAACCCCAACTGCAACCCCAACGACAGCTGCGCACACAACGGCACCAAGCTGATTCAAGTTGTCGTGAATAAACCCGACCAATCACTGCACTTCCTCCTGCCTGGATCCGGTGTCGGGGCCCCCCTGTCCATAGTCATGCTAGAGGGGGATCCAAAGCCTGCTAAGCTGCTGGTGAACTACACGAAATTCATGTCCAGAAACGGTACCGATTTCTGGAACTCAATTACCTTCAAGAACGCCCACACCTCCTACGGCATCGTCTTCTATGCGGTGAGTCCAACCAAACACCGACTTCGCGGCATTTTTAGCATTTTGCCCCACCGAAATTCAGAAGGAGACGAGTAAAGCGATTTATTTTGATTGTGAAAAGCTTCCATGTGATCACGTGGTGTGAGGAATTTGTGCATGCGTTGGTGCGTGTTCGCGTGTTACACAAACGTGTCCGCTGTGTGTGCCCATTAAAACTCTAACAGGCGTTGTTGCAGACCAAATTGGCCACACAGTACGATTCCGTCCTTCCGGTAAGACCTGCTGCGTCACGTGACTTAGCAATGATCTTGAATTAAGAGGAGTTAATGTCCTTACGTCAAGCACCAATCAAAATGCTGTGCAGGCGAGAGCGTCATGAATTATCGATTTTTGTTTGCTGCTTACGTAAAAAGGGCAGTTGTGTTCTAATATTTTTGTGTGGCCTTATCCACTATATACAAACTTAGTAGACAAAATTCGTACGAAATCCGTCTTGCATGCTAAGTATAGTTATAAAAGGGCTTTACTATTTGCTTCCGAAACTAACATTTTAACCCCCACCAACAGGTAATCGATAAGAATGGGGATGTGGGTGATTTCGAAATAAGTTTAAGTTTTCTTGTGAACCAGTCCATTAAATATCGATGAAACCCAGAGACACACGATTCCGAAGGTAAGAAAAAAGGGGAAAGTATTAAAAATTTTCCCTCAACTATTCGATATCATTTATTGTCCGTATTAAGGGATATCAGATGGGATTCTATGATGAGGTGAATAAACGACCGAAACGAATACCCACGTCCACTCTACCACCTCTCCAACAAAAAATGCGTCCCCAAGTTCCAACTTTCTCTTCTAGAGGTGGACAACCAAATACACTGCTTGTTACATCATCACACTTATTCCACACTATTGCCTATCTTCTGTGCCACAAATTATTTGCAAGAGGTGATTTTTTAAAAAACCGCTAAAAAGGCGGGTTTTCCAGCAAGACGTGAAAGGACGGTGGAGCCAAACACGCTTTTTAGAATGACTGGTGATGTAGTTAACGCGCACTCTCGATATTCCAAGCTCTGAGTAGGCAGACACCGTCGAATTCTTTTCGAAGGATGATGAGATGACTAAATGAACAAGACAGATGCCCACGTCCACTCTACCACCTCTCCTGCAAAATCTACGTCCCCAATTTCCAACTCTCTCCTCTAGAGGCAATGAAATCGAGTAAATTGAGCAACAAAACACACCGCTTCCTTGGTCTTTGCACATAAACGACTCCACCACTCACTGACTGTGCCAAAACGCATTTGCCATGAATGCTTTCCTTGTTTTAATAAAACTGAGTGCGTTGATTTGACGACGTGTGTCATAATTGAGTGCGCTGACACACCGCCAACAAAGGCGGAGTCCAACCTGTTCTGGCTGATGACTGGTTGTGACTTATCAATTAAATTTAGTTAATGGTGCCCTCTCTACTGCAGTGATAGTGCTGTTGTTTAAAACAAAGCTGTTAGTGACAAGATCGTGTCGTGAACGCTGCTTACTCATTCTTTCACTGGCAGTATTTTGAAAAGTAGGAGTTGTTTGATTCACGGCGCGAATTTTGAGACACGTCGACAAATTCGTGGTCTGTGTGTAACTAATCTGCACTCAGCGCTAGCTTTTATATTCCACGTCTGAAAAACCGTTTACTTTTGCGTTTAACTGCCAAATCTAGATCAATTTGCAGATGGTTAGATAATGAGGCGACTCGCAAATTTAACAAATCCATTCAAGCAGAAATAATTTAACTCCTTTCTGTCTAGGCAATGAGTTAGCCCGCGCCAAGAGCACGATTTGCAGATGCATCTATCAAGCCTGGCAAATCGTGTGCTCAAATTCATTTGAGTAGTATAGATGTCAGCAAAACCGATAAGTCGTGATACAGAATCAATCAATCGATCAATCTTTATTGACCCTAGTGATAAAGATAACTTAAAAATGACTCCTTTTCTGATCTAGTTTTGTATCTACGATGACATTTCGGACGCCGCTGAGATCACTCCATCGGAGGTGTTGTCGACGTGCCGTCATATGCTGGGTCGAAATCTTGGCTGGACGCTTACAGACAACTCACAAGTGAAAAATCAACAAAATTTTATCTACACAGCTGAGAATTCGACTGATAACAATGATGGTATGGGGAAAATCGTTGTTAATGTGAGTTCGCGTACTTACTTTTAACAACTTATGACTGCAGGAATAACAAAGTAGCAGAATGATTAGGGTTCTAAGTAGAAGGTGTATGCGCATCCTTGGAAACGTGTTTTGCGTTTGTGAAAAGTCCGATTTCTCACACAAAACTAATTTATAACCAGATGATCTCGTCAGCAGTCGACATTGATAGTGGGCAACCATACGATGGAAGAGTAACTGGTGCACATTCGCTCGTTTCGGTGATCGATTGCCCTGTCGAAAATCAAGAACCATTTGATTTGGGCAGGCGATCGATTGTCATGGTCGTTAATTTCATTGGTCAATAGCTAGTGGCTCCTTAATTCGACTGGTTGATTCTGTTGGTGCCTGTCATGGCCTCAATTAATTTTGTTCTTTTGCACTATGGATCCACTCGCGGAGCTAAGATGTGTGGTAATATCTGATGAAGACTTGTTTCCACATCCTAAGAACTGAGATAAAATTTGAGGATTTGTTGTAGTGATAAATTCGAATTGAGATGCATCCATTAACAAGGACTGTGCTTAGATTACAATCCCGCGCAATGAAAACGAGTTGCTAGACAAGGGAACACTGTGGCTTACCCCCGGAAACGGGCTTCACTTTGAAATAACCGTCGACAACGTCACCACCTCCAAAAGGGGCAGGATAGCACCGATTCTTCTGCCCTTTTCTCGCGATCCCGTAGATGATAGTGAGGACTTTGTTGAGTCGACTACGACCTCCTCCAGTGGAGCTGAACCCGTAAGAATCTTTTCAATTTTTTTGTTTTTAATTAAGAATTGAGCCGATCATCACACCTGTGCACACTACCAGGCTTCTTTCTAACCCATTCTGACTACATTAGGCGTAATTATGATTAATCACTAAGCCTTACTTTCGCGTGCTGAAATAAACATGCTTTTTTTAAATGCGCGTCAAGTCACATGCAGAAAAAAAGTTGGATGATGTAGTCTTCAATAGAGTAATTTCAACTCAACAGATAGGCTAAAGTTCTTACATCAAACTAATAGTGTTGAAAAATGATTGGATGATCTACTGTGTGCTAGAACTTTCCAAATATACCGCCACCCCAGAACTTAAAGCCAAGGCATTTGAAGCCCCGTTGTATTAGTCGAAGGATGTTGTTGGTTACGCAAATTAGTGTTGTGTGAAACGGTAGGTTTTTTTGCAAATTGGTGCAAACGGACTCAGTCGACCTTTGTATCATCATGTGAAGTGTGAAACGGTGCCAAAACTGGCAAATTACATTCTATTTGTGTTCGTCCAGGTTTTCAATTTGCACCTGGCACAACGTCGAAAGCTAGCGCACTTCCGAGAGCCCGGATCGATCGATAAGGTGCGCACGCTCGGTCACACGCCGGCATTCGTCCAATGGAGAACGACTTGCGAGGTGACGCCAGACCGTGGAGGGCGTAGGCGAGGGGTGTATCGAGTACCCCGGGTGGCAGTTCCAAAGGGTCGAGCGAAAAAATATCAATTTTCTCTACCCTACGCGGTCTATGGCGATGATTTCAACCAAAAACATTCGCCTAGCGCGGCTTCCACGACTGTGGGCTTGAGGATGCAGACAGTGTCTCTGGGTAGTCGTGGAGACGGATTCTTCGCGGCAACGAACTTCGTCAGATGGTATGAAATTAGGCCTGTGGAAGTCTGCCTAACCCTGACCTGCACTCTTGAGATAATCGATAATTTAGCCAATTAGAAATTGACCTTCCGGTTTCCCCAAATTCAGGCGAGGCGTCCTGAGCATGGGTGAGCCTCAACGCGAAGATGACAAGGGCTTGCGGAGTCTAGTGGCAGTTGCAATCGCCTTGCCCATCATGCTGCTGGTAATGCTAGCAACGGCCGGTGGGTACTTTGTCTACCACCGTCGTCAGAATCAGCGGGGAGTTAACGAGGAGGAACCATTGTTGCCAACACAGCAGCGCGAATCAAGCCGACAGGCGGTGCTGTTTCAGTGCATCGGTGGGAAGCTGCGTCTGTGTCGTCGGATTCCATCGCCGCAGTTTCCTCGACGTGAGGACGAGGAATCGAATAGTACCTAGGCTTTCCAACATCTGACAAAGGTCATTTCAGAGACAACCAGGGTTACTGACCCGCGCCCTGTTTCCGTCATTTTATCCATTGTGCCTTAAAGATGGGTATTTTTCAAAACCATCTGCTGCCCTCAACTTCCTTACTGTGTGTCCCAGTGGTGGAATGCACTTTTAACCAGTTTGTTTTGTCCTGACCTTCCTGGGGTCAGATTTTGCCAACGCAACTGGCTAGAAACGCGTTTTACAGCATCCCTAAGAGGTCACATCGCGCGATTGACAAAATCGATAACGGGACTGCGAATGAACTTTGGTCAGGCAGTTAAAAGTGTCTCTGTCATTAACAGGCAGACACTTCGAGTTGGTAAGGTAAATAAATAAAAATTTCTCAGTCAGTGCTTATTTTAGTCTCTAGAAATCAATTTTTTTCTGAAAAATATAATTGCTTTGATTGCCTGAATTTCCAACGAGAAAGACAATGATAAGACATTTGACGAACACATCAGGGGATTTTGAAGTTTCAGAAATTCAACTGCCTGTCTCGTTCATTCGAGTTTACGATCGACTGCCACATCGAGAACAATGAACCATTTGAACATGTAGGCGATCGATCACCACAAGCGTCAGTTTGATTGGTCACGAGTCAATTGTGCCCAACTTTGATTGGATGGCAACTAGCCATGAGACACACTTCCCGACAGGTTCCGTTTAGACAAACTGAGGGTGGAAAATTAACAAGATTGTGCGCTATCACAACACTACATCCTCTGGCAAATTTTTGGGCTTTTGTGACTCGACTGAGGGAAAATGTGATGCAATTTGAAACAGCTGCGCGAACAATCTCGACTGCTTTGGACAAAAAATGGCCAGATTTGGCAAAATACTGCTTGACCACGTAACTTGTCTGGTAACTGGAAGGCGATTAACCTATGCGCTGGTAACTCCTGACTGGAATGCGATAAGAGAGTGCTTCTTTCAAGTTTGATGGCGCCTAGGCACAAAAATGTTGCACACAAAATCACCTATGGTATGCAGGCGAAATCGTAAAAAATAGCCCAATCCGTAAGCAATGGGAATCAGGACGATTTGGTGTTTGGTGAGCTCACTTAATCGATTTGAAGCCTATTGTGGAAACTGAGGTTAGCCAGTGTAAAATGAAGGGCAGGTTTTCCAGAAGACCCAATTAGATGGGTGTTTTCTCGTGGTAAGTGTAGTACGTGCCAAGTGATGCTAACCAGATTAGACCAGATTCGCATACCTCTGTAGCCAAAGTGATTGGCTTATGCGTCAGTAAACCGGACAAAGTCATGTCACTCCCTGTTTTACCTTCGGCCTGGTTAAGCCCTGATAACGGGGCAATTCGGATTTGGTGTGCGCATTTATGAACTCTTTTCAAAACACACAGGAAAATTAAAACTGCCAGATTCTGACTCAAACCATTCGTCTAGCCATGTTCGTGACGCCTTAGTCGAAGGTTTGGTTTTTAATGCCATGTCATGCTGTAATGTTGGTTTTCCTACACCCAAGGATTTCCGAACAGTAACAAAATTATTTGTAAACTTAGAATTAGTTTATTGTTGAAGATACAAAGGCAAACGTACCAACAAAAATGAATTATTTGGTCTGATGTATGCGTGTAAAATGGAAAGCATATATTGTGTTCTATGACTGAGGTGGCTTGGAATTTGATGGATCTGTGTTGGTGAAGTGGAAGGTGTTGCGGACGAGGTATCAATTGTGGCGTTTCTGATTAAGCTCCTTCCTAACACGGTAGCCACGGTAACTGGCCTGAATTTTTTTTGCTGCTTCGTCGTACTTCGGGTCCACGTAGAGGTGGATAGGTGCGGTCTGGGCGCGGAAGTTCTTGCGCACCCTGTAGCCCCGAAACGCCGCCTGGATCTTCGTGGCCGCCTCGTCTTCGGAGAGCAACGGAGACGGCGAAGGGACGCTGCGTGGACTGCCGCCTTCACTTGCCCTCTCGCGTCTAGGCAGATGCGAACGCACGTGGTATCCACGGAATGCCGCTTGGATCCGCGTCGCCGCTCTGTTCTGCAGGTCCTCATCATCCACGTCCGAAGAAGACTGGTTGGAAATGTCACTCAAACTTCTCCCAGCGTCGGGACTAACACGAGTTTGCGCAAGTGCTGGACACAGCTTCTCCGCTTCATCATCATCCGTAAATCTTCGGTGATGGTGTCTCCCTAGGTGGCCAAACTCCCTTCGCGTCAGGTAACCGCGGAAACTGGCCTGAATCTTGGTGGCCGCAAGATCCGGGTCGTTCCTGTAGGGCGTCACGATGACTGGCACGCCAGGAGTGGCTGCGCAGGACTGGTTGCCCTGGTGTATGTGTTTTCGCGTGTTATAGCCTCGAAAGGTAGCTTGGATCTTGGTCGCCGCCTCATCAGGGGTTGGCTAAGTTGAAAACGGTGAAATTTTGCCACACCGGAATTCTCTGACGGCTTGTGCAAAAGTAGCAGTATCTCGCTCAGCAATAACACACACACAGGTAGTATTCAGGTTAGAGGTAACTAGGCAACAAGATCTGCGAAATGTCATGCCACAGAAAAATCGTGGTACCGGGTTTACTACGCTCGCCTGACTCATTGAAAACGCAATAATGTGTGTTGCTACCATCAACAAAACAATTTAAAAGGACAGCGGATCAGTCTTAAGAAGCCCCATATCAACAGAAAATCTATTTGTTTACGATCAATAACAGTTTTAAATTTGAAATTTTGGCCACAGAAATCGCTAGCTTTCTGGCAATTATTTGCATTCAATTAAGCAACTTGACTTACATGAGGATGCGGCATAACGATGGCTAAAAGGAGAAAAAAGGCAAGTATGACTAGTTTCCGTGATTCGGAAAGGCTAGAACGAGCAGATCTTAGCTTGAGTTACCACGGTAAAACGTGATGTCCTGATTCGTGGTACGGAAACACGGCTAGTGTGGGCTCTATTCAAAAGTACTTTTTACACAACAAAAACGATACTAAAAAGGCTGGGAATTAAGAATCTTCACCTGCTTCCATCCCTTGATAGCCCTTAAAACTGCCCAGTGATTTGGTAACCCACTTCACGCTGTATTTATGGTTAACTAGTGGCCACTTGAACTTAGATCTGTGAGCATAAATTAACAATGTGTCAGATCAGCCAATAAAATCCTATCCCAAGTTTACCCACTTAACACACTTACAGACAACCTACAGCGAAGTGTTTACGCTTGAGTGCACTTTATACTTGGGAGGCGGTTGTGAACTGCCTTAGATTACTACTTCCTGGGTTTGTGAGTAGTGAAGGGCGAGAATCCGGGTGCTATGGGGAATGGGAGAGAGCAGGATGATCGGCAGCTTGAAGTCAACTAACCGCGCGTAGACGGTGCTACGTTTAGCAAAGTAAAAGACGCGGGGCAGTGTGGAGGGCGAGATCTTGCAATTTTAAGCACACGGAAATTTGGAGAAATACGAGTTTGGTTTGACGAGAGGACCTACTAGAAACGATGCCAGTACACGGTCAGTTTCGATGTCTAGATCGAAGAAGGTTTCAAATTGATTTAGAGACACTAACAGACAACCAACATGACCATTGGTTCACAATCCCTGAACAGCTATTTATACCGAAAATGCACCTACCTACACTTCGTTATCTTGGCGTTAGCTAATCAAGGTCTCCATCTTTACACCAACCACAGGAGCTTTAAAAGGAGTGGAGTTACAGAAATTTATGATTAACTACAAGCACGAATCACTACCAAATTGTGGCTATGTTTACAAACTGCCAACAGCTTCGTAAAATCGATAATTTGGAAGGGAAACACTCACCAGACGTTTGTACGAAACCCTTGAGAGAGCAGTAGCTTGGATGGGGTATGCGCGTAGACACCTCCTTCAGGTACTTGGTTGGAGCTAGAAATGGCCGCGTACGTGTAGGAATCTGCACACACACACACACACACACACACACACACGGGCACACAGGGGAGACGCGTTAGTGCTTTGCGCGAAAAACTTCAGCACGCAAATGTGTCTTGGCATTGGGGAAGCACATTAGGGGCTGCAGAGGCAGCATCAGCACCGGTTGCACGCACGCACCGGCCGGTTGCTTTCCGCTGCACCAATGGGAAGACAGAAGACGCGCACCAACTGACCCACATTAACACACTCGGGTGCAGCTGTGAAAGACGAGGCGGTTTGTGGGTGAAGGTCAAACGCACATTCCATTTGTGCAGGTCCCTGAGTGCGGACTAAATTTAGAGAGGGTGGGTGGGTGGGGGGGAGGAAGGGAAGTGGAGATGCGAAGTGACATTTTGCAAAGTGCTCTTCAAACCGTGCGCGTCGGTACACTGCGTTCAACAGGCACTCCTTTGGTGAAACAAACATACGGTTTTTTAGGTACGGCTTTTTTCATCAGAGATTGTTTACTTTGCACAAAATACCATGTTGATCTAATAGAGTTGACTAGCGAAACTGGAGAGGGGATGAAAATAGACGCATTTTCACATCCAAATATTCAGATTATAGTCCATTTTAGAGTGAATTCCAGGCAGGAACTATTTCACATTACACTAAAAATGCATCATTTTTTCTGAAACTGTCTCTCTACGGGGTTTGCTTTGATAATAACATCGTTGAGAAAGCGATGCGACAGATTTCGGCGTGGTCAGTGAACGAATCGTGCAAGCAGACGTCAACTGGACGTGTCAGGAGATCATTTCAGCTTAATCGACCCTGCAAAATCTTTTGGACGAAGCTGACTGTCTACCGAAACCACAGCGCCGCCAAGCGAATTTATTGCGTGATTGGATGTCTTCAGTCGGTATAGCACTACTATATCAGATCGTGGAATTTTACACGTTAAGCCCAAAACGGGAGAACTTAATTACTTGTATTCCATCGAACAATTTTGTCCATTCGTTGGGAAACTTCAGTTGCTGTACTGTACCACCGAAATCGTCACAACTGTGGACACACAAGGCTCAAAACGAACTTAAATGAAGTGTTAAGAGTTCCAAGCCCCGGTCATCTTGATAGCATGTGTTTCCTTAAGTGAAAAAATCTGCCAATCCTAATGACGATACACTCAGATCGGTAGTGACGATTAAAACGAACATCTAAACCTATTATCACCCAGTGCAACTGACGACAGGTTCTCTCGTGTTATTGGCAGCTTACCAAACGCGGCTATTCAATTGAATATACCACCTGGAATGTCTGAATGCTGCGAAATTGTTTAAGCAGGTTGTAGTCGTGGTTGTTGACGGAAAAATTATGCCGTGCCAAGTGACGTCAATATTCAATTAGTTGTCCGTTTGAAAAGTAAACACCGATCGACTTATGCGTTGTAGGAGGGGTGTCGCTGGCTTCAAATAGCAACGAATAGCAGGCATCGCATTTGTGCTACTTATCTCTGTTATAATCACTCAACAGAAATCAGGGAATCTGTTTTTCAATGAAAGAGTGACTTTACTTGTCGTCAGTGTAAGTAAGGACGTCGAGACAATGCACCTACACGTGTATTTTGGAAGTCGGAAAATGTCAGAGGTGATAAAACCTGTCTAGTGTGTGAATTTCAAGTGGTGCATTACATTTGAGGTCACTGACAGATGGGTGTGCTGTGGGCCCCAGCATGTGGTCTTGAACCACTAAATTAACCCTGGCCCGATTACGGTTCCCTGATACCGCGATGAAGAAAAAGACCGGAGAGGACGTGGACACAACCGTTTACTTCAGAGCTCAATCGCGTTGGTGTCGTTGTGTGTCGTGTGTGGCGTTTGCGCGTGTGTATTTATACCCCGGGTGTGTGAGTCATAGATGCGCTAACATCGAGACCTAGGTGCGAGGATAATCCAAGATAAATATTCGTGCAAATGAGGGGGGAGTTGAGGGTCCGCGCGGCTGGTGAAATGCTGCGAAAAAGGAGACTCTGTCGAAGGCTGGAGTGGTCGGATTAACGAGTATGAATTATGGTGGGCAGCACGCGAACGAACATGATTCAATTGTTTTACGTGAATGAACTTCACCTAGCTATGTTCGTTCAGGGATCGACGTTTAGCAAGGCTATATAAACGTGCTTGTTATCTTGTACATACACACACACGCACACGGCTGCATCAATAAATTAGTTGAGCTACGAGCCGATCGCGTCTTCTGCTCATTCGGTCGCGCCCTGTCAGTGTAGATTGTCGGCCCTGGTGTGGTTTCTGAAACCGCACCGGGGCCCGCTACAGAATCAACGCGATTCACGACAAGTGAAATACTGTAGTGACTAGAGGATTTAGCACTACCTTACGACCCTCTAGTTAACAGCCCGTAGTTACCCGAGGATAGGAGAAAGGAGGCGACAGAGAACACGACCGTTTATTAGAGTCGAACCAGCCAAGTGGCTTTGTGTGCGTATGAGCACGCGTGCGTAGCAGGCGAATGCTGACAAAAATCAATAACAAAAGGGGATTGTGAGTCATCGCTACACACGGGCCTTCATGCACGCACACTCGCGCGGGGCGGCTGTCAGTCCACTACAATACGAGCAGACGGTCCCTCATGACTGACGAGTAGGGGTCTTGTCGGAGTTGATAGACATTAATCGACAGGATTCACCACACACCTGCTCTGAATTAGAATGATTGGCGAGAGGATGAATTCCAATGCCTTGCATTTAAGCTTTGTACGAAATAACAGTCAGCAGCATCCACAAACACCGCCAAACTCCCCAGATCTCAAAAATTTCCAGAACTTTCTTTCCTAATGAAAGGGTGGATATCTGGGGTTGTGGCAAATCCTTTTGTAAGCCAATCAAGAAATACAAACCATTTGACCCCAAAACCAGCCAAATGAAATCCAGGGCCCAATCACTGCCAGGGAAAAATGATTCACTATTTATTTTAGCCCAAGATTTCGCCCAAAAGCAGGCAGTAATTATACTTGTCTGCGTCTGAACCAATCGGTGAGTAATTAGGCGCCGAGATAACTGTGAACAGCGTCCAGGACATCGATCAGAAAGTGGATCGAGGGGCGTCAACCGTCGGGTGTGATTTTACAGCGGTGGTAAATGTGAAAGTCCAGACTCGCCAATGGCACCCGCTCATTTCATGACTGCGTTTAAAATGACTGCCTCAAGGTCATTTGTGAGGCCTTTCTAAAGCCTTGATGGTAGCCAAATTCTAACTGACTATTGTTATTATTTTTGGCTAAGACTCAAACTCACATTCGACCAGGTGAAATTTTTGAGGCATCGGTGCACCACACAGATGCTAGGAAAACAGGGAAGCCCACTGGAATTTAGGCCGGACTAGGTGGAAAAAATTCGGACCACAATCGCTTCTGACTTTTTCGGCAGAAATTTCATGCATCCGAAGACAGACTTATTATGATAATAATATCATTTGCCTAGAAGTAGACTTACATTGACTATCTTCACCAACTAGCACTAGATACTACATTCAAATGCGATAAGCAAATAAAATTGCATTCTACTCAGTGGTAAGTCTATGCCTTTCGATACACTATCGTGCTGTCAATTGCACAAAGTAGTGTTAACACCCTTTTTGGGACATAAGTAGCTGCACTTAATCATTGCGGCAATATGTGCATTTAGTTTTCAGTTTTCTTCACTATGCTCCTAAAAATATTTGAAAAAACAGTAATATCTACTTCATTCTAAGTCGATTTTACGTGGATCGTAAATTCTGCCCTTTTAACAAATTAACTTATCTTGAAGTAAAGATAAATTATTGGTAGAAGCATTTTAGACCATGCAGTATGGCGGTATTTTGAGTAAAATGGTTGTTTAAACGCATTTACGACCGCATTAGTGAAACTATATTTTAGGCAGGATTTCAAGCCTGAAACAAGCTTGGTCTCGGTAACAAATTGATCATTACAATAATACTACAAACTAATTAAAAAATTTCCTTTCAATGAAAAGGGCGCCTAAAACAATGCTGTCAAATTGAACGCTACCTTACAAATTTCATGTAAATGTTTAGTAATGCTAGAATTCTTTCTGTCAAGGTGTACAACCTTCCGACTTTAGTTTCCTTATGGCTGCTAAATACACCCTACTAGTTTTTTATCTGCGTAAAGATAATTCGGCGAAATGTTTTAAAACAGTTGCCTCAAATGTTCAAGATTAAAGAGTTAGAAATGGTTAAATTTATACACGCTAAACGAATTACCTAGTCCGTTACTTTCAGAAATAACTAAGGCGGCGATATTTTATAACAAATCTGTACGTTGCTACCGAAATCCGTAGTGGCATTCTGAGGCAACAATAAAATCGCGGGTTTTGGTAATTCCGCCATTAATATTTCAGGCTTCACCAAACTAGAATATTTCACTAGGCCCAAGGTAAGATTATAACTAATGTTTAAGAAGTGATTGCTTTGATTATGCGTATTTATAAAATAAAAAGCATTATTTGGAAATTTGTTAAAACTAAATTCATGACTAAAATACTTACTTAGTTTGTGAAATGTTCCTGTAAAACTTGTACACTGGTCACTTTGCATTAAAAGTAGTTTTGCATTACATTTATTGTGTATATTCAAAAAATTAACCCTACATATTTAGTGTTTTAAACGTTCGAAAAGCTTGAAAGATAGCGAATGAGACTCGTGAGAGTTAATCCCGCGGGGAACAACTGCGGTTTGGTCAAGGTCATTTTGGCGTTTGCGGTTGCTATTCGTTTTAGTTTTCGACATTTGTTTTTCGTGACTTCAAGATGTCGAATTTATTAACTTTTAACTTGGCTTCGCGTCCTGATTTGCTTGACATTAATACTGAGTACGCTGATAACCTCAAATTCTTGCTGGATCAATGCACAGAGTGTGGACTTCTTCGATCCAAGATGGTTCCCCTTTATTCGACTAATGCGACGGATACAAGCAAGCAGAAAGCGAATTCAACTACATTACTTACTAAATCAGGCAATAATGAACTACCGATTCCATCTGTTGGTACAATTCCTTCAGAGACCCCTGCGGTTATTCATCGAAATCACGATCTCAATGCTATCCCAGAAGAACCCCCTTCTTTTAATGTCACTCCAGATAGTACAAGCAACCTCTTGTTTTTTTCGAATATTAACGTCAAAGAAACGGCAAGATTTTTTCATACAAATTTCTTTCACGAGGATAAAAACCATCCCCCACAACCAGTGGAGATTAAAACCGCCTACATAGAGCCGAACCTCAAACGCTCAAAGTCTTTAAGCAAAAGAAGTTTATCAGCGCGAATCCAATCTCTTGTGGATAATTTCGAGTCTTCCACTGATCAGCTTCATACAAATTCTGGAAGCTCTTCACCTGAGTCGTCGTCCCGGAATAGTGAAAAACGACCTACCAAACCCTCGTCCTCAGAACCTTCGATTTTAGACGTTAAGG